TATGTGTAGAAGGTAGAGAAACGTATTCAGCACGTATTGATCACCTACCTGGGTACCTACTAAGGTATTCCGTATAAATTGCTTGGACCCGATATCAAGGGCATTTGCGTTTACCTCTCATGCTAAATTTGTTGCGCGCATATACTCCATACAGGTGGAATACTAAGCATATGGCCACTAATATAAATAAGGCTTGCCAAAGGATGAAATTTGGTTGCATCTTTGTAAGTGCTCGCATATCGCGAATGTGATGTCCAAGCGAGCTTCTACTCATCGGTGTGCCTTTGTGCTTATGTTTCCCCATCGCTGATAGAAGGGAGAGCGATGCCGATATCTAATCGCTGCTACAAAGACCCAGCCTATGTTCGAGTGGTTTGTTCTAGCATTCTCTCTGATGAACAAAGATACTATAGAGACAATGCGCATGAAGTTGTAGGTGCCGAGTAGGCATCGTATGGAATGCCTCTTCCATCTCCGGGGAATCCACCCGATTGGCCACGCTCCCCGACTAGCCAGCTTGGGGCATTTATTCGCACTCAAAACGAGTGTCTCTATTAGGCTTCGTCGTCAGAAGTGGCTCAGCAGCAGCCCAAGCTCTCCAGGGATGACTTGTCAGGCTATCCAAAAATGCAAGCATTGCTTTTTTGCCCTTTGAAACACTGATGTATACCTATTGCAGCGTCTAAGGGTGTTTGTCGCATCTCGGTTCCAGCGCTCAGGGAGGTGGGCCGAACGAGAGCCCGAGGCTCCGATAGGGCGGCAAGGCACAGGTTCTGCTTGCAGCATGAGTTTTTATGCTCCCCTTGCATAGGCCTGGCGCTAACAAGTCTATTCTAGGCCTTTCAATAAACGCTCCTGCTGCAATGATATTTGTGTTGTATACTGGTATAGCTCAGCAGGAGTGGAAGATGACCATGCATGTAATCTCGCAACAGCTACTTGGTGGTACGTACGAGGCATGACATGAATGAATTTGGATGGATGCCTTCGCCCAAGTTAGATTACATCCAATCCAATAATCTCACTTTGATCGAAGGGGAAGCGATTGAAGTTTCCAAGTTCAACGACAAGCATTAACACTCTTTACGTTAATCTCTAATAACGCCCACTGGGCTAGGCTTCCTCTTAATTGCAAGCCCTCAGTCCTTAGGCAGTTGCGTGTTCTCAGGCACCAAAATTAGCATTTCACGCAGTGACAACGCTAGACAGCTGAAAGGCGGCGGTGCAGGCGGCGGCAAAGAGGGGCATTTGCGTCATTTGAGCTCCCCCCAGCTGGTGCCAACCCGATACCTGCAAACCACCGCCAGCGCCGCTGCTGTCGCCTCCAAATCCGCCGGGGCTATGCCTCTAAGCAGACGGGCTTATTTGTCCCCGCCTCAGCGACACGCAGCGTCGACGTACGTCCCGCCAGAGCATCCATCAGCTTGCCTGCCAGCTTGGCTCCTGAGTCCGCCACGAAATCTCCGGCCCCCTTTGCGCCCGACCTTTTTTGTACCCGAACAGAAGTCTCCCTCCCGCGTAGCTGTGCTATTTATTGGGGTGCTGCTGCAAACAACTCGGCCATTGTGTACGAGCCACCCTTAGCCGGAACGCCTCTTAGTCTCCCCTGAGTTGCATGCTAACCAGCGTCGCCAGCCAGCGGAGCTCCTGGGACGCAACCCCCCTCCAATCACTCTCGACATTGACGACCTCCCACTCTTCCCCCATCACCACGCCCGCGATACCGGTCTCGAGATGGCATCTCTCAACCTTTCTATAAACGGCCCCTCCATAAAGAGCAGCTACAATGCTGTTGTTGGCGGAGAAGCGCCGGCTTCCGGCTCTCCCACATACGCCCAGTGGGCGCTCTTCTCTGTCCAAGCTCCCCTGGCCAACGCCTTCCAGGACAGCGGAGCCAAGGAGAGCATTCTCAAAGTCCAGAGCACCGGCGGTACGCGATCCATTGGCGAGCCCTGACGCTTCATATACTCTCGGAATAAATATGCTAATGACAGTCTAGATGGCGATCTTACTGAGCTGATTGAAGACTTCAATGAGGGTCGAATCCAATTCGCCTTTGTCAAGGTCAAGGACCCCAATTCAGGCCTTCCCAAGTTTATTCTCATTGGCTGGTGCGGAGGAGGTGTCCCCGAACGCACAAAGGGCTACTTCACAAGCCACTTGGCTGCCGTTTCCAAGATTCTTCACGGATACCATGTCCAGATTACCGCTCGCTCCGATAGCGACCTCGAGCCTGAATCTATCATGCGCAAGGTCGCCGACGCATCTGGTGCCAAGTACTCTGCCGGATCATCCGCAGGAGCTTTCGGATCAGCCCCTCCGCCTGTCAAGGCCAAGCCAGTTTTCACCCCTTCATCGTCTGCAGGTCGTCCTGTTGACCCTCTTATTGCCGCTCGATCCAAGAAAGATACTTCTGTCGATGCGGATGGCTGGGGAGCTGACGCCCCTCCCGTAACTCGAACCCAGATCGAAAAAGTTGCGCCTGCTTATCAGCCTACCAAGGTGAATATTGCAGAGCTTACAAATCAGAAACAAGAGCCATCACGCTTCACCGGCGCACCTCGACAGGATACTCCCTCCGATGTTATTGGAGGCGGTTATCAACCTGTAGGCAAGGTGGATATTGCAGCCATCAGAGCCCAGGCTCAGAGAACTGGAGATGACAGGCCCACGCCCGTCAAAGGAGCATACGAGCCAGTCGGAAAAGTCGACATTGCTGCGATCAGGGCCAAGGCACAAAAGCCTGCAGCAGCAGCAGCAGCAGCAGCAGCGGAAGAAGAGGAACCAGCACCTCAAGCCTTCTCTGATCGAGCTGCTGTTTTCTCACAGCCAAGCGCAGGACGACTGACTTCACTGCCCAAGCCTACCGTCGCGAAGAAATGGTCCGGAGCCTCTGCTTTTACCGGCACCAAGGCCCCAACTCCTGGAGGGCTAGGATTCGGCGGTCCGGCGGCCCCTGCTGCCCCCCCAGTTGGAGCTGCTAGCCGCACATTCGCAGACCAAGGCGGCAAGACTCCGGCCCAGATTTGGGCTGAGAAGAAGGCCAGAGAAGGCGGAAGCATTGGAAGCATCCCCGCCGCGGCTTCTCCAGTGCCAGTTGCTCAGCAAGCTACCGGAGGCTCCTCTTCCTGGAAGAGCGGCTACACGGGCAAGACTTGGGCACCAGTACAGATTGGAGGTACCGCGCGTGCTGCTCCTGAAGAAGAGCAACAGGAGGCAGAGTCCAGGGAGGCCGCTGAGGAAGAGGGCTCAGCTCCTAGTGGTGTGTCTGCGCTGAGAGATCGGTTCAAGAACACGGCCCCCATTGGGGCTGGCATCCCCCCGACGACACGAGCAGTTGAGGAGGAGTATCAGGCTCCACCACCTGTTCCGGACAACTCCAGGCCAACTGGAGGTTTCGCTCTTCCTGGTCTTCCCAGTCGACCTGCGCCTGCGGATGAAGAGGAAGAGGAGCCGGAAGATCCTTCAGCGTACCAAACCCTAGCCGAGGAGAGAGGACGCTCACCATCGCCAATTCGTGTCGCTGCGCCCGTCGCTCGCGAGCCCGTCATTGAGCGGCCAGAGGAGCGAGCACCTCCTCCCGTGCCCGTGGAAGACATTCCAGTTCCCAGAGAAGAGGAACTTCAGGACGAACAAGAGGCTGGCCATGTCGCACGAGCCGCGGCCAGCGCTGTGGCCGAGCAGACTTTTGAGCACGCGCCTCATGTGGCCGATAGCCAGGATCAGCAAGGTGGAAAGCGCGCTCTTGTGCAATATGACTACGAGAAGGCCGAGGATAATGAGATTGACTTGGTCGAGGGCGAGTATGTAACCAACATCGACATGGTCGACGAGGATTGGTGGATGGGGACCAACGCAAGGGGAGAGAGCGGCTTGTTCCCCAGCAACTACGTAGAGATTGTTGAGGGCGAAGACGCTGCGCCAGCCCCCCCGGCAGCCCCCGTTGCCGCAGAGCCGGCACCAGTACCAGCAGCTCCGCCAGCAGCACCAGCCGCTACCGCCGCAGGCCCAACAGCCACTGCGCTGTATGACTACGAGGCTGCGGAGGATAACGGTAAGCCCCTGGAAGATCCCCGAGTAAAATGATGTCATGTGATATAGATGGCTAACTTTTGTGGCAGAACTGAGTTTCCCTGAGGATGCTACAATCACAGGCTTGGAGTTTCCCGACGAGGACTGGTGGTTCGGTCACTACGGCGGCCATTCAGGTCTTTTCCCTGCCAACTACGTGAAGCTCGATGAGTAGAGAACTTGAAATGCTAGGAGGCGAGAAGGCCTAAGAGGGAGAGCAAAAGGAAATAAGTGAACAATGTAGATGTACAAACAAATAAACAATCATGTTATGCATATTGAGGCTAGTAAACGAGGCTTCTTCACATAGACGGGGGGAGTTTTAGCCAGGACAGATGGAAGAAGCAAAAGACTTTTCTTTTTTTTCTTTTCACATGTGATGAGGGCTTAAAGCTAGAATTAGCATCAGTGTCCAATCAAGTCGTTTTTGAAAATTTCGAAAATGGAGGATAAAACCAAAGAAATTATCGTAAGTATTTAAGCATTCATAGATATAGAAGAAGAAGCTTTCTCGCAATTCTGCGCCATCTGTTCCTCAAAACACTCAGAAACAGCGAATAAGAAGAGCAACTACCCTTGGGTTTGATATCTTTCTTTTTTGTTTAAGAAGAAAAATTGAAGGGGTATGAAAAGATAAAGTAAATAAATAAAATAAAATAAAAACAGGACGGCGTTATTATTCCAATTTTTGAGAGTCAACAACAAAAAACAATGCCGCACCCGGTCGACTTCGTATAAAGCCTTGCGCTTGTAAACAAAGGCCAGCGCTACATTCCATCTCTGAGCGTGACCAAGAAGAGAACGAAAGAAGACGGTCTCTTCCTTTCCTTCTGGTACTTTGCCTTATAATTCACCCTCTCCCACACTAGACATTATTATTTCCTTTCACACTTTTTGTTACAGCTATTGGTACGTGTGGTTTTGTTGGTTTAGAAGAAGCATTCGCAAAGATCGATGCTGTGTTTGTCGCATTAGCAAATCGGCAGGGTTGACAAGGAAGAAAGAATGATCATCACATACCAGCACTCGCAACCCTCTTCGACGGCGCAACAACAGCAGAGGGCGGCGATACAGGCCATCAAGCAGCCCTGGTCGCCACCGCGACCGCGCTGCGCCTCAGGGGGAGGAGCCTGCTCGTACTGCATGGGAGCTTGGCCCTGGGGAGGATACTGCTGGCCCTGAGGAGGACCATATTGACCGCCGTAGACCTAAAAGACGGGGAGAACGCGTCTCGTTAGCGATTCGTTCATCAACTGGTAGGCACGCGGCGCATTTGATTTATTCAGCTGCTGGATCGCTATGCCGATTGCCGACCTCTTCGTTCAAGCAGCAAGTCAATCTCAAATTCGGGGACGGCAATCGGTGTCACGATCTCGCTTTGGTATGCATCTTGGGGTTGAAATTGAAGGAAGGGTCGTTATTTACATTTGGAGGCTGCTGAGGAGGATAACCACCCTGCTGAGGATAACCGCCCTGCTGAGGATAGCCGCCCTGTTGGGGATAGCCCTGCTGGGGAGGGTAGCCGCCCTGGTGATAGTACTCTTGGCTGGACATTGTTGTTGTTGGTGTTTGGTTTTTCGATCGCGCAGCGATGGTATGGAGAAGAAGAAGAAGAAGAAAGAAAGAAGGTCGAAGAGAGAGAGAGAGTAGCGTTGGAGAAAAGAAAGTAATGGAACGAGAGTAACAGAGTACGATGAATGGTATGGATTCAGAAAGTACGGAGGGATGCAAGGTTGGCGATTAAAAAGGCGGGCTGCAGATGGAAATAAAGATTAGCGGGTTACAGCATTTAAGTGGCCTGAAGTGGGTAAGGTAGGGAGGCTGTGTGGCAGCAGCACCTGCACGGTAGTGTAGCTGGCGCTGAGCTGGTGCTCCATAGCAGCGCGGCACATGAGATTGGGCCGCTGCGACGCTATGCTACAGCGCTAAACCATGGTTCCGGCGCCTGGCAATGCGCTGCTGTCAAAGGGCTGTGCCGTGCTGGGGGCTGGACAGATTCCGAGACGGCACGCTTAACTGGCTCAAGCGTATCGTCAAGCATCATTTGATGCTCCAGCTAGCAGAAAACAAAGGCACCCGCCCGTCGTGCGCGGTTGAGGATCCTGGCTCAGGATGAAGCTCGACAAGGCCGGGGGTGGTCAATGCCAGACGGGGATTGTTTGAGAAGCGGATGCGCGCTGGTGGGGCCAAGGCATGGGCGAAGGGCAGGCGATGATGGGACGAGGATGACGGATTACTGATTGCTACATACTGCACAGCAGGCACAAGCAGGTACTCACATGGAGGATGACCAGAGTGCTGTATGTGTGTACAAGTAAGAGAGAGAGAGACGCTGGGTGAGTGGATTGGGTTCGCGGGCTGCCTCGTTGGGGAGAGAAGGCAAAGGCTTGGGGTAGCACCAGATCCAGGCACCTATACGGTATACAGCAGGACGGTAAAGGGGAAAAAAAGGAGTCGAGGCCTTGTGTACGTGCAAATCCGGCGTATGAGCGGCAGACGTGTGAACCAAAGCAGAGGAAGCGGGAAATGAGGAAGGGCACAAGCATTGAACTTATATCGCAGACGCTGGCATTAACGATCAGACAAAGATTCACACAAGCCAACTTGCACTATCAATGCGATGCATGGTATGCATTAGCATCGCTGCGAATCCATCAGCCACACCCACCTTTTGCCTCTCCCTTCCCTTTTTTCGCCATCGCCACTTATTTCTTTGGTCAACCGCAGCAGCAGCCTGCGACGTGCCGTGATTCCGGCCAAGCGTCAACCCCGGCGATCCTACCCGGACCCCTGTCGCATCAGCTGCCATTGGCTCGGCACCGATGCGCTGACGAGGCTGTGTGTGTGTGTGTGTGTGTGGCGGCACTTTTTCTTCTTCTTCTTTTTTTTTTTTTTTCTTAAACGGGAGAGGGAGAAGAAGATGATGATGCAAGGGCGCAGGGGGGAGGAAGAGCTGGCGGGTTGCTTCTCGTTGCGTTGCGTGGTGGTGCGCTGGCGTGTTGCGTGGACGTGGCGTAGCAAGCTGTTCGGCGTTCGCCTTGTGCACCATTTACTATTGGATTTTTTACTTCCGCCAACGGGCACTAAGCACGCTGGATCAGTGGAAATAGCATCCCCAGATAGGCGAGCGCTTTGCCGTCTGCAGTAGTTGTTGGCACTAGATCGTGGCACTACTTAGCAGGTAGTATGTAGTAGTAAGCAATTGATAGGCACATGTATGCTCTGCAACTACAGGCAACCACATGTATGTACATGTAAACGGCGAGGAAAAAAAAGAGAGTTCGTCTTGCTCGGTTGTTGCTCCGCACCGACGAGGTGGAGCTGCTAGCAAACATGAACGTATGTGCTGCAGCAGGTGACGTGCCGGTACTCGGGGCTCGATATTCCAACCGCACCGCCTCGATGGCGTGGCGAGCGTCGTCGTCTCGGTCCAATTTTTGTCTGCCGGCCTCCATCGTCGGGATTATTCGTCTCTCCTAGTGGGCGTGCTTTGTACTTTTCGGCGCTGTGTTACTGACATGAGATGCTGGTTGAGGAACGAGTTCTGTGTGTTTCAGGACAAGACTCGTACATGGTATGTACCTATTTGGTCAAATGCCGTGTAATAGTAATAATGCCTTTTTATATTTAGCCAGGCTAAGATTGTCTAATTATAAACCAGCCTATTCTTTGGGTCAGCCTCGTCTCCTAGATTTGTTTCATCTGCTACATCTGCTACATCTACTTCATCCACTACCTAGGTGTATTTGCTTTCTCTACTAGCTAGTTAAATCAAGCGAATGATTGGGTACTAAACAATGTCGTATCTTTTGGCATCTACCCTTCTATGCAACAGTCTCCACTAAGCTTCTAACCACTCATTTGCTTAAAGCGTTGAAGCTCTTGGACCCTTCAGCTGTTGAACAGCTAAATTCAACCCCTAGCTTGGATCATCCGTCACTGGATGCCAGCAGTGATGGATGATGCGGGCGATATAGCGAGCGCCATTGGAAACTGGTTTCATCATAAGACAAATCAAGGGTCCAAATTTGTCAACATCCTGTCCTGAAGACACAATATTATTGGCCGTGATTTGACAAGCGAGAAAAGCTGTCTGATGATGCAGCCCAGCGATAATAGAGCCGTTGGAAGCCTCGCAACCAACTCTCGCCAGTGACACCAATATTTCTACAGGGCACTGCGAGTATGGAGATGCTTGGAATAAACGGAAGACGTATCTCCATACGAAGCACATATGTATATATCTGTTATAAATGGACTTGGTCAAACTAGAAGAACTTGCTCTAGCTCTGTAGTCTTGAGTTAAGTAGATAGATCTCATAGAACTATATAAAACAGACCTGATGGATGGATTCTATTTAAAATTATAAAGATTTAGTAGAAGCACTTGTCAGTTTATTCTAATCAGAGGTTGTTGAGCAGTTCCTCAGCGGGCCAAACTGGATTCCAACGGGAATCAGAACAGTACCATAATTACCTGGATGCTATTATAGAACATGTATAGAGAGCCGTCGATATATCATGAGATTCTTAGTATAATACTCACATCTACCTATGGAGGCCAATAATGAAGCAGGTAATGCTAAGCTGTCCAAGCAACAGCCATCATCGCATCTGCTGGCATCTGGACTCGACTACTGCTTATTTCTTTTCTTTTCTTTCCCCCCTCTTTTTCAATAGCCATCTTCATTGTCGCCATGATTCAGTGGCCAACCAAGACATTGTCGAAATCAATTAATAACAACGAGTTTGCAGCGGATCCTATTGTCTCCAGGCACAGTCTGTTCGTATCAAACGGCCGTGATCATCCTACGCTTCACCGAAACGGCGCTTCCGATCTCGCTCGCTCCAAATATACATGGTACGCTATATAAGTCGCCATAAACGCCTGCATTGAATCACAAAACATCCCCTTCTTGACCGCTCACGCCTTCGGTATGCATTTCTCTCTGTGCCTCTAGTTTCAATTTTGTTTTGCACGGCAGTGAATCTTCCATATATATGGCGTCTGGAAATCTTCTCACCGACAAGGCTCTTCCCAAGTTACCTATTTCAACCCCCCTTGTGCCTGCGACCAAAAAAAATCTCGCGGGACTATCCCACTTGCCTACAGTGCGCTCACTCTCGGGAGCCTCAGGAGAGCCTGGATTTACAGATATTCGACTATTTCTCGTGAGGTATTGAATTTCTCTTGTCAGCTGCGAATCTGCTCTTACTCTCTCAGCTGCTAGTTGTTTCCAGACTTAACAACAACACCAGATATCCATCACTACTACCGACTGCATAAATCTGAATAGAGTGGTACCTATTTACCAACATCAACGTCCCCTCGTCCTACGGACAAGTTTCCTCGAAAGATGTCAACTCCCATTGGCGAAGAGCGCTATTCATCTCAGGACACAGGCAATAAGCCAGTTGCGGATCCAAACCTGCAGCTTGCCCCCCGCTCCGTCGACCCTATGGAGAAGCACCGTGCAATCATCGCCATCCCTGAGTCGTCTAGGCCACTCGGAGATTCCGTGCCAAGAGCCAGCGCCGTCTTGGCCAACCAAACTCCTCTGCCAAGTTTTGACGTTGCTCATCACGGATGGGACGCCTCTAACGTATCCACCGCCAAGTGCGACCTCTGTCATAAACAGCGCTGCGGGACTCTCCAAAAGTGCCGTGTCTGCAAACTGTCAATTTGCCAAGAATGCTGCGTCGCTGGCCGCTTGCAAAACGACCGGAGGCACGCAATAGATGCTACAGCCGTCAGTTGGGATGTTCCGCCAAACACTCGTAAACGAAAGAATCGAGCTCAGGGAAACAGTCATGATTCGCCAACTGCCGTTAAGCGACGGAGAGTTGCGAATAGCACAAAACGCGGGCATGAGCAATGGGCCGCCGGAGACTCGACGGAGACTTCCATCTCTTCAACTGCGGACAATAGTCCAGCAGCCAGATATACCCCGGTTCCCGAAATAGAGATTAAAGAGCAAATCTCAGGTATAGAATACGACCACGGTAGTCCGATGGAGCCGCAACTCTCCGCAGTACCAGCATCACACTACTCTTCTGCCTGCTGCACTCAATATGCGGACTCAGTCTCGTCAAAGTACCCTGCTCAAGATGCGCGAGGCAAAGTCAGTCCAGGCCAAAGGAGGCGTCCGCTCATCGAAGAGTCTGGAAACAGCCATGGCCGAGATTGGCTTCCTCACGACAATAGGACTTATCCCGTAGCGTTCAATCCAAACCTGATATCTGGGTACCCCGTCTCTACAACGAGCAGACCTTCTCAAGATTCTACGTCTCGGCCCACTCTTCCTCCAATCTCCTTCTTGGCTCCGGAAAAGCATTGGCATCATCATCATCGTCAACAGCAGCCTACAGAGGTTCTCCGCACAAGTTTGGACTTTGTTGGTCGGTTGCAAGACCTTCGACACCATCAAAAGCAACCTGCTAATACAAGAGAAATGTGGCCGCAGTCCGATTATGTCAGTTCCCTGGGAATTAGGCTTGCTGACGCAGCTCGCATGAAGCAAATGTCCAGCTCTCCCTCGATACCATTAGATAGATGCCTCCGCGACGAGATTCAGAACGAGTGGAATTCCCATTCGTTTGTAGCTACAGATCGTGATGCTGGTCGCCGGTATCGGCATATTCTTGCGGCTGCGTACTTTGCCAGTACTTGCCTCGGCCTCTCGCCGCAGCTCAACGCCGCTCGAGAATGGCTGCGTGAGAAAGAATGCGATTTGCGCGAGATGGGCTATGAGCCTACGGGATCGATGCCGCTCATGAATTTTCTCCAAGAGATTGGAGTTTGGTATCTGCGACAAGTTCAACGGTAGGGAACGGGGAACGAAGAAAAAGGGGAAGCCAGATGGGTTGAGAGTTTCTCTCTTACTTTGTTTTTTTCCCTTTCTTGTTTCCTGTTTGTCTTTGCTACCTTTTCTTCCTTTTTATTTACTTGACTTTTGTGTGTTGATAGGATGTCGGGAAAAGGATCAAGCACAGAGCACCATGAGTCACTTCGATGATAGAACGCATTGGTTATATCTGCGAGAGACGATGATAGATTTGTTTGAGTTTGTAAAAAGTAGTAACATCTCGAGTGGGTAGAGGAACAATAAAATATCACCGAGTTATTCACTGTGGCCAAAGGAGTTAGATGAACAAGATGAATGACGGGAAACTTTTGTATCTTCCTATATCCATTCCTAGTAAGCCACCTTGCTCCTGAAATGAGGTCAAATCGAGCCTATACATCCATCATAAAAATACTGCCGTTTTTAAGAAAACCAGCTCACTCATTAAAAAGTGAATAACAAAGCAACACCATATGTAATCAGGTATTTGAAACAACCCCCTATATTTACTCCTCAGCCTCCTCCTCGGCCTCCTCGACTTCTTCCTCGGCCTCCTCCTCATCGAAGCTGCCGGCAGGGACCTGGTACAGTCTAAGGATAGACTTGTTGGGGTCCTTGACCAGGACGAACTTGCCCTCCTCGCGCTTGAGGCACATGTCGGCAATGGTGCGGACGATACCCCAGCCGTTGGAGAGGGACAGGTTCATCTGGTTGGCGAAGTCGCGGGGCTTCCAGCCGATAACGCCGAGAATAACGTGCTTATCGTTGGTTCGGGGGCTGGCACGGGAGACGAATCTATTTAGGGAGGGCGTTAGCAGGTATACTAGAAAAAAGAATTTAGACAATAAAAAAGGAATAATATGCATACCCGAGCTTCATAACGTCAGACTTGGACAGGATGCTCTGCACGGTCCATCTGGCAAGCTTGCAGCTGTTGTTCTTCATTTCGGTAGTAACAACGGCACCACGCTGGGCGACGAGCTTCGTCCGCCAGTCGAGAGCACCTCCGCTGCCCTGGGCACGGCTGTCGAACTCGTTGAGGGCCTTGATGGTGACCAGCTGGTCCTCGCCGCTGATGGCGTTCTTCTGGACGGCATCGACCTCGGTACGGACAATCAGGTAGACAGGCTCCTCCTCGTTGGTGGAGAGATCGAATCTCCTGTACTTGTAAGCCTTGCTGGCAGGAGGATCGGTGTCATCGGAGGCGTCGTGGAAGGGGTTAGCGTGGGCCATCTGAACCTTGGTCGAGTCGTTCTCGGTCACGACCTGGTTGGCAAAGTTGTGGTTGATGTAGGTGGCCTCCTCGGCGAGGGCCGGGGGCTGGTTGATGACGTCCTTGCCACCGTCGGCAGCCTCCAGGGGAGCGTCGGCGGCGTTCTCGTTGACGGTCACCATATCCAGGTTGGAGTTGTCACGCTTGTCAAGGAAGATCTTGTTGCCCTGGCGCACGATGACAATGTCCCAGGGGTAGACAGAGCGAGTAGAGCACATAAGCATGGAGAGAATGCTGTCGGTGGCGAAGATGGTAGCCTCGTTCTTCTCGGCGTACTCTTGGATGACAGGGTCAGAGGAGGTGGTGACGTTGTAGGCGGCACGGTCAATAGCCGTGAGTTTCCTCTCAGCACCCTTGACAGGCTGCTTGTCGTAGGAGCGGTCGTAGTAGTAAAGGAAACCGTAGTCGTCCAGGTCCTCACCATCGTCAGCATCAAGGTTGAGCTTGGCCAGGCGGTTGAAGTCGATCTCCTCGAGAAGCTCCCAGTCGGCCTTGATGTTGATGCTGGCATCACGGTTGCGAGCAGGCTTGTCGTAGTCCTTCCAGCCGAAGCGACGTCCACCACGGGCACCAGCACCACCTCGTCCACCGCGCTCGTAGCCATAGCCCTGTCGGCCACCGGGGGCACGCTGGAACTGGCCTCCTCGTCCACCGCGGGTATCACCACGGCCGCCGCGCTGGCCTCGGCCACGGGTGAAAACGGCACCACGACCATATCTTGACTTGGTCGAGTCTCTGGTGTTGCTGACGACGGAAAAGCTGGTCTCGTCCTCGGCGGGAGGGGCATTGAAAACAACAGCGTGGCCGGTGCCATAAACTTGCTGGTCTAATTTTTTTTTTCGAATCTCTCGTTAGCAACATCCAAACATCTAGTGTCAAAAAGGCCACCGTACCTCTGTATTGGCGGCTGTACTGCAGACGTCCACCACGTTCTCGGTCCTTGCCCTCAGCAGTCCAATCGGCCATGCGTCCCAGCTTGTCTCCCTTGGAGAAGGGCGCATAGGGAACGCCGTCCAGGGTGATTTCGGTGGTTACTGAAGGGCCCCAGCCATCTCCTGGCGGGCAGCTCTCGCAAATCTTGACATAGTCCAGTGACTGGGCCATCTTGACTGGATTTTCGGAATTCTCTCTTATTTTCGGACGTTCACTCGAAGGATGAACGCAGAGAACCGGGGTAGACAAAGAGAGAGAGGCCTTCCCTTTGCTCGTGATGATTCGTTCGTCCGGCTTGCGATGAATTTGGTTTCCAACATTGAATCGAAATTGTGGTGGGGGGTGGGGCAGCCTAACGAGAAAAGTTCCAAGCCCCGCGCCACCAGCTGCTGCCAGTTTCCTGCACCGCCACTTTTTTTTTTTTTGTTTATCTTATCTTTGTATAAGCCACAAAGTTCTAGTGAGTGAGGTGCGCAGTCAGCATTTAGGTACTTGAGAATGGTGTGACATATGAGAAGAGAGAGACATTATGAGCGTTTCCCGAATCCTTAAGACGTATTCTTGGTCTATATAAGTACCTTGGGTAGATATGGATATACAAGAAAGTGACAAAGTGTTTGAAATTGTTTACATTAGTGACTCAATGCATTAATATATTTATATACATCGTAACTACATAACAGCAAAGCCAATACCGCCTTTAGACATGGACGCGCAACCAAAGTGCGTCCTGGAATCTCTTTACACAAATACATAAACGTTCATAAAAAAAGAAAGGCTCCTCCAACATAGTGTAGAGAGAGAATGAGAGGGAAGCGGAGGGAACACCAATAAGTGAGAATCAAAAGACCATTGCTTCTGGGCGACCAGAGAAAATATTCTCTAGCGCATCCCGCAATTCAAACTCCTCCATGACAGCGCCAAACCTGTTGCTCACAGGATTAGTACATCAAACACCCGTAGTAGCAGTCGTCATTCGCAAAGGACAAACTCACCCATAACACCTGACTTTCCGCAATAACTCCTCTGAAAGCTTTTCCAAATCGCACGGAGCCAATTCGTTGAACCTGGAATGCGACGTAACCATTCTCCATGCCATGACCGGAGTAATCTCGCCATCTAAGTTGAGCTGTTTGCTGAGGTCTAGGAGCGTGGTTAGGTCGGCTTTGGTGAGCTCCCATGTACCCTGTGTTTCAAACTCTCCGCCGTGGTCGTGCGTATGTTTACTGCCGAAAGGGGTGTCTGGGGTCAGCTCTTGAAACGGCGCAGGAGGGCAAGACGCCATCAAGGCGTGACCACACGGCGCGCCGTCAGCGTCGCTCGCTCTGTCAACCAGGAATGGCATATGTGCCATGCAAGGTTTTTCGAGCCTACAAGATCCCTCGACAAAAGTCGCAACCGTTAGCATACCGACCCTTGCGCATCAAGTTCCGACAGTTTGGCTCGCGTGGCTGTGAAGTGGCAACCCTGTTGAGGTCACTGCGGGGGAGGTGAAAGATATGCCTTCGAGGAGGAGTTCTCGTACGTTAAGACGAAGTCAATACCAGCCTGCTCAAGATCAACCCCATTTCCAGTAGGTGACGGCTGGCGGTTCTCCGGTGACATTGACATGCCGGTTGATTGCGACATGTCGGCAGGCGAGAAGCCACTCTGGGAGCCGGTCGCAAAGCTGTTGCCCGAGGCACTTACACTCATCGCCTGAGTAGCACTGATGCCCGAATCATCTACACCGCTCAGCTTTGGGAGCTGAATACCCCTCTGGGCTAGGACCTCTTTGAGTTGCTTGTTCTCATCGTACAGCTTCTGCTTGTCCAGAGAGATTGTGCTAAAGACTTCTTTCAACCTAATGACTTCATCTTCTAGCGCTTTGATGTATAGCTCCTTTCTCTCGCGGTGGGTTCTGTAGATGGCGAACATCAAATTAGATTTGCACTTTGTCGCCTGTCTATTTCCTCGCAGGACTACAGATGCTTACCGTTGAGCTTGCCGGTTGAGTTCTTGTCGCCTAGTCAGGGCAGGTTTGCTGTCTGGCTTTGGTCCGCGGCGCTTGGGGGGATTACCAGCTATCAGAAAGGAAAAGGTAATTAGTCGGTCGGTCCTGATAACGCTGTCGGGAATATGCCTTGCCGGGATATCTTACTGCGGGTGACCTTTTTGTCCGATAGGTTCTTGAAAAAATTGAGGTTCAGGGAAGAGAGGACACCCTTGTCAGTGCCTTCTGTCGAGGCCTGAGAGGCGCCTCCCTCGATTTGATCGGGAGATAACGATGACATGATGGCCGGCGGTGATTCGGACGATGTATGAAGTAAACGTAGAGAAGGCCCAATGGCCTTGCGGAAGGGCGCGAGAAGTGTTAAAATACTGTTGCCGACTGCGACGGGTCAGCCACCGTGCGACGTGAGATTCCGAGAAGGTTGCAGCCACAGTGTGGCAAAATAGAAAGCCGAAATTGGGCTCGGCGCCCGCTGAGAAGGTGAAGCTTACCGTCAAGGGGGATCCAGGAGTCTCAGGGCGAGCAGTCGCAGCTGCGCGATTGCAGACTGTGTCGTCGATGGTGGTGAGAATGCAAGTGAAGACGCAGTGCAGAAAGGCGGCCGTTCCGTTTCGGCTCCAGAGTACCTATAGGTAATAGCGGTTGCGTGTATAGTACTAAGCAGCGCCGTTCGTGGTGATAGGGCGAGAGCTTCCGCACCCACTGCAGGAGAGATGCTAGGTTGGAGGAGCTGCAGCACTGTCTGCTTACTGTAGGAGCTTGGGGTCTTGCGGAATGAGCAATGCAAAAGACGATTTCTGCAGTGCTGAAGGTATTATGAGATAGTATGCACAGAAAGAGGCCTGGTGGCGATAGCAGTTGATTGCTTCGATTCTAGCAGTCGGAACTCAGTCTGCGTGAATGGATGCCGGCGAGATACTAATAGGACTGAAATGCAATGCGCGAGACACAGCGGGGGTTCTTGAGCTCTCCGGGCGTCGAGGGCCCTAAAAGACGGGGTTCGCTGGGGGGGCAATTAGCACTGGATCCTGGCAAATTAGACGAGCCGGTGGAGAGCGCCAGCAAGGACCACTCTATTCGTGCGAGAACGTGCGATCTTACATCCGATGGGCCCCTCTACGGCTAACTCGCTCGAAAGGGTCGTGAGACCGTGCTCAGCCTTGCTTGATGATGAGCATGTCCCGAAACCGAATCAACCTCTAATTGCGCGGGTCCCCGTCCCGGGTCGTGCAGATCATAAACAAGACGGACGAGGGAGTAATAAGACTTTGCTTTAGAGACGCATCGGCCTGCCACAGGTATGGGATGAAGTGAACGCTGCGATGCCGTACTACCCGCGTGTTATTGAGCCAGCGGCGTATCTGGCTGGGCCCACGGGCGCAGTCTGGTCGTTAAATCCCAAAACCAAAATCCCAAATACGCAATCCGCAGAATCATGTACAAAAAGATATTCCCAACCAGGTTGAGTAACAAGTCATGGTGCTCCACCACCCGAAGAGCGAGAAGCGAAAGCAAAGCCCGCCAAGCTCACAAAGCCACATCTTGCGTCAAGTCGTGATAGCCAAACTCCAGAGTTTGCTCCCCACGCGCAACAGCTCGCAGCGCTAAAAAATTCAAAACTTCCTTCAGGCGCCAATGGCCTTCCCAGTACGAGTAGTAGGTACTGCCGTGCTCTGCGTACCATCCGAGAATCTTTCTGCCGAAGTCTGCTCCTTGTTACTGTATTAGTCTGTCAGCACTGGACGCCTTCTGGACGGCGGCTCGCCATGGTGGCACGATACAGTGGGCAATTTCACCCGCAGCAGGAGAAAATTGCAATTGTGAAACGATGGTTCAGTCATGAAGCTGCCATGCCTGGTTGATGATTGGTGAAAGCTGCCTGAAGTATCAAAATATATAAAAAAAAGACCTGCTTCTTGTAGAGGGAGGTTGTACTTCGTACAGCAGCCCATAGGTACTACTGGGTAGGTACACCAAGTCTTTGTTAGCATGTACCACCTTGTCATACTCAATGCCCGAAATGCTGCATGAGAGCAGCCGTCTTGAACCAATATAGTCTCACCCTCCCTTTGGTATCAGTATCAGTATCAGTGCCCAAGACAGGTGATAGAAGCCGCTGCTAATGTCCCATAGATAACATCGCCATTGAAGCTGTTGGTATTGATTGGCAGAAGCAGAAAATGCAACAGCTACAAGATAGGTACCGAATACTGGCTACCTATGCCCTACCACTGACCTATGGCATTGCGTCATGTGGACCGGCGGTCTGACCACCAGGTTCCGTCTGAATTATTACATGTACATACAATCCAGACTCCTGGATATGAGGCACGTCCTCAAAGAGGAAATTGTGATAATAGAACCCCCACTAGGACTTGTGCTCGGTGGTTGCTGGCTGTGCTGCTGCTGCTAGCTACTTTTTCTAATAATACGACGACTCACATGTCGCTAATCAGACATGTCCGCGGCATTGCCTTGACGGCGCCGTGGCTGCTGTACTTGCTGCTGGCAGACATAGCGCTGTCACTGATGCTGCCGTTCAAGGCGCTGGCCCCTGAGCTCGTCTACGACGTGTCGTCTCGCATCGCCGGCTCGGTCTGGCGGTGGATTCAGCTCATATTCGAACACGCCAATGGCGCTCAGATCGAATGCTCTGGCGACGACATCCCGGCGGGCGAATCCGCCATTGTCGTTTCCAACCACTTGGCCTGGTCCGACTTCTATATGATCCAGGCCCTGGCGATACGCAAGGGCATGCTGGGGCGCTGCCGCTACTTTGCCAAGCGCCAGCTACGGCTCGTGCCCTTCCTGGGCTGGGGGCTCTGGGCCATGGGCATGCCAATGGTGAGCCGGAGTTGGCTCAAGGACAAGTCAGGGCTCAATCGTGCCTTTGCCGGTCTAGTTTCCATGAGGCTTCCGACCTGTAAGTCGTTCTTCTCCCCATAAGAGCAGCGGCAACGATGGGTCGTGCTCTCGTCAGTGCGGGCTGGTATACTTCAAAGAGGGCAGGCGTTGACCCGGGTACAGGGCTCATTAGCTTCAGCGAAGCTACTCGCTTCAGCCAGCAGAAATACCAAGAGTCGCAGGCATGGTGTAAGAAGACCGATCGGCCCCATCCCATGCATCTCCTGTATCCCCGCACCAAGGGCTTCATCGCCACGGTCCAGCACCTCCGCAGGGCACCGCACATCAAGGCTGTGTACGACTTGGCCATTTTTTACCGTCGAGGCAGTGAGTTCCAAGAGGCCCCGACAATGTGGGACACACTGAGCATTCCGAGACTGAGCAAGAAGGCCGGCTTCCAATTTCATGTACACGCTCGCCGGTTTCCGATTGAGAGCCTACCGCACACTGACGCCGAGTTGGCCAGCTGGCTGGAGCAGCGGTGGATTGAAAAGGGGGAGTGGCTTGAAGCTCAGAGGCAGAAGTGCCTCGACTCTTGATGCAGCTTGCAAGAAAGTGCCATGTCGAACTACGAGTAGTATTGCTAATACCTATCTATCATGTCTGCACATAAGATGACTATTCTTTACAGGGTACTAGGGTGGCCATTGAACTCGTTTCAGCTCTCAAGAGAAGTTGTGCATATACTAATACTATATATATGCTCCGTATAGTACCTATATGTGTTTACGGGGTATGGCGTACGGGTTGGAGAACGGGCGTTCAATACTTACTTCATACTATATATGGTAATGTCTAATACTAGTAGTTAGGAGGCATAGTATAAGAATGGAAAAGGGAAGACGGCCATGGCTGCGACGCACATGAGGGATTCTACAATCATCTCGTGGCGCACTATGCTGCACCTCCTTACCTATTTACCCCCAGATTGGCACTTATACGAAGGGCAGCTAGAGCTAACTGCATCATGGGTTCTTGGAGCATGCAACCTGGGTTCAAAAAAAGATATGGTAATCGGTTCTTGTGATATGCGTCCCGCGGATGCACTACAGCTCGTTCGAGACGTCTCTCGCTGCAGAGCTAACACACGGTGCGAATACCGATACAGTAAATATTCCGCTGCCTTTGACGCTAACAGCATGGGTGGGAGGCAAGCAGCCATTGAGCTTGAGCTCCAGCTTGAGCTAAGACGGAGCAAAGGTGGGAGTGAGGAGGAAAACTACCCCAAGATGCTGCGGAGAGAGAGTTGGGCGGCAGATCCAATCCAAGCCCGCGCTGCCGATCCAGATGCTTCCACCCAGTTGCGCAGGCTTTTCCGGTGATGCTTCTGGATCTCCCGCGTTTGTGCAAACGAAGATGCCTGGTTGGTGCAACTGTAACCGTTCTAGATGAATTCTTTCCGACGCGGCCCAGGTCCAAGCCCATGGCCCCACGACCTGTCCCGTTTCCTGGCGCTATTCTGCGTGATTGATGCGACCCGGCACATTCTCCTTACCTAGGCTGCTGTATGCCGGTGCATGAATGCAAGGCCGTTGCTATCACAACCATCACTGGCCACCCACACCCTCTGGAAAACCCGGCTAGGCTTGGGGTAGTTGGCCTAGTGATGCTGCGACGCCGTAATGATATCAGAAGCAGTGCCGGTACAGTGTCGATTGGGGGCATGCCACCCGCGTTCCGTTATTAATGCCATGACTTTATCGAATGTGCAAAAGCAAACCACCCGCTTACGTGACGTGGCGTGGTCGCAGAAACCGCATGCATGTCGGGCTGCCGTGCCATCCCCCAAACCAGCCCTTATGCAGGCCGATCAGAGGGAGCGGGCGCTGATTGTAGGGGACCGCGACAAATTTTCTCTGCTCTGCTCGCTGAGGGCTTCTCCCAGGCCCTGCTGGACGCACGGGGGACCGTCCCAGAGCCTCCCCAAGGGCCCCTCCAAGGCCGCTAAGGATTCTCCCGTTAGGCCCTCACTGTGCAGCGCCGCGCAGCTGCAGCGCCCATCTGCGCTATGTCCGCGCTGTGGCCCAGCAGAGTTTAGAGGCGCCGCCGCAGAGGGTTGGATCAGGCGGGTAAAGGGCCTGAGGAGATGGTGTGCCGTGATTGGCCCACGGGCTGCGTGCCCCCCCGCTTAATGTGTCATGGGGAGGAGAGGACGCGACCATGGCCTTTTCTGCTTGGCCAGAGATACTCCGTTTGGCCTGGGGCCTGGCCGAGGCGGCTGGTACCTCGATTAACAATTGGACTGGGCCATCGTGAAACGAACCACTCCCGACTGAGCTGACTGGCATCCGACCTGCCGCCTTGTGTGTCCAGCGATTGCTGCTCCTGAGAACGCCCGCCGCCCGTTCGACTTCAGTGGTAACTCAAGGTCTGTGGTTCAGCGCAATTCAGCTGCGTTCACCGGTTCGTCTGTCTGTTCGGTCTTGGCTGTCGAGCTTGTCTAGGGTGCTGCGTCTGCCTGGGGCCTGGGATTGCCAGCCCAGCATCCTGTTGTCATTTTTTTTTTTTTTTTTTTTTTTTTTTACTCAGCATTCTTCAACGACCCAACGCAACGCCCAGCATACCCTGTCATCGAATATACGTCCCCGCGCCAGCAACAACGAAACAGCGAGCGAGAGAGGCGGCTGTGAGCCTACGCCGGCGGTCTTCAGTCATGTATCCGAGCTTGATGGGTCTGTAGTTCTGGCTGCCTCGCCAGACCCCGAGTCTCTCTACGAACCAAACCCCAGCTCCCCCACCATCACCGCTGCCTTTCCCGAGATCGTTGCTGTCAATAGCTTCCCGCCGGCTCCTGCGTACACAGGGCGCTTCAGCAGCCCCGGCGCTGCTCTCTCCTCGCCGCCATGGACAAGCCATCCAATCCCGCCATCGTTTCGCTGGCCCCGCCGGCCGTCTCGTCGCTGCGAGCCTCGCAGGCCACGGCCATGGCAAGATCTATCAGCCAGGACATCCGGGAAGAACGCGAGGAACTGCGCGAGGCCGCCGAGCAGACGCTGAATGCGATTGCCTACCTCAACCTCGATGGCACCATCAAGTGGGTCAGTCCTTCGTGGACTGATGTCGTTGGCACAACGGTCAAGTCGGTCGAAGGCGTCCCAATTTCCGATTTGATAGCCAGCGAAAATAAGTGTGTCTTTACAGATGTGGTCGATTCGATGAAGAGGGACGACTCCAAGAGCCACAGGGTCCGCTTCTCCGTCATCTTGGGGCCCCTCTCAAAGCTGCGGTCGTTGGACAGCATTGGGGCTCTTGATTCATCAGATGTCCCACCGACGGAGATGGCCGACCTTGAAGCACAGGGCATCATGGTATATGACAGCGTATCGGGAGGTGAAAGCCATGTAGGTTTTCCTTTGGCCTGGAGCAGGTGAACAAGAGGCTCTCCTCTCCTCTCATCTGCTTCGTATGTTTGAATTTGTAATTTGTTGACTGGTTCATGATCTAGACAATGTGGATGATTCGCCCATGGATACCCCATGAAGTTCAAATCGATCTCCCTGCCGTGATTGTCGACTCCCTAGGCTCAGGGGCCGAAATCCTCGCTGGCATTCTCACTCGCATTGCTGAAGCCGCAAGCGAGGAATCAGAGGAGCCAGAACCTCCGCCGCCCGTTCTCTGTCGCATCTGTGAGCGTCAGATACCTCCTTGGTGGTTTGAAAAGCATACCGACCTGTGTCTACAAGAACACCGGGCCGAAATGGATGTCCAAATGGCTCAAGAGAGCCTAAGTGAACATAGAAATGCCATCGTCAGGGTCCTCGACGCATTAGAGACACGCAAGAGCCGATCTCTATCTGGCGACTCGCCTAATCTTCCGGTGGCCGAATACAAGGGCCAGCCCATTGGCCCTCCGCCCTCAGCACAGTCATCCCCGGGGACTTCACTGGCTCGCTCACGGGAGAGACCTGGCGGATTTGGACATGCTAGAGCCCGCTCCTTTGCCATTCGTAGGCCGCAAGCCCGTATCGTGGAGCTCCTGCTGGATCTATGCGATACCGCCATCGAAATTAGCTGTCCAGGGATCAAAGAGAGTTCTTCGCTGCATGGCCACTGGGAATTACGCACCCAGTCGCCTCAATCAGAATCAAGGATCTCACAAGTACTCCAATGGCAATCGCCTAGCTCAAACACTCTTGAGCAAGAACAAGGCCTGGCATTGCTCTGCGAAGATACAGAAAAAGCCGCCCGAACCAAGGTGGATGCTGTCTTTCGCCATCGACAGATTATCGAATATGCAGAAAGAATCCGGATTGAATTCGCGGTTCTAGTGCAGGACTGCATTGATGAGGCGACCAGGAAAGCTGCTCGCATTGCCGAGGGAAGGTTTAGTGATTCCAGCGAAGACGAACTCGATGAGCAGCAGCTGCCAGACACAGAAGATATTGACGCAATTGACGCGAGAAGTGAAGTAGACGAACCACAGAGCCGTACTGGTGACGAGCAATTTGAACACTCCATTACAAGCCCTTCTGCCTTGGCAGCCGCTCTTCGGCAGGTAGATATGTCTGGAGGGCTTGGCCGATCTCGTCCGACGTCGTTCGTGGGGTCTACTAGATCTAGCAGCCCTAGAGAGTGCCCAACTCCACGATCCCATCCGGGAGGATTGAGTATTTTGAACCAGTCTCGAGATTCGCGACGGGGGTCTACTCTCCCGGTTGAGAGTGACATTGGCGAGAGCGAGGGAAGTTTGCGATCATCATCGGTGGCTTCCCGAGGGCCTCACAGGACTGAGTCTCCCATTTCTGACTTTGGCGACCTTCGGCGTGCGGCCAGCTCAAGACGGCATAGACGAAGCTTGATCATACCAGAAACGTCCTCCCCCCGGCGGCAAGAATCCCCGTCGCGGATGATCACACAGCCTTCCTCCCCTCTCCGGATCAAGGCTCGAGTGATACCCCTGGGACACGAAGGGATAGTTTCTCCTGAAGCGTCACCAATGTTCCCGAGCAGCGAGTTCAGCTCTCCAGTTACACACCCGTCCAGGCACCACAGGAGACAATCGTCCGCAGCCATTTCGGACTTCGTTATGAAGCCACCGCCGTCTCCGCGTCTCAACGCCAATAACCAACCACCCCCCCAGCCACGATCGTCGCAGCCGTCGATTAAGGATTTTGAGATTATCAAACCCATCAGCAAAGGGGCCTTTGGCAGTGTTTATCTCTCAAAGAAGAAGTCTACTGGAGAATATTTTGCCATCAAGGTATTGAAAAAGGCAGACATGGTTGCCAAAAATCAAGTTGGAAATGTCAAAGCGGAGCGTGCTATCATGATGTGGCAGGGGCAAAGCGATTTTGTTGCAAAGCTGTACTGGACGTTTTCCAGCAAAGATTATCTATATCTTGTTATGGAGTATCTCAACGGAGGCGACTGCGCCTCTCTCATCAAGGTACTGGGCGGCCTTCCTGAAGATTGGGTCAAAAAATATCTGGGAGAAGTTGTCTTGGGAGTAGAGCATCTCCATGAGAGGGGGGTTATTCACCGAGACCTTAAGCCTGATAACCTGTTGATTGATCAAAAGGGCCACTTGAAGCTGACTGACTTTGGACTTTCACGAATGGGCTTGGTAGGTCGACAGAAGAGAGCTTTGAACAGTGATCACGCAGATTCCACTCCAGATTTGCTCAAACAGGGCCCCTTTGTTCGGTCCACGTCAATGGCATCTTCTCGATCAACTTCGCTCGATGTTCAGGGCCACTCACCGGGTGCAACTCCCCAAATGACTCCAGATCCCGGCGGCCCATGGCAGCCGTCATACTTTAGTCTCGGCCCCGCGCAGCAGCCAGATCCACGCCGCATTTCGAATAGCCATCGAAGCGATAGCGGTGGGAGTGAGACATTGAGCCGCATGCTTACAACCTTTTCCATCCACGACCTCGATGCCGGCTCTCAGCCGCCGAGCGCAAGGTCATTCTTAGATGAAGATGCTGTAATTCATGCTTCGCCAGACCTAGCACCCTATCAATCTAATACCAGGACTAGTATGGACAGCCACAGCAGGGGCTCCCTCCCTCCACCAGGCATGGTGCCACCCCCTATGGCACTATTCGACCCAGAGGATACAAACCGACGGTTCGTCGGAACCCCAGACTATCTAGCTCCAGAAACGATCAAGGGTGATAAGCAAGATGAGACAAGTGACTGGTGGTCCGTCGGATGTATCATGTTTGAGTTTCTATACGGCATCCCCCCATTCCATGCCGGTGAGGCTGAGCAAGTATTTGAAAACATATTGGCCCGAAAGATTCAGTGGCCGGATGAAGCGGACTGCGAACCTGTATCTGACGAGGCGAAGGATCTAATCAATAAGCTGTTATGTATGGATCCACCGCTGCGCTTGGGATCTAATCGCGAGGATAAATTCGCTTCGGGCGGTGAAGAAATACGTAACCATCCTTGGTTTGAGGGCGTCAATTGGGACAGCTTATTGGAAGATGAGGCACAATTTGTTCCTCAACCGGAGAACCCTGAAGATACAGAATACTTTGATGCGAGAGGCGCTGTCCTCCACTCATTTGTAGAGGAGATTGAAGATCAGACGTCACCGCAATCGTCTACAGCCGGGTCGAATGAATACCCAGATAGGCCCCACGATGCCCTTTCACGAGTCCGTTCGCAGGTGAACTCGATGGGAAGAAAACTGATGCCACTACATATCCCTCCTCATGTGCGAGACCTGAAGTCACGGAGACTGAGTGAGCCCATTGCTGCCGATGACTTTGGCAGCTTCTCTTTCAAGAATCTTCCGGTGCTGGAAAAGGCAAACAAGGACGTAATTCAGAAGCTCCGCGCGGAGGCACTGGCGGTCCAGAGCAAGCAGGCCTCTGTTAGTCCCGGAGGGCTCGGCGGAGGCATGCCATCCCCAGCGCCCTCCCTGGAAGGCAGCCCTGTAGTAGCAACTCACGTCCAAAGAACTTTGTCCAATGCAAAGGCTGGCAACCGCCCACAGTCCCCGTCTGGTATTAGCCTCGCAACTGCCTCTCCTAACAGGATCTCTCAGGTTTCGCAGCCTTCACAGCCGTCATCTCCTTTGATGAACTCTTTCATAGCTGGACATGGACCGCCAGATGGCCGTAGAAAGGCATCAAGCAACTCATCTAGCTTGTCTTACCAGTCAACATCTTCTTCTCTGCAGCCAAATGCTGCCGCCATTGATGTACCAAAAGTGCCTCCCAGCCTGCAGAGAGCTGCAACATCTGCAGCTGCGTCGCCGGTTAAGCCTCGTGGCGGAGGAGGCACCGCACCACCTCCGCTGGCTCTATCTCCAGGAAAGGTGTTGTCAACGCCTGTCCGGCAAGGAAGCACATCTTCAACGAGCCGGTCCAGGTCGTTAACCGTAGGATCGCAAGAGGCTAGCCCTATCGCAACGGATATGCTCCAGCATCACCACCGTAACCGTCGGAGCCAGGTATTTGACATGTCCCCCTCATCATCTGATAATGAGGGAGATAAGCATAACGCCCTCCTGAGGGTTCAGAGGCGCCGACAAAGCTCACGACGACTTTCCCAGATTGCCTTTGATAGCGGTCCCACGTTCCGACCTCTGGATGTGCTAATCTGCGAAGACCATCCTGTGTCACGAATGGTGATGGAGAAACTGTTGGAAAAGCTACGCTGCCGCACCATTTCCGTGGCTAACGGGTCGGAAGCGGTGCGATTCTCGATGAGCGAAATCAAATTTGACATCATCTTTATTGAATACAGGCTCCCGCAGATCAACGGAGTTGACGTCGCCCGTATGATTCGAGAGACCAAGAATGCCAACTCACACACGCCAATTGTAGCCATTACAGCCTATCTAAAGGAGCTGCAGGCCCCACACCACTTTGACTCTCTGATCGAGAAGCCCATCAGCTCGTCGAAGCTGTCGGAGGTGCTCCGAGGCCTCTGCCAGTGGCAACCTGAATCCCCTCACAGGCCACCCTTGACATCCATAACAGCGGCTATTCCTCTCAATCTCAGGAGGGCACACCCACGTCAAATGGATGACAGTCCAACGTCGAGCATCTCTGCCTTTATAGGGCGGCATGGGTCAGCCATGGTGTCAAGTCGAGAGGATTCCATCGCCTCTAGCATGTTCGATTCGGAATCCTATACTACGGAAGACATCCCCGTAGTCATCAGCCGCAAGGCGACTGGCGACTGGGAAGACAGCGGCGGCCTCGGAATCAGCGACATTGACGCAACACTTGGGCTCGACAATCCGACTAAAAGTACACCCTCGCTCGTGTGTCAGCAGTCGGCACCAGCACATCTGGAAGTCATGTCACGCGGCTTAGATAATCGGCTCAAGGTCCGGCACGATATCTTTGACAAGAAAGCTTTAGAAGGCACAGAATCGGCGGATGACGAAGACGAAGAGCTTGAGGGCAGGAGAGACATGCAGCTTCGGCGAGGGAGCAAGGCTATCATTGGAAAAGGCACGCTGCCGAGCTCCAAGCTGGGCATTGAAATGATGCGAGCGGATAGTCACGATAGCGTCACATTATCAGACAGTACATCCGAGGCTGTAACGCAGGTAGCAACAACGCCCTCTCTAGAGTTGGAAAGGCAACTAGTTGGTATGCCTCCCGACCTAGCAGTGGTGCAGAGTACGCCAAGCAAAATTGATGTAGCTGGCGCTGAGTCAGAAGATGCGTTTGTTCCCGGGAGCGCTGAAGCAACTCCAAGACCGCCTGCAGGTGTGGCTGATGCAGACAGGACGGGCAGCGCAACTTCGGTGGTAAAAATCCAACTAGATGGAGAGGACGAGACAACGCCACGACCTCTGGGGAAATAGGAACGACAAATACTTCCCCCTTTTTTTTAACGATTATTATGTATTCGTCTCATTCTTTTATCATTCATCTTCAATTCACATTTTTTCTTCTCCAAGCCCGCTGGAGGAAAATCTTGTTCTCTTCCCTTATCGCGCCTCCTTTTTTTTTCCATTTATCAAAATGTACGTTGCTCAGAGACGAGTGGAAACGACCAAAAGAAAAAAAGTCACATCTTTCTCTTTGTCTGAAACGAAATAGCAGCGAGGCGTTATATGGGAAATGGCGATTCAAGTTGAAATGCAAAACGGAGCGAATGCATTGCTTATCTGACGGGATGGATGATGATTAAACTGAGGAGCCTCGCTGTCCCACTCACCCATTTCCCTTTCCCTTTCCTTTTTTCTTTTCCTTTCTTTTCAATTTTTCCTTGTTTTTTTTTTTTTTTTTTGTTTTTTTTCCTTTTTATGCCACGAGGCTCGCGATGAACGATTGCTTCCTTATCGTGGGCAGCTAGATGATTTTGGTCTGCTGGGGTTGACTTGACTATTTATTTACTTTTGTAGCGGGTATTTAACCTCGTGTTGTCTGTGTGTATATATAGAGAAGATTCTGACGTATGGCAATGAAAAATATTTAGCTACCATGAGTGTTTGCGTGCTGCTGCCTTGCATGCTATGTCCTAAGAAGTTGTGATTTATCGATTTTCACATTATTGCCTGGACTTGTGTGATGTGTTTTCCCCCCTCTTTTTGATTCGGGTAAAAAAAGGTTTCTGTAAGAGATGTTAGTAAATACTATCAGGTAGAAGGAAATGAATGCGCAGATGTACATCTTTGCAACTGCTCGGAGATATGAGGAATGTTGCCTCGGTTAGTAGGAGAATGAATCTCATCGCGAACACTAGCTATGAAGGGAAGGGTCCAATATATCATCTCTAGATCAATAATATACCCACTGGGATGCCCTAGATTGATTTAAATACGGGTTTAGACTATCCGCCTACCTACCTATATATTGAGCTGTAGTTGAAGACCAGAGGGTTTGCTGCATGGTAATCACTCTCATCACTTGCTTTAAGGGGAAGACTTGTTCAGGCATCATCTGCTTTTGAATGCTTAGAGCAAGCATTTCCCCTTATAGAAACTGCCTCGTTTTCTGATGACTGCATCTGTAAGGGCACTTGTAAGTTTTTTTTTTTATGAGCCTGTTAGAAGTGTAAAAGAATCAAAAGAGGAACTGCCAGAATAAGCTTCCTGGTAGAAACCGCTACTACAACTTCAGCCATGCAAGCCAAGCACTTATATCCAGGCTCACTTTCAGGAAACCCAAATCTTTCAAATAGCCTTACACTTTTTGGCGGCTAGTCGGTCAATCGCTTTTACAAGCGTACCTACTATTAAAAAGGCTTCCACATTTTTCTTTGGGATTCCAGAGCTGGGAATTGGCAGGCCAGAAGTAACGCCCCCGGCTAGACAACTTTGCAAAAACGGCATATTAGGTAAGTTTTGAATGACATAACTTGGGCTTCTATGCAGAGGCGCGGCAAGCGCTGGTTTAAAAAAAAAAAAAAATACATGGCATCATAGGACTGCTGATATACCGGATGCGAATTCCGACCTTTTGCAGCTGAACAGCTGGGATGTGGAGAAGGGGGGGAGCTGAACGAACGTCGCTGCACCACGCATGTAATCACGATGCCGTTTCCAAAACACCGAAGCGTTTTTTTTTTTTTTTTGGTTGGAATCAACACATGCCAGCGCAGCATAATTATGCGGTATGTAACCCGATTTAAACACCGAGTGTCTCTATTCGAACATTTTGTGGCGAGCTGTGAGTTTCGGGCTTAATTGCTGCTCGCCTGTGGCTGGATTGCTCGGTGAGCGTATTTATGCTAGCAAAAGCGCCGAGTTTGGGTGTGGCTTTTGATTGCGGGCGAAAAAAGAGTCAAGGAGCTTACGGTAAGTATCTGCAGATAGAGTACATGCACTGCTAGTTGGATCATGCTGCAAAGCTGGAGTCTCCGCGGGAAAGGGGTAAACTGTCGGTGGGTTGAAGCGTCTGGCGCGCGTACAAGCTTTAATGAAAAGCTGCAGCATCGTCCGTTTAGCTCGTGTGATGCAACTCATAAAAACAGGGGAAAGGGGAAAAAGCGAGGCCTCTCCAGGGTAGCGTCTCCCCAGAGGTGCAAAGTTGTAGACAGCACACCGATTGCTCTCGTAAGTGGAGGCAGCCATCTACGTAGCCCCCTCTGCCCCGCCTAGATTCGCTGTCCTTCTTCAACTGGTGCATAGGCGGAGAAAAGGGTGAGAGGTTAAAAAAAAAAAAAAAAAAAAAAAAAAGAAGGAAGAGGCGGATGTTAGCCGAAAGACCCTGAATTCCAGCCCCGCAAGCTGCATACAGTGATGGAGCTCCCGCCAGCCCCCCTGATAACCTTACAGGACTGCTTCTCGCACCTAATCTACGAACTACAGAATGCGGAGGCATGTACAGCAGGAGAGCTGCGGTAGTACAGTACTAAGGCAATCGAATCACTGCAGTGGGTGAGGCCAGAGACATGTGACAGAGGGGGAGAGAGACACGAGAAAGACACCAGCGTTCTGGAATCTGGGAAAAACTTTCTCGGAGGCTTTGCGCATTGCTGGGGTTGTGGCGCCTTGCCCGTCCGACTCTTGTTCTGCTATTCCCTAGCGGTGGCGGCGGTGGCGGCGACTAAGCGACTAAGCGACTTTTCTTCCTTTTTTCTTTTCTTTGCCCTTCTTTGTGCCACGCTACTCAGTTTCGGCCATGATCTGCCCTTTGCTGCTCTTCGAGTTACCGTGTTCGGCTGAGCACGTGCTCCTGCCAGTCCCTCCATTCGTAGCGAGACAAGCGCGGCCCTTGAGCATTGAGGCGTTGGCTGCGCTAGGGCTTGTGCTTGATGCGCTTGCGCTGCCAACGGTGAGACGTGCAGTGCATACTTGTACTATGTATGGTCTAGGATCTAATTGTGGTGACTGAAACGGCCTGATGCTGCTTCGGCGTTACGAGTGAAGAGAGGAAAATGATCAAGGGCTCCATATTGTACTGCAGTGGCCAATGCATTGCTGTACGGGGTACAAGGAACATTCGTGCTGCCCAGTGCCTCGGGGGATACAGTTCGCATCATCACAGCATGTGCTTCTCTCCCCAGCATTCAATCAATGGTGAATAAATGTCCAAATCGGGCCAGCCTTGAGCCAGGGGCGTTTGCACGTTCCTCACTGATTGGATCAAAAGACACGAGGCTCGCGGGCGAGGCCGACCGAGAATCTAAATCGCCTTTAAACCTTAAATCTCCATGGCCTGGCTACGGAAGCTGCGAAAACCAAACCCCTAGGCGCCTGGACCGTATAGCGGCACCGCGGCGAAAACACGCCGCCTCGGTGCATGTTTGGGGAAATAAATGGATATTCGCCGTTTCGATAGTTCGATTGCCAAGTCTCTTTCGTCTTGCCCTTTGTCTCTTTGTGCTTGCCCTCCCTTTTTGCTGTGTCTTGCTCCGGCGTTGTTTCCATTTACGAATTGGAGCAGCATGCTGGCGGGAGGGGAAGTCGAGACTCTGCACTTGACTCACGCGACAACTTTCCCACTTTGGCTGGCTCACTTGGCAAGGGTGGATTGTGTGACGTGCAAGATCCGTTGCCAAGCAGATCCGGCGTGTGATAGGCTGCAAGTGCCGGGCGTCACTGAACGACATGCGAAGATGGGAAGAAAGCCATCCGGCGCCGTACCGTAGAAAGCTGTAAAAAAGAAGCAATTCAAAGCCTTATTTTGGGTAAATTTAGCATGATATCGCACACTGACATTCGGCGCTGGACTTGGTCAGTGCAACTGCTAGGCTTTGCTGGGGGGGCCCCAATAATTTGGGCAAGATCAGCACGAATTTTCGCAGTCCGAGGTGCCGCTCTATCCGGATGCAGCAGCAGCAGCGCCAACCGGGAGGCGGCCACGCACCACGCCTTGCGCTCTTTCCCTGAGAGACACCTTCGTGTCGGCTAGGCACAATTTTAAGATGCTGACTTGGGAAAGACAGCGGCCAATCGAGGCCTGCACCTGCCGAGCATCAGCTACAGAAGGAACGTGACGCCCAAATTGTGTGCATCAAAGCTGATCTCTGGTGCAGAACTTGTACCTTGGGGATCAGCCCAGTGGAGATTTTTTCTTTTTTTTTACTTGTACTTTCCCGCCACCGAAAAGGTACGTTTGTACACACAGGTTCAATGCACTGCTACTCCATAGTACATGCACATGGCAGCCCATTTTGCTGCTCTTTACTTGTACCTACATGAAGAAATGGAAGCAGGGAGCCTTTCGCCTCTGTTGACCGAGGCCCCAGCCAGGGAGGGTGCGCTCCGGCGGCCGCAGACACCAGAATGGCTACCGAGCAAACGTGTCTATGTCCAGAATCAGCACAGGGAACCCCTACCAGATGGCCCGCATGAATGGGAACCTGGAAGATTTGCCCACTGGAGAGATGGCCCGATTTGCTCAGCAGATCATTCGTACATACGAGGAGAGATCCTGGGCCAAAAAAAAAAAAAAATGAAGAGAATTAGCAAGCCAACTCCAGAAAGGGTGCTGCAACAAAGCCTCGTCTGGAGAAGCGAGCAACTGAGAAAAGCTCGCAGCGCCAAAGCAAGCCATCGAACTGCCTAGACGCATAGTGGCGGTAAAATCTTAGATCCTGGCGTTGCGAACCTTGACTGTCTTGGGCTACGGCGAATCGAAACGTACTGCATATCTTTTTTTACCACGGCGAGTACGACAGCGCTAGATCCGAGACAAGACAAAGCCCAGCACTTGTTGAGCCCGGGCTTTCCGCTACGACCAGCTAGGTAGCACTTATTACGGGTCATTGGCTGCTCAAAGGCAAAAGAGACCGACAGGCCACAGTCGCGCAATGTGTGTGGGCAGCTGTGGAGAGTATCCCAAACCTCCACGAGGCCAGCGACGACGGAATGGAGCAGCTGGGCCTGGCGTGGCCGCCCCCCGGCAAGGCCACTGATGGACCATGGTTCGCCCACGATGCAGATTCTGCGATTCTGACTGGCTGCCCAGAAGCTGTCTTTCGGTGGTCGAATGCGGCTTAAAGCGTGGATACATGGCCGATGTTCTCAATGCCGTGAAAACACTGCTTTTTGGCGAGTCTCCAGCCCACAGTTTGCAGTTACCGCCAATCTGGACTGACTTGCGACTGCGACAGACAAATAAAGCAGTTGTGGCCCTTCAACCTGGCTTCTCGGCTCCCTTCTCTTCTTCTTCTTCATCCTCATCTTCATCACACTTCCTCTCCCGTGTGTGTTGGTGTGGTGGAAGCTGTCAAAGCAACCCATCCTTGTTGCTAGGGCACCGTTTCTCTTCCCTTTCTCGGCCATCTCTCCCCGCAACCGCAGCGCTCGCTGTCCAATCACATCGCTTTCTTCGGCGGCGGCTGCACAATTCCTGCTTCTGTGCAGTGCATAACGGCTTTACACCATTCTACGCTCTGCTATGGCTGCTAACGAGCACCATGGCCTGGGCGGCATGATCCCCGGCGAGATCCCAATCCCCCACGGCCCTCACGGCGACAACGACGACCGCGATGACTTCCCGCTCGACCAGGACGAGCGCCGTGTCTTCAGCCATGTCACTCGTCCCGATGACAGCTACACCCCGGAGGGTGTGTACTGGGCTGATCTGCCCTTTGTCCAGCGCGTCAAGTTCGTCTCGGCGGTCGACCGCCAGGCTGCTCGTGAGGAGCTCAGCACCATCTGGTCTATGATGAAGAAGGACCCTTTGTCTCCCATCTCGTGGTACTTTCGCCATGCTGTCATCCCCGGTGCTGGTCTTGGTCTGGAGGGCTACGTCCTCTTCTCCATCGGTAACCTGGCGTCTCTTTTCGCCGCTGCCTGGCCTGAATGCTGGGGTTCCAAGGCCAAGGTGTGCGATGCCAACTGGATTGCTGCTGTCACATATTTGGAAATTATCGGTATCATGATCGGTCAGGTCATCGTTGGTGTAAGTGCTCGCTCTCAACTAGCCCAACCAGGCAGAAATCTTGTGACTGACTTGGACGTAATAGGTTATCGGTGACTGGATTGGTCGTCGCTGGGGTCTCATCCAGGATGCCATTATCATGTTTATTGGTCTTCTCATGCTTACAGCTTCCTGGGGTCTTACCCTCCAGGGCTGGGTCATCTGCTATGCTTGGTCTCTCTTCTTCTACTCCGTCGGCGTGGGTGGCGAATACCCCATCACTGCTACTTCTTCCCTTGAGAGCGCCGTCACTGCCGGTAAGCTCTCGACCAAGGAAGATCGTCTGCACCGTGGCCGCCGTGTCACCATGGCTTTCCTGATGCAAGGTTGGGGTCAGTTCTTCAACCAGGTCATCCTCATCGTCCTGCTCGCCATCTTCAACAGCGGCCGAGGCGGTCCCCCTTACAGCAAGGAGGCTGCTCAGTTCACCTTCCGTCTGTCCTTTGCCTTCCCTGCCATCGGTACTCTTTGGCTCGTCTACTACAGAACCTGGAAGATGCCCAACGCATCGAAGCAGCTTGCTGAAGCCAAAAGCCGCACTAGCGTCACCGGCTACGACGTTACCGCCCTCAAGTCATGCTTCACCAACTTTGGCGGACGCCTGCTCGCCACCGCCGGTACCTGGTTCTGCAACGACGTTTTCTTCTACGGCAACAAGCTCTTCCAGGGTCAATTTATCAAGGTCATCTCTGACAACCCCAACTCTCTCATGACCGCATGGTCCTGGAGTTTGGTCAACATTGTCGTCTCCCTGGCTGGCTACTACGCAGCTAGTTTCCTCATCGATAACAAGCTCTACGGCCGCAAGTGGATGCAGCAAATTGGCTTCTTCATGTGCTTCCTCATGTTTGTCATCCCCGCCTTCAGATACGAATACTACTCTAGCCCTGCCGGTATCCACTCCTTCCAGGCCATGTTTTTCCTGTCATCCTTCTTCAACCAGTTTGGCCCCAACTCCGTTACTTTCCTCGTTGCCGGTGAGGTTTTCCCTACCCCCATCCGTGCTACTGCCCACGGCTTCTCTGCTTGTCTCGGCAAAGCCGGCGCTCTGCTGGCTTCGATTCTGTACAACTACATCGACATCCAGACCCGATTCTACGTCGTCCCCTGGTTTGGTCTGGCTGGTATGTTCCTCACCTGGCTTTTCCTGCCCGACACCACCGGTCTCGACCTCAAGGAGCAGGAGCGACGATGGCGCTACATCCGTGAAGGCAGAGCCGACGAGTACCACGGTGTTGCCGTCCACCCCCAACATCTTTCCCTATGGGAAAGAATCCGTGGTGCTAGCAAGTCATACGACCCCCAGTTGGACTGGAAGCAGAAGGTTGATGACATGCGAGCCGAGTGGGAGGCTATTCAGGCTGCTCGTGGACCCAAGGAGACCGAGGATAACCACGATCATCACGATAGCGAGTTCTCTCCCGAGATTCACGCTTTCTTCAAGCGCTCCAGCCCTGCTGTCCGCTCTCAAGGCGTCTTGAGCGAAAAGATTGTCACCGACGAGGGTTCATCGGAGTAAAACCTTTGGACTCCTTTCACCTTTTCTGATACGAATATTTGTTTATGCTACATATTTTATTTCTATTTTTTTTCTTAACGCCTAATATGCATAAGGGGGTTTGTCTTTTTCCTGTTTCTCATTATACCAAATATCCGGGCCGTGGAAGGCGGCGGATGAAGAGCTGATGTGCACATAAGCGACGTGGATAGAGCGTTGTGTTTGCTTGGTCGTTGGGAGAAGAGTCTCGACGCTTGAATGATTTTTCTGCGATTCCCTAAAACTGGCGATTTCCTGCTTAGAGAGTAGGACATGGAAGTGCATTGAGTATGATATAGAGTATCGAGTATACATATACCTTTAGTGCAAATGAAACGCCTTGCAATGATTCTCACAAAGTATGTGTCGATATGGTTTCTTGTGAATTGATATGTGAAATCGTACCTAGATGGATGAGTTTGAGAGTGATTAGCTTATTGATGTGTCTTGCCACCTTGTATAATTCCATCAGGAGAAGGTGATTATCGTCAGCTGTTCTCTATTAATCATAACAACGATAACAACAACAACAATAATAAAAAGCAGCTCGACTATTGTAATCTGGTAGTAATCATGCCAGTCAAAAGGGAGAAGAAAGAACAAGTTCAAAGGTTCTATCACTGCTCCGCAAGTCTGTCACTCTGCCTCTCATCTACAGCTGGAGCAGTGTCAAGAAAAAAAGGCCCAAAGTGCCGGACACCGTTAAACCCACTCCGCATTTCCGCAGCCAATTACTAGTCCAAAATTCACTTCTGCCCGTTTATCTCCAGGCCCTCGTCTCTCTCTTTTCTCCTCTTCCGTCCGTACAATCTCTTCAATTGGAGGTAGTAGACTTTTTTTTTTTTTTTTTTTTTTTTTTTTTTTTTGCACAACGGTTCATGTTTTGGGAAATCATGGTTGGGGCAAAAAATTGGGATGCTGACTTGATTTTTAACCTGATATGGAAATACATACTAGTGCCCTTTTGGGTAAGCTCGATTGAAGCGGGAAACGGGACGGAGAATCGGCATCGGAATGGTTCATGACTTTTCCCCCAGGGACCACGACTATAGTACGTATATGAATAAACTGATACGTTCCACGTAAATCAACCCCGAGGGGAAAAAGGGTGAATAATACGTACAAAGGAGATTAATGGCCTTAGAGAAATCTTAAATCCGAGCTAGACATTCACTGGCGGCGGGATGGCGACGCTGACTGGTGGACTAGCCCTCTTGGGCATATCCTGATCATGATTTTGGCAGAGGAGTTTTTGACGCAAGTTGATTTTTTTTTGTCATGACTGTCATGTAAAGGGGTTTTTATTTTTTTTTGGAGTCTGGTTCTAGATCGATCGAGTGAGTATATATCTTGTGAGGAGGGACCGCTGGTTTGAGTTTGGAGATGCTTGATAGACATCCATAGCAATCTAACTTTGTGTATCCTCATATATTCCAACACCCTTCTCATCAGCATCAGCATTTGCAAGCCAAATTAGTATCATTCCTCTATTCCAACACCATAATAGACAGCATACAGCAGCCATGGCCACCGCAGCAGACTCACAAGTCATTCTTTCCTCCGAGTTCATTCTCAGCAAGTACGGAGAGTCCCTCGCCGGCAAAACAAGTATGTCACATATCAGCCATCTATTCCTAGACCCAGTTCTCCCTCCTTTCTTCCAAATTCCATGGAAGATTAACATCGAGTTTCTTCAGTCCTCATCACTGGTGTTGCCGGCGACTCCATTGCCGGCGAACTCGCTGTCCAAGTCAGCTCCGCCAACCCTTCCACCCTCATCCTTACCGCCCGGGCCGAGTCCCGCGTCGAGCCCATCGTCGCCAAGATCAAGGCCAAGAACCCTACCGTCAACGTCCGCTTCCTCAAGATCGACCTCTCCAATCTCAGCGACGTACGAAGAGCCGCGAAGGACCTCAGCGATGTCCCCAAGATCGACCACCTCGTCGCCGTGGCGGGCGTCATGATGCCCCCCTTCGCCAAGACCGTCGACGGCGTCGAGTCACAGTTTGCCGTCAACTACCTAGCCAACTTCTTGCTGGTCAAGGAGCTGCTGCCCAAAGTTCGGGCCGCGGCGCCCAAGTCTTCCATCGTCATCTGCGGTAGCTCCGCTATGCGGTCAGGAGTAGTCAACTTCGACGATATCAACTACAATGTTCGTTCCTCCATCTCCGTCTCCGAATAAGCACACGCAGTAACTTCCGGATATTGATATTTTGTGCTCTATAGGACGGCAAAGATTATGACCCTCGGGCTGGATACGGACAGTCCAACGCTGCTCGATCAATTTTCGCCAAGCTTTTGGCAGAGAAGCTGCAAGGAGAAAACATTCGCGTCTTCAGCATCGACCCTGGCGGTACGTAATTTCGATTTAATAAAACAGGGATTCCATGGTGAACTGCGGTAAACTAATCATCCGTATTCTGTTAAAATAGCGGTTGCGTCAGGACTGCAGCGCCACTTCACACCCGAGTTCATCGACATGATTAAGGCGCTGCGGGAGTCAGGAGAGCGTAAGTCTCCCCCCTCAAGGTCTAGCCGCCGAATCCCCCTATTGTGTTGACAATTTAAAACAGCATTGCGTGATCTTGATGGCCGTTCGGTTACTTTGCCGCCTTTCACTGGCGCATCCGAGGGAGCGGCTACGCTCATCACCGCTATGATTGATCCGACTATTGAAGAGTCTAATGGTGCTTACCTGCACAACAATGCGGTTGCTGATGAGGAGCTTACCTCGCATGTCTTGAACCGCGACAACTGGCCAAAGTTGTGGGCGCTTAGTGAGAAGCTCATCGGAGAGCCCTTTGACATCTGAACGCCCCAACTTTTCTCTCAATAGGCGCTTCAATAGGGCTCTTTTGTTCTAGAGTCGTCTCTCGCCGCTTCATGTACCAATATGTTTTGATAGCAAGAATCCAGGAAGCGCGCTCATCATAAAATCTCCAAAGGCTTCTCTTCTCTTCCCCTCCTCCAGTAATTCGTCGTCGTAACTATGTCTGGGCATTCTTCCACCAGCCACGGCCACTTTCGTAGCATGGTTGCCGAGATTTCGTATGCCGCGGGATCGAAGGGCTCTCCCCATATTACCATTCCTATCATGCCGTCCTCATCTGCATCACTGCTTTGTAGAAATAAATGGTGGCAAAATTCGTCCTCATCGATGTCATTCAGGCGCCTTAGTAGAGCGTCTCGTAGAGATGGCTGTGGGCAGAGATCGATCCATGGGTGATGGATGACTTGTCTCTGCAACGCAGTTGGCTGTAAACCAGGCGGCAGACGCATCAACTCATTGCCATCGCTGGCAGCGCCATCCTCCGCACCTAAAGTCACTGTACTACCGGATGCCGCGGGAGGTAGCGCAGGCAAAAAAGCGCAATTGTTGAAAGGCGATATGGTATCATCCTCAATCAGTTGCTCCCAGGTCAGCCCTATCATGGTGGCATTCGCCCTCACGGCTCGGATGACATTGAACTGCATCACCGACAACAGCAGTTGGCTGTCTAACGTGTATTTGGCGACGTTCTTGGAAACCAATTCGTGTAGCCGATGGAAGAAGGTGCTGCGTTCCTCCTGGCTCATGTTGCAGAAGAAACGAAATGCCTTATCGCGGTGTTCCTTGGAGAGGAAAATGTCTGGGAAGCCTGGGTTATAATACCTCGATTTACTACCAAGGCTGCGGCTGGCAACGGCAATATCTGAACCATTCTGCTGCTGCGGCTCCTCCCGATGGCGCTCATCTGGTTGCCGCTGCTCCGCCCTCGGGTCGATATAAAAGACCCATTTATTGATCTGATTCTTCCCGCTCCGCTGCTGTTGTAGCTGTTCTTTTCTTCTCTTACCTACCAATTTATTAGCTTTTTGCTTCTACAGGAAAAAAAGCCAAAATAGGTAAATAAAAAGGGGAACGAAAAGGAGGAGACGGTACGAGAGTTATCTGATCTTGATACTTACGGCTTGCCCGCTGGTTTAATCGATTCTGCAACTTCCGCCTAGTCGCCGCACTCTCCACCTCCCCCAATTCCGCCTCTTGCAAGTTCATCACTTCCGACATGGGCCTTTTGCTGTTATATTAGTATGAATGATCTTTCTTGAAACGGCAAAACTGCTGCACCATGGCGCATCCGAGCTGGAGCCGAGGGGGGCAAAAAATCGAGAATGATGGCAAGGGAAGCTGTTGCTGACAAGCTGCGGACAGCTCATGCTGTTCTTATAAAGATTCGGATGAGTAATACTAGCGCACAACCTTATTTGCGCCCCGAGACCCACCAAATTGCGGCCACCCGCAGCTCTAAATCTGAGCTTGTATGACATTGACCACCGACAGATCGTGGCCACTTGAGTTTAGATTTGACTCAAATTCGATTTTATCGCAAGGTCGTCTCGCAAGGAACACAAACTATAGCTCTTGCTTGTTGTGTCTAACAACTGCGCCCTTACAAAGTGCACAATTCATCCATCGACATCAACACTTCTCATCTCATCACGGGCACTGATTGTCTCTTTTGCACCTAGGGCAGAGACACAACGGATCGTTCGGCTAGCTCGTCCTTTGAAATGTTTTGGTAATGAGCATCGCTACGCTATGATATCGTTTATTGTACATATAACTCGCAATATACCCATGACATGACAAAACTCTGCACTCTTTGTGAGGGGGTTTTTTTTTTTTGGAAGGGCATGTAGAAGATTTGCCTGGTGCTGTCGTTGCTGTTGCTGCTAGTGACACAAAACCTTTAACCAGAAAAAGAAATTGCAAAGTGATCTCGCTCATATATCCTAAACAGTAAAGACGGAGGAAAAAAGAAAGAAAATTCAAATAATAATGATGAGAAAGTATATCACACCAAAGAATCAAAGGAATATAACAATAGATAGGACACGGCAAGAATAGAAGAAAGAAATAAAAAGAAGAAGGGGGTGAAAAGAGCTAATCCATCCGCGCCTGCTTTTTCGCCCTCCGTATATATATCATTCCCTGAGTGCTGTCGTTGGTCCCTGTCCCTGTGCCTGTCCCTGTGCCTGTTACCGTTCCTGGTCCAGTCCCTGTTCCTGTCCCTGCTGCCGCTGCTGTTGCGGCTATTTCAGCTGTTCCGGTTTTCCCAGCGCCAGCTCCTCCTGTCGTCTTTTTATCGTCATCGTTAGCATCGTTACTCGTCTCCAATGCTGCTCGGGTCCCCGCCGGAACGATGACGCTCAGCACACAATCATCCAAGTGCTCATAAAAGTCCTGCGGCGCGGCAAAGCGATTGTTGCAAATGGAGCAAATAGCGCTAGCCCCTGAATTTGCAGACAGCGTTATGAGTCGGCCACCTCTGTTGGTTGTATGGCTATGCAGCGGCGCCTGTTCGACCTGGTGGGCTGCGGCAAGGTGGCGCTTGAATACGTCGGCTCGATTAAACGCCTTTGCAAAAGGCGTGCCAACCCCGGGGCAGAATGGGCAGACCATTGTTCCTCGGTAATGCGTGAGAGCATGCCTGTTTTTATCATATTTACGAGCAAAGCCCTTGGTGTGATACTCACACGACTCGATAGGACACTTCTCTGGCCTCTCTTCCTGGTGCGTGAGCATATGGGCTGCCAAATCTTTGAAAACACGCCCGCAATCCGGAAACGGACATCGACTACGGTTCTCAGGCGCCGGTGGGGTCGGTATGGGCCTCGTTAGGTGATGCGGGAGTGGTGGCTGGGATGCTGGTGGTGGCGGAAGTGACAGCGGCGGCGGTGGAGGTGGAGGTGGAGGTGGCGGAGGAGCTAATCGCCCAGCTGGGCTCCGCGAGATCATTTCCCAGGATCCCTGCTCCTCCATGATATTCGGCGATACCGTCATCGAGCTGACGGACGATGCCGATACATGCCCACTATTGATCGGAATGGATGGCAGCTCCATCACGGGAGTTGGTGGGATAGCTGCCAGCGGAACCGTTCTAGCGCTGGGTTGCTTTACATCTTCCTCTTCTTCGCCATCACTCGACATCTCATTGTCGACATCGCCGCTTACCTCGGCCACAGATTGCCTCACTTCGCGCATCCAATCTTTTAGCAGCGACATGGGCGGCCAATCCCCGCTAGCTTTCCCCCCGCGATGGGGATTGAAGTGAGCCCGGCGGAGATGAGCCGCAGCGTTATAGTACGCACCATAGTGTTTTTGCATAACGCAGGCTTTGCAGCTCGAGAGCGGAATGGTAGGCTGTGGTGACGCCGGACTATGCCCCTCAGGCTCGCAGCAAACCCATCGCTTTACTAGTGCCGCATGTTTCGCATCTGTATGGCGTCTCAGCTCGTGTTCGCCGCGGAATCCTTCAGGGTATTCATTACATTTGCGACAGAACACGCGCCGTAAAGGGGGTCTTTGATACGTGGTTTTAAATCTCATAGGGGTCAGCTGGTGTGCAAAGATGTTTGTAGGAGCAGCCTCGGCAACTGTATGTCTCCGGGCCCGCCCAACATGTTCCGGAACAGATTGGTTCAGGGAAGTCGAGACCCCTCCGCGGTCAATATTGGCATCATCCATCGCATCCGGACGCGGGGCAAGTACCTCTCTGTATGAAGACGAAGGCGGGTATGCAGAACTACCAACGGATGACCAGCGTGGTTCACGTGCTGAGAGGGCTTGTGGTGTTGACAGCTGAGAGTCATGACTGGGGGAAACGACGGGTCGTCCGGGCCGAATAAAGCCGTGGAATCCAAACATGTCGTTGATCCCGCTTCCCAAAGTCATGAGGAAATCTGTACTGGAGCGAATATTTCGGGCCTGCCACGTGTCCATGCGCATGATGCGACGTGTAAGCTCAAATGCGGGCACGTCGTCTTGTGGCACGTCATTGGGAGAGCCATCCGTCAACATCGGTCCTCCTGTGATGAAGAAGTGGACAAGTGCCTTGTACACGCTGTCTATCGTGGTCTGAGGGCTGTCTCTGAGCGAGCCTTGGTGTTGAAACGTATGATATGGTAGCAACGATATCGAAGCAAGGTCCATAAGGAGCGTCCGGATTATACTGAAGATACACAGAGAATAGAAAACGGCCAGCCATTCTTTCGATTGGAGAGGAGTACTCCTTAGAGCGATTGCTTCGAAGGCCGTCAAAAAGGTCACCATGGCCTGTTCAACAAGGCGGCTGTGTTCCCCCGTAAAATCCAGGCGGTCTGACGGGGGTTGATATCCTAGGTTGGGATCCAGTTGAATGACAGGCTTGGGATAAAAAAGGCAGTAAAAGGCAGTTTCGCGCAGCAGCACCTTGGCATGGTATAAGACTGGGTACTGTGATTCCTCGGCCTCTCGAGAAGGAGATATGTATCCGGTGTACCTCAGGAGATCAAGCGCGCTGTATGATGTCTCCTGGCAGTTCCAGCTGGCGGCCATAGCGCAAAGAATTGGGGGGGCGCGATCGAACGTCTCTCGGGTAATATGTGCCGCCTCATTGTATCCATTGAGCCTCCTCTGAGATTGCTGTCCCGACCACCAGAAGGCGTCTCGATAGTCTAAACAATTCCTGACATGTTCACCAATGTGTGCCGGGAAGGAGCACATTCTTTGCAGGTAGTCGTTCACATTTTGCCGCCGTATAGGGGATGTCGTGGAAGACGTAGGCGTTTGGAGCTGTGGTTGTGAGAAAGAGGAGCCTACAAAAGCCTTAGTCAGAGATATGTGTCTGTGCTGATGATATCCCAGTAGTTTTGCAAAAGGTCTTGCAGAATTAAAACGGGGATGAGAAAGAAGTAAGGAGACGAAAAAGGCACAGAAAGGCTGGAGCAAAAACAATAAGACGACAAAACATATATACGCTTAACGGAGAGGGACGGAGAGGGAGAGTAGAGAACCGAATGGCCATACCTGGCAGCAAGTAATCGGTAAAGGCGTTGAGAGTGCTACGGAAACACCCAATGACAGCCCAATGGTCCTCAGCGCTTATCAATGGCAGGTTTGCGCAAGCGGTACATGGCTGGTTTCTATCGCACTGATCCAATGGAAGCAAAAGAAATAAGTTAGTCTACGACAGAAAGAGACGCCAAAAGAAAGCCAGCAGCCAAGTGAGGAAGAAGAAGAAGAAGGAGAGGAAGGAAGAGGGAATGAAAAATGGAGAGACGAAAGCCAAAAGAAAAAAAAAAAAAAAATCTCAGAGAGTTGTATCCCACCTCCTTCTTGGTCACTCTACAGCGTAGGCATGGCCGCTGGTCGTGGAAGAGGCGAAGCTCTCCAATGGACTCTAGACGAGGCAGGCTATCGACCCTGCTCCTCTTCAATGGCGGCAGGAGAGGCTCGACATCGGCGTCGATGGCGCTCCTCGGGGCTGCTGAGCGACTGGAGTATGCGTAAGCTATGAGCGAGTCTCGCCGCTCTGTCGACGGCGTCGGAATTCTGAGAGGAGGAAGCCTGGAGGAGAGGGCGGGGCGTGGAAGGTGCATGAGAGGCGACGGGCCCAACGATTCGGAGGCATTGGGTCTAGACGGAAGGACGGACGACAACGACGACGACGACGACGACAACGACGAACTAAAGGCAGAGAGCTCGGAGTCTCTCTTGGAGTGAGTGGCATGCATTCGGATGTGACAGCTCCGATCAAGCTCGGTGGGAAAACCGTAGACGTAGTGGATGCACCGGTCGTTCCAACACTTTAGAGAGTGAGGCGGATAAGCGCTGGAGACAAATTCGCTGCCGCGCTCCCGCTGAGCCCGGAGGACAGGGTCGTGGAGCTCCAGATGCTGGTCCAGCCAAGAGCCGAACCCTGGCGGCGCCGATCGCGAAGAGCCTCTCAGGGGCTCGACAACATCCACGTCTGTTTTGCAAGAGCAGAGAAGAAACGAGAGAGAGTGAGAGTTAGCGTTTGACAAGGTGAACTAATAATAGGCCCCGGGCATCTTGTTTTCGGGCCTGATGATGTATGGATAATGGATGGAGTACAAGGCAGATGTAGCATCAGAATTTGGACGAATGGATTGGGGGCTTGCATGAGGCGGGTTGGTGGCGGCGGCGGGCTGCGTGGAGAACGGGAGATGGGCAGCTAGCTAATCAAGCACAAGGAGCGGTAGCAGGAGGGTCTCAGCTTACTATCTCGGACACAGGCAGCCTCGAGGCACTCGCAGCGGTGTTGAATGGCGCGAGCCTCTTCCATGTCGGACATGAAGGGGGCCACGCGCGACGCCAGGCCTGATAAATCACTCGCAAGTCAGCACATGGGCTCCGTTGCCGGACCAGAACGAACGACGGGCTCGTATGAAGCAGTATGTAGGGCCGGGAGGACGATACGCATGTGCGGGAGGAGCAGCATGTATCTTGTCTTGTCTTGTCTAGTACAGGAGGAGCATGTACAGTATGTAGCATGTATGGAGTATATGCACGTATGTATGTGTGTGTGTGTGTGTCTGTCTGTCTGTACGGGGCATGCAGTATGTCCGGAGCAACAAGGCAAGGTATTATGGCAGATACAGCAAGAGAATAGGCAAGGTAAAGCGAGGCAAGGCAAGGCAAGGCAAGGCAAGGCAAGGCAAGGCAAGGCAAGGCAAGGGAACATGAGAAAGCGTGCGAGTTGTGAGCGTGTGAGTGGGCTGTCAATCGAGGCCGGGCTCAAATGTGGACAAGGCTGTATCAGGACCAAGGCAAGGGAGCGGAGACAGGCAGGCAGGCAAGCGGTTAGCCAGGCAAGGGAAGAGACGAGCATCAGCTGGGGGGAATGATGGAAATACGCGCGCACACAGGGCATGGGCCGAAGCACGCACACATATCGATGTAGGAAGAGGACGCACATGGGGGGGTGTGGAAAGCGTCTTGGAGAGGGCAAATGGGAGACAGAGAAGCCAGCCAGAGAGAGGGGCACAGATAGAGTTGAGGAGAGATGAGACGGGGCATCGTCAAAGGCAAAAAAAGACAAGTAAAAAAGAAAAACATGCAGACATACCGTGATGGTCAACGACGCTCTCGAGAACGCGCAGTTTGTGGCGCAGCATGTCGACTTCTCCCGGCAGGCTGAGACCGTGGTGAGAGACATGGCGAGAGCCCAGCAGGGCGGCCAGCCTGGCCTGGATATCAGCCTGTTGGTCCAGCAAGCGGCCGACGGCAGAGTCGACGTCGAGATCCAGATCCGGGGTTGGGCCAGCCATTGCTCGCGGGTGTGTTTGCCGGTGTTGTTGCCGCTGCTGTTCCTGTTGGTGTTGATGCTGTTTGCTCGCCTTTTATTTGCTGTTAACACAGCCGGCCTCGTTTCTTTTTTTCGGCTACGATATCCCCAGGCTGTTGGCATCCAGGCCTCAGAAACATACCGTCAGCACCGAATTTGCCGTGTCCATGGCTTGCGCCCCAGGCAGGGCAGCTGAGATGCGAACGAGGGCGAAAGCGGTAGGCGGGCCAGCAAAGAGCAAGCTGAAGAGGAGGAAAAGAGAAAAGAATGCGAAAAGCCTCTTAGCGAACGGAGGCTCCCCGGGTTTGCTTGCTTCCCTTGAGATGGGTTTCCCGAAGGCCTAGACACGCCTTTGCTTTCTCTCTTTCCTCCCAGCACAACGCTCACGCTCGCTCAATCACTCCCCAAGAGCTGGTCTTGCTTTGATGTCTCGTCTTCGTTTCTTGCGTCCTTTGTTTGCTAAAGCCTCTCTTCGTCTCTCTTCGTCTTTCTCCCTCTCTTCTTGCTCTCTCTTCTTTTCCTGTTCGCCTACTGTCGAGCTCGCGAACAATTTTCTCACCTGCATCTCTTCTCCTTTCGAAGCTGCACGCCCACCTGCTCACCACCCCCCTCTGGTCCCCCCCTCCCCTGCATCTGCTGGTCTATTGGGGCCATTTCGCGGGAATTGCGGGCTGGGGTGTTTTATCAATAGGGCGGTGCGGGTGGGTTTATGCTGCTCGAGGTGTGCGGGTGCAGGTACTCCATAGAAAAGCGCAACGGTTTTTTTTTTTTTTTTTTTTTTNTTCTTCAGTCTCCCTCTGTTCCCTTCTTGGCCTCGCGAGGATTGCTGGTACACGTTACAAGACAGGTGGGGCGCAGCCTTGCAGGTACGGCATCCGATTAGGCGCCGCGTCGTACTCCAGACGTAGCGCGTACTTTGGCCACGGACCCTTTAGCTGTCCGACGGTAAGTACCGATAACGCCGCTGGTACGGATGCGACCGCGCACGGACAGCGCTTGGGCTGGCGGCGCCCGGGTCGGCACTGCGTACCAGTACCAATACCCGCAACCTCGCCGCCGCAGCGCGTGCCCTGTCGCGGTACCAGTGCCTGACGCTGGCTGTACTGGAGCTGGCAACTGGTGCTTGGCCGCACACCCACTTTTGCAGACCGAGAGGCTCCATAATCCAGGTATGATTCGAGCTGGGCGGCCTGGGCGGCATGTCTCACGCGGGGTGTGGGAGTGAGGGTGGATGCGGGTGCGGGTGAGCGAGCAGAGGCCAGGGTTGAGCGCTAGGACGGCCGTTGGACGGCACTGTGTTTGGGCTAGCCAGCCTCGCTGGACGCTGCACCGTGTCTGAGACGCTCGGAGCATGCCATGTGGACAAGCTGCGTGGTACAAGTACCACCGCACTCGCTGGGCACCCTTATGGCCGGCTGCCGCCTTGCCTCTGCGATATACTGGTACAGGCGGGAATACTGCCTGCTGGTACCGGCCGTGGGCGGCGACAGGGGCACTGTATCTCTGCTCGGGATGCAATCCTCCGCGCTGCTGCGAGGAGAGCTGGATCTGTGCCACTATGAGTACGCGAGCCTTAGTTCCAATCTTGCTGGGTTGCAAAGATACTCCGTACTGTACAGTGAAACGAGAGGGAAAAAAAAAAGGCGCTTCGGAATACATCCGGGCGACACTAAAATACGGCGAGAAACAAGAAGTCAAAAACAGGCAAGGGAGACGGCCAAAGAAGCAAAAAGACAGCAAGGAGCGGCCGGTGCACAAGCTCCCGACAAGCCACCCCCAAAAGCCAAAAGTCCGACCTGCACCGTTTTCTGTCTGTTTATTCCCCTTCCATTCCATCCCACCCACCCATCGCCTCTTTTCTGATGCCGCTGCGGCGAATGGGCCACCCTGTCTCTGTGTCTAATGCTCCAGTGCGTCTGCCCGTGTTGTCCGCAGCACCCGGTATGGAAGGTCGTAATTAATCAGTCAATCAGTCAATCAAAAATCAACCCATCTTTGCAATCGCACGTTCACAGGACGAGGAGTGAGTGGAAGCAGTACAGAATACTATGCCGCACTATCAGAACACCAGGTAATCATTAAGTCCCTAGTATCTCACACAGACAGTACCTAACCGGCTGGCTGCCGACCTATATTTGCTGGCGGCAACAGCACCACTCACTGCCAGGCCGGCGCAAGGACAAGCAGTCAGATGTCAAATCTCACCAGCACAGCTCTTGTTCTCCCCTTACATTTGGAGATGAGATAGCATCAGTAGGCTTTTACCGCTAGTAGCAATTGAGGTCCACTCATTGCGCGTTGCCCCCCCCGACTCGAGTCGCAAAAAAAAAAAAAAAAAAAAAAAAAAAAAAACTCTATCACCACAAACGCAAACAAAAACAAGAAACCCCCCATCCAGGTATACCGTTATGGAGCAGCACAGCAGCAGCACGAAGCACCACCATCACCATCACGGCTAGCCTGAAATGCTCAGCCGGAGATGGTGTTTCTCATTTCTGCTGCCTGTGAGACCCCTCCCCCCCCCCTCTTCCTCTTCATCTGCCTATTCCTCCTCCTCTTGTTCTCGCGTTTCTTCTTAATCTCTTTGTTTCCTGCTTCAGCTTCAGCTTGCTCTGCTCCCTCAGCTCCTACCTCAACCTCTTCCTTAACGTACACACCCTCTAGGCGCCTTACTGCTTCATCCCTCGTATATAGTATACACTGTATGCACCTCCTATGCGTATATTTATATAAACTCTGATACAGCTCATATCCCAGCCCTACTACTAACCCAAAGTGCTCATCCAGATGGTACTGAAGTTGTACTAGTACGCGTACTAAGACGTCTTAAGGGTGGTACGTGCACTACTTCTATCGCCCACCCTTGCAGCAGGCTCCAGGGCTTGGTTTTTAATCACATACCGCCTCGCCTCACCTGTCACCCCAGCGCCACGACCTGACTTGACAAGCTCCCTCCATGCAAGCCTTGCTGCTCGTCCCATTGACCCAGTCCCAGTCCCGCTCGCCCAGCCAGCCAGCCATCCCGTCTATCTACTGCAGGCGGTATCCAGCTGCTAGCCTGCATCCAGACGCGATGCTACCTCTGCAAGTAGGCATTCCTCCAAGCGGTATGTGATTTGGCCGGTCAGCTAGCCAGCCGACAATCATGCAAACCACCGCTGTCCGTCTGCCTGCCCGTCTTCTTCCTGTTTCGTTTTCTCTCGCTAATGCCAACGCCCACTCTTGCTTGCGTCTTCTCAGACAAAATGTCCCCCGTCCGACGGTACGGGATTAACGGCTGCTCCACCCGCTGATCCAGAACGCGAACAAAGCCTTCTGCTCTGCCGCTCCATCAGTCAATCAGAGCCGTTTCATGACATCGCTTAGACGACGACCGAACGTTGGTTCCTCACGGCCTACACTGCTAGCACTGCACTGTACGAGTACGACTTCTAGCAGGACGGACTCCCACTCCCACTCCAGCTAGTACATGCTCGTACCACGGTGTCTACCATGACGGACGCTTCGCCTACGGAATCCAGCTAGCAGAACTCCATACTCGGCACAGGGACCCAAGGTGGCCGCCATTCTCGAACGTCAAACCTGAAGCCTTAGCGCCGTTTAGCCCACGGCACATTTTTTCTCGTTTCTCTTTTCTGCAACCCTGCAGCGCAGCCAGTCCCAAAGAACCTATGGGCACACACGCACCCACCCTCGCGCACACAGCTGGTGCATCGAGGTACAGGTACCTGGGCCCTCTCAGCCAGACACCGACTCGTCCCGTTCCTTTTTCGCCACCTCCAAAATCCCCTACCAGCACTCGTCGAGCACATCGATTGGCATTATTTATGCCCCTTCTCCATCATTCCCCCATTGGGCTAGTGCCGACGCTCAGGCCATAAACCCTTCTCCACGCTAAAACACTTGTGCCGGACCTGCTCCACCCCCAAACAGGAAATTCCAGCCCAAAAGCCTGGCAAATGACAATCGAGAGAGCCTGTGAAGGAGAAAATAAAGAGGCCGAGAGGCGCAGAAGAGGGTGTGAGGGGACCAGCAAGAAATGGTCCCAGTCAATAGTGCTGCTACATACTGTATAGCACCACCATGGCCGTTGATTAAAGCAGAACAGCTGTCCATGCCGGCGCTGCGTCAGACCCTCCCCCGAAGAAAGCAAAGACAGACCACTCGCCTCTCCCCGGTTGGCCAAGATGCAAAAAAGGCCCCCTCTTCCACTGCTCCCCCTTCCCTCAGGCCTAATACTACCCGCTTTCTCGGGTCCCCATAATTCCGCTCAAGTGATGACGATGCTGCTTGTCTTCCTTTTGATGCTGCTGCTGTCTCCCATTGGAAACAAGCCACTGCGTACGGGGGGCATGTGCATACATGCATATGATGCGGTGCGATGCGGTGCGATGTGATGTGATGCCACTGTCGCCATCTCCTTATCTAAACACCGGCCATAGGTATGTATCGCATCTAATCTCATTACATTATGGCACTCCGTGTTGTCCCATCCCACGAGTGCTTCACGACAAGCCGGAGCGGGCGGTGTTGTCTATGAGTAGGTGTAGGTACAAGCAAGTTTGTAGGCACGAGTAAGTTGGTCTCATATACCAAGTATTGAAATTACGAATATGTATACAGGACCATCGACGTGCAGATTGATATCAACTGCAAGACGATTACGGGATGGGATGGACTGACGAGTACGTCCTTACTAAAGTGCGGCTATGAGTGATATTACTAGGCTTACTAGCAGTGTTTCTACACCACAGTACTATTACTACTCACTAGAAGCGCAGAGAACCCTTTGCATTCTCGTATTGCGAATTACTACTGAAAGAAGTAGGCTGCTTATCGTTACTAGCCTGCCATATCGAGTAATGGAGTGGCAAGGTAGCAAAATACATAGAAAAGTGATGATTATGATTATGATGATGATGAGACGTCAAAATTAGGAAGAAGAAGGCAAACACACAGAGAGAGAAAAAAGGCAGCCAGTCATAATACAGCTGGCAGTCCGGAGTTATACCCGAGTTGGATGTAGCAAAGCTACTTCTATACTCCCTTGCAAGCCTGGGTTATAGAATGTAGGAAGTCTACATGTACGGCGTCGCAGTGATGATGATGATGCATCGCATATATGTACATACTCTTACCTACTAGGTATGCAAGACGGACACGATACCCAGTCAACGTAGCACCAGGCAAACGTTTTGACATGTCCCAACATCCAGTCCATGGCATTGGATGCGTCAATGCTCCCCAAGACCAGGACCAGGTCCCTATCAAGCCCATCTTCTCTCCTTCTCCATCTTTTCCATCTCTTTTTCTGTTCCCCCTTCTCCATACACACACACACACACACACACACATACAGGGCATGTGCATAGTCCACAGGCTGGCTGACCCCCCCGTTTTTTTTTTCTTTTAGGCTCGCTCTGCTCCATACTACAGCGATCCTGTCCTGCCAATGTCGTATTGCAAGTTATATCCCACGTCCAAGCGCTGACTGCCGCCTGCAACTGCAGCAAGCCCTCTCCCACCTCCCCCCTCTTGTCCCTCTTCTCTCCACACAGCCCGATCGATCAGCAGAAGGACCCTGCTCGGGCCTCTCTTGTGTTTGTCTTTATTCTCCTCATGGATAGATATACTTGGGTATGCATACTGTATCTGTAGGTATAGTAGGTATTTCCATTAAAAATCATACAGTGATATCACGTCAGTCGACATGCCCTTGTCGGGAGGCAATGTCATCAGCGTCCGTAAGTCCGTTTCCGCCTTGTCTCGCATCCTACCTGATGTCATGCTGTATTCGTCTTTTAGTTGTTTGTAGCTACTACTACTACAAATCTATACTAGCAGTAGTAAAACATCTCAAAGCGTGCGTGTGTCCTGGTCTGCTACATGCATCTTAGCGCCAATAAAGCACCGAGGTACCCAGCCTTTTGCTACCTTGGCTATGCCTTTTACAAGTGCTCCCATGGCACTACGGCCCATGTACGGTTAGTAGGCACTTGCTAGCAGGCGTGCCAGTCCTCGTAAGTGGTTAAGTGTGGAAAAAGATGAGGTAGCACACGAGCTGGGTCTCTCGGGCTCATGACGAGACTCCCTCTCTCTCCCTCTCTCTGTCTGTCTTCTCTCGGTCTTTGTCTCTCTCTTCCATTGAATGTCGTCGGCATTAAAAACGGCTAGTAGTAGTGATGAAGCATTGCAACATGCTATGAGCCATATTAATTAGAAGATTAAAACTAAAGGAAACCGTAAAAAGTAAGAGTTTCAAGCAAATGATGCTACACCGTGAAGTAGAAATAGTAGTAATAGTAATAGTAATAGTAGTAGTAGTAGTAGTAGTAGCTTCTTCTAAGCTCATGTTGAATGAAGGCACGGCCTTTCGTTTCGTTTCTTCTGATTCCCATTTGCTGCCATGCCAATCCCCATTTCGCCATACTGATGATACTGTAGCTCGTTGAAAGTCCCACGGCTGTCTGTCTCTCTTTCTCTCAAAGACAGGCGCCAATTCCAATCCATGTCTAGGAAAATGCAAGACGGAGAAATAAAAAAAAAAAAAAAAAAAAAAAAAGTACCCACCAGCGCCGAATGCCATCTTTGCGCCTCAACCCCCTGCGAGAGACTGTTTCATTGCCGTCTCCCTCCCTCCCTCTCTCTCGGATTCGTCACCGCCACATTCAAAAAGTGTCTATCAGCTAATGTTACCCAGTGACAGTTTCTGTCTGATGCCTTGTATGAGTTGCAGGGTTTGCTTCTAACCCCCCCTTGCTTCGTCTTTTTTCTGCTTTATGGCGCCCCTCCCTCTCTCTATTCGTCTCGAGACCACGTCTTCTCTCGGAGAGGCTTCTCCTCGCCCTTCTCCTCCCGGCTTCCGTCCTCCTCGGCCTTGTAGGCCCAGTATTCGCCGAGTCTCAGCTCAGCGTATGAGGCGTAGTCAAAGTCAATGTGCGAGATAGTCGCTTGAATCAGAGCCCAGATACCCCAATAGAAGCCAGGAACTCCGCGGAAGACATCCACCTCCCGCATCAGCTTATCAGTCTCCTCTTGTATGTTCATGGGAGTGGCTGAAAGTTTGGCATATGCTGCAATGTATTCGCGAATGAACGCATATCGCTGCGACCGGGTTGGGATGGCTGCATAGTCGCAGTCATACCCTGCGAACTCGGCAAAATGGTTGGAAATATCAAACGCAGCCGGTGACGGCGTTGCGTATTCGTAATCTATGAAGCTCACGGAAAGCTCCCGACCGGGCTCGCGGTGGATGATGATGTTTGCGCTGAGCAAATCGCAGTGGGCAAATACTAACTGTACATGTTTGGTTAGCATGGACACGCATGTCGGTGACGGATCGAGGAATACATGATACATACCCCATTGTGTCCCAGTCCTGGACGCTGGCTGAGCTTCTCAATCATCTCCTCCAGCTCACGCTGCAGCAGGGCCTGTCTCTCGCGCTGCTGCTCCGTCTCCGTCGGCAGAGCAAGGATCCATTTCTGCATAGTCGACCAGAGGTTGGGGATCGGCTTACCCGCTGCAGCCTTGACGATCATGGCCTTGCGGCTGCTGTCGTGGTCTTCGGAGCTGCCGTTTGCTGCCGGCGACTCTCCCTTAATGGCCGAGTCGGGTAGACACGGCACTGTGGCGTGCCATTGGGCCAGCCTTCGAGCAACAGCTGCGATCAGCGTAGGATCGGAGAGGTCCTTGGCCTGGGCAACGGTGCCGGGCACGAAGCGGTAGAGCATGCCGTTGGCAAAACGAGCCAGCAGCTCCGGAGCCAGGCCGTGCTTCATCAGCAGCTCGTGGTTTGCCGCTTCGCGTTCCCGGTCGATAATCACCGCGGTGCCGTTGCCATACGCTCGTAGCAGCACGGCATCCCGGTCGATTTCGGCCTTGGACAGACCCGGCAGCCGATGGACGGCCTTGAGCAGCGTATTAGTGATGCCATCGGTGAAGCGGATGAACTCGATGTCGTCTTTGGCCCATTGAGGAAATAGGCTTTGGATGAGCCTTAGGGCCGATTCTTGCGAGTCGCTGTTGTCGTAGGTGACGGGGAGGAATCTGACGTGCCCGTGGGCAGCGCCGCTGGTGGTGGCAGCTGGAGACATGGTTGGAGGATGGCGTGGAAGTGGAAGAAGGATATGCGAGATTGAGAGCGAAAGGCGGAGAAAGAGATGAAGGCAGAGATAGAAATAAGAAATAGATATAGACGGAGAGCAATGGATCACGCGCGGGGCGAGGCTTTCATCTAACGATTCTTTCCCAACTCTAGTCTCTATACTGGGCTTTGGACCATTGGTTTGGCCTGCGAGGTTGTTTGGGGTTGATAAATTAAGGCAGAATCAGGGGTTCTGTGTCTCTTGTGTCATCGACTACAGACAGGCTGGGGGGTTGCTGAGCCGTTGAGATTGCGAAAATAGACCCGGAACACAAGAGCAAGCGGGATACTTGTAATGGCCAAGCCGATCTGTTTGTTGTTTCAGCAAGTCGCACTTGTGGTGTAGTGACGATGTGGCGATGCGGTGATGCTGAGGCGGTTCAAGGCAAGCCGGCTTTGGTATTCCCTCCAAGGACTGGCAAATGGCGGAGGCGCACAAACAACTGGAAGAATCGCACACGACCTGTTACCCTCCCCAGCCGTTGGCGTTTTTTGCGTGAAAAAGACTTAAAGGAGCGTCAAATAGGGCGGGCCGCTTGTGGAAGGGTACGCATGTGATGGCGGCCAGAACCAAGAGACAGGCCAAATTAGGGGCTTGGGGCGAGGCGGGCGGCGAATCAACGGGGCGGCCTTGGTGTCTGCGCTGGAGCAGGTACTATGGGACTATCGATGCTGGAGCCAGGGTCCAATACTGTGGACAAGTCCGCACAATAAGCTGTTGAAGCTGAAGTATTGCACTAGGTATTCGAGTATGATGTATGTAGCGCCGGCCTGGAGTTGGCACGCGAGGAGGCCGAATTTTTGTTGGGATTTTGGATATGAGATTGGCAGCAGAGATCCCTGCAAAGATGGACCAGAAAGTCCATCAAATGTACCCTGCAGCGCCTCCAACATGTAAAATCTACTGCCAAAGTACTTTGCACGTGCTTTTGGGACTGACAGCGCTAGTGGAGGGCATTAAATTGCCGTTGGCGCTTTTAGCAGTGGTCCCTTAAAATGAATGCCCGACAAATGTGATCAAATATGATCACCGCCTTGCAGCAGAAAGGGCCGCAGGCGAAAGAGCACATGTACAAGTACGAAGGTATGTGTGTATCGTACATATAAAAGGACAGACGGGTGCAGGGGCGAGGCTCGTCGCTGCGCTGACGTCAAGCCTTACAGAGACAAGAATGGCACGACGACTCCGTATGTACTACCGCGCCTTTTATACAAAGCACGTAGTCTAGATAGATACCTTAGTAGGTATATTACCTACCTAGTATGTAGTACTAGTAGTAGAAATCAACAGCAGAGTACGGGAAATCAATGCTCTTGGCTGCGGACGCGCGGCAAGGCTGCGTCTAGAAGCCGCAAAAAGCCCCTGGCGAAAGTAGGTATACGGCAAGGCGCTGCTTTGGTTGCTGAAGGCTCAGCGATACAGGGACCTTTGCAGTGGAGGGTCGCGAGTTCAGGCCCCCTCTCCAGCTGCCCCGCATTCGCTACCGGCCGTGGTGCAAATTTTGGGGGTCAGCGGCTGGTTGTTGCTTCGTAGGGCTTTGTACTACGAGTACACTGTACTTGGAGGCTGCGCAATGAGGCGGGCGGCGGAAAGTATCGCAAACTTAGTCCTGCTGGAGCCCGGCAAACTCGACGCATGCTGGCGATGCTGCAACCCACCCAGTAGTAGTACTTCAGGTAGTGCCTACTAGACTAGTAGGCACCTAGTAGTAGCTCAACGCTTCATCAACCGCATCATCAACACCAACAAAGCTGCGTCTTGGCCACCACGGCAGTCTTAGAGACAGGGATCTGTTCAAGCCAACACGACAAGCACTTGTACCACCTACTGCACTACTACACCTACTAGGTACTTACTAATAGCAGCCTATCCGATCAGCATCGCCAGTGCTGCTAATCTCTCATAGCAAGACCGCCTGAGAGACCCGGCGCAGACTCATTTCGTGTCCCTTCCCGGCAAACAACGCCTTCATAGTCACAACCGGGGTGATCAGGGCGTGTCGCATCATGTAAGGCGGCCTCCGGCCCACGCATCTGCAGCCATGTCCTGCGTCAACGATGAAAACTTCGTAGCCGTCGCGCTCGTTATCAACCGGTCTCGCGATGGACCCGCCTTCGTCTTCCACTATCCCTCCCATGTCCAGGCTCTCTCCAATCTCGCCGACAAGGCAAAGGAGGTAGACGCCGAAGACGTGCTCTTTGAGCGCCTGTGGCATCCTGCCAGTGCTGAACCTGCGCCTCAAGCCGCCGAGACCCGTGCCGGCGTTCGTGATGATCACTACGTGACCGAATCGGGATCGCAAGTCGTTCCATGGGAGCATGTAGCCGGCTTTCCAGCTCGTGATCTTGCCGGTATCTTGACTCCTGCTCGGTCCTATCATAAGAAGCTCTTCCAGCTCTCTCTCGACCCGCTTCTCTGTGTCTCTTACCCTATCCATGTGCCTGAAAATGGGAAGTGGAAGAAGCCGAAAAAGGCCAGCAAGGCAAAGGCTGCCAGGGATCTTGATGAGGGCATTGCACCAGACGAGCCTAACCCTCCCGTGCCCGTAATCAAGACGGAACCAAGTAAAGAGAAGACCAAAGAAGGCAAGAAAGATGAGACGGAAGAAGAGAAGCGAAGCTCCATGACCATGTTCAACTTGGTCTTCTTTTTAAATCCCAAGAAGCATGAAACTAGGGAACTTGTTGACTCACTATATTCCAATATTGTGAAAAAGGTCAACAAAGCGTACCAGTATAGCCAACAGCACAGCGAATTTGTGTGGAAGGAGTCAAAACGCATCTTGGCTGCAAAAGACAGAGCTCGTGAAGAGAGTGAGTTTCCTCCAAGACAAACCACCAAGCAGGCATAACCAGAAACTAAAACGTGGATTACAGAAAAGAAGATGAGTGCTCTGTGGAAAGAATTAACCCAAAACTCCTCATTGGCAGCGTCTATGCGTGAAATCTACGACGCCGTCTCTCAGAATAGGATTGCCACTTTGCATCTGGACACCGTGGATGGCATCCTGACACCATCTGTCCAGATCCCCGTCCCCCTGTTCGTTGCGGATCTGCCCGCGGAAGACGATGAGCGGCATCGCGGGTTATGGCTTACCACGGCCAATGCGTTCCTGAGCCAGGATGCCCTCGAAGAGCCGGGATTCCTGGATCGCAACTTCGCTCTGCTGCTCACAGACGATGAAAAGAAGATTGTCGCTGAACTGCAGAATGATCGGGACCAGACCGCTTTATCCATGGTTGAGTTTGCGCGGCTCGCCAAACCGACATTGTCGTAAGTCTTTTATCAACGATTGTCATTTTCTCTTGTGCACTCATCCTTCTTATGCTAACTCGTCTTCTCTCTTCAAGCTTCTATCAAGTTGGCCAAAGCAATATCCTCACTCTGGACCAAGTCCGCAAATATGCCCAGCACTTCATCTTTTGGCGTCGTGCCATGGCCATCCCACCACTTCACCCTCGTGACATCTACATCGTATCCCCAAACTGCGATCTTGAGAGGCTTTGTCAGGATGCCCAAGACTGGCAGAGGGCCTTCCCTCTAGCTCCACCTCTGCCTACTTTCCTAGCTGAGCTCTCCGTCCTACCTCGGCCTTACAAATTCATTACTCCCAGCAAAGCTCACCGACCGCTTTATCTCCGCATGCTGGCTTGGTTGATGCGAGGCGGCTGGGTAACTCAGCTTTGCACATTTGCCTATGTCGTTGTATGGCCGGAAATCTTATATGAGGTTGACTACGAGATCGAAGCAGAGGAACTTGGTGTTTCCACCTCCTCTGTCGACGGAACCGATACCACTAGTATCCATACCGCCCAAAGCACTCTGGATGGCCAATCCACGCACTCATCACTCACATCGCCGCCGCCACAACTACCCTCGCAGCAACCGCAACAATCACAACAGCAGCAGCAGCCACAAACACAGGGACAGCCAAACATTCCCAATCCATCCACCACATCTGCGGCCGAGCACTCAGCCGAAATGGCCCGCCTCGAACGCATTGCCATGAAAGCTCACCGTGAACTTGCCGATAAAGCCACCGCCCACGCCCGTAAAGTCGCTCCTGTCGCAACCACCAACCCGTCCCTCAACGACGCGCCACACCTCGCCGGCCTCACGCCGCACATCATCATCGACCCTAAGAAGGCCACGGGCAAGGAATCTCGCTACCTCTCCGCCATTGCGCGTCGCTTCAAGGACGAGGAGCAACGGTCAGCGTGGCAACTCATGTGTAAATACTTTGATGGGCGGTGTGCCCTGGAGAGAATCGCCCTGCAGGAGGACATGAAGCGGAAGAAGACGTGGACTCTGTTGACGAGCATGAGGGAGTATCTTTTGACTACAAGACATTGGTGAAATCTGGAGATGCGTTTTAGGATAGTGTTTGGTCCTTGATCAACTACTTGGCTGCATGTTGTTATAACTCTCAGGTACACACTAATAATACATAATACAGATAACATGACTTAAAAGGGTCACAAGAGTGAGCTTTCGTAACAAAGAGTTCATACAAGTTGTTTATTGGTCATAAGTGGTATCTGAAGTAGTGTAAAATGAAATAGCAAAGCAGTCAAGAGGATACAAAGAGACGGTGTTGATAGGTTGAAGAAATTAAGTAGTATATAGATGTAATCCTCCGGGAAGCCAAAAGAAAAGGAAAAAGAAAAAAAAAGGAAAGGAAAGATAGGCTGTGTATCAGCAGTTAAATAGCAAGTGAATCCTTAAAATCCCCCCATAAGAGCGACCAAAGTCAACATCAGAAATAAAGGGCCATGAAAAAATAATAATAATGAAAACCTAAGACCAGTCGTAGGGAAATGTCTCACACTATGAGAGTCCCTTCTGTATCGTGCCCGCCAAAGCAAACCAACAAAACTAATACATATCTCATAAAGGGTTGTAGTAGATACCAATAAAGCCTTGAGTAGCTATAAAGGCACACACATATATATAAAAAGAGAGAGGCTTGTGCGTATCAGAAAAAAAAAGTCGATAGCGAAGAGTGACTCGCAACTCCTTAGTGCCGTAATGCAATATATGAAACGATGAAACAGATGCAAAGGGAAAACAAACAGACAAAAAAAAAATAGAGACTAATCCATCCTATTTATAAAAAGCCGTGCCAAAAATGCTGTTGCCTATAGCAAGCAAACACCCTATCACTCCAATAAAAAAGGACGAGGCCCTGCCGGTGTGATAGATTACACCTAAAACGCCGCCAGTATGGGCACTCGGACATTTTCCTCTTGAAATGTCAGAGTGATGCAAATTCCCTCCTTCCCAAGACGCTGACTGCTAAAGCAGAAGCAAATATCGCCAGACGAAATAAGAAAAAGGAAAGGGGTACCAAAAACACAAATTAGAAGGAGGAGGATAGATGTGGGTAAGACAGACTCGGCAAAGCAATAACCATCTTAGCCGCGGATATCCATCTATTGAGTGAGATCCATGTCATACTCGTCCTCTTCCTTGAAGTTGATAGGCGCATTGGGGTCATCTGGGTCGTGCCAGAACTGGGCAGTGTCTCCAATATCGCCGGGCATACCACCACTACCACTTCCTTCGGGAGTGATGCCCACTGAGTCAAGATTGGCACCCATGTCGTGGGTAGTAGGCTCGCCATGGTAGTCAGTGTGGTGAGGCACCCTTAAGCCACTGCCGGACGTACGGGAGTATTCAAAGGTTGACAAGTCGTTCTTGGCTATGGCGTCCATGAGCTCAGACTGCATGCGGCGTTCATCGTCGCTTTGCTCAAAGGGCAATTGACCCCCCAAGTCGGCGATAGTGTGAATCAGCTCTTCCTGCTGTTGCAGCTTGAGATGCAGCATCCACATGAGATCTCGAGTCCAGCTGACAGCACCGTTAAGAATATCGCCCTTGTTAGGGCCCTTATCTTTGTCCTCGATCGGAAGGCCAGTCGTGATATTGCCAGCGCCAGAGCCAGCAGCTCTGCGAGCGCCTGGTCCGGCTAGCCCAGAGGTAGCGTTAACGCCAGTGAGGGTAGGCGACAGAGGCGTGCCGTTGGAAATCAGTTTGCGAACCTTCTCGTCTTCCAATCTGTGGGAAGGGACGAGCTTGCTGAGATCTTGAATTCTCTCATTGATGTTGTCACGGCGACGGCGCTCAACGAGGTTGTGGGATTCACGGCGACGCTTCCTCTTCATCTCCTGAGTAGACATAGTGCCAGGACCCACTCCAAGCTTGGCTGGCATAGAAGTGCCGCCCTTCATCATCACCTCGTTGATTTGCACCATGCCTGGCTGCATAGGAGACGAAAAGCCGGAATTGAAAGAGGCAGGAATGCTTCCGCTAGGGGTGTTGAGCCAATGACCGGATGGCGACTTGTCTGCCCTGAGAGACTGAGGGCCGAAGCCGGGAGAATCCTGTGCACTTCCGATGGGAATACCGTGCATGCTGTTGGTCTTGGGGGTCATTGGTGTTCTGGTGTTGGAGGCTTTCCTCTGCATCTGAACCGACATGCGGGCTGCCCTCGCTTTGGCGTTAAGGTAGCTGGGATCAGTTCCGTCTGCCATGTCAGCGGCAGCCAGAGGCGATTGCGAGTAGGACAATGGTGACTGCAGATTGCCGAGAGTGCGGTAATGTGTGTTGCCATATGCATATGGGCTCTGAATGGGATCTCCATCTGGGGTATTGGAATAGCCGTTCATCTGAGCTGCGTCGATTTGTAAACCAGAAGCGCGGTGTGACTGGAAATTGTTCTGGTAAGTCATGCTCAAGCCGTGAAAGTCTTGGCCCTGGCCATGAAGGCCGGATTGTCCGTCTGAGGCGAGGCCATCGAGCAGTTCGTCGTCGCCGAATACGGCAGAGCCGCTCGAGAAGCCGTTTGTGTTGGAGTTTGTATTGAAGTTATTGTTGGCGAAAGATGGGGAGTATGCTCCCGACATGGCCAATTCGTTGGGATCGATATGGCTGGCATTGGGGCCAGACCCAAACTGGGTGAAGCCGTGCTGGGCCATCGCAATAAAATGTAGACTTCTTTACCGACAAAGATGGCTCACAGTTGGCTAACAGGAGATGGAATAGAATGTTTTGTTTCGGTTTTCTCTCGTTTGGTTTCTAAAGGGCGCTGTTTCAATGCGCTTTGTTGATTGCTTGACGGGGCGACCGGGAGCGGTCTCGGAATTTTGAAGATCGGCGAGAAATGCCTGAACAGGGAAGGGTTTGCAGGCTACAAGAGGGGGGGGAAAAAGGTCAGAAAGTTATGCCCAGTTAAATATGCCCAGAGCCTGCGCGATCAAACAAATGCTAATCAAAGAGCCGGCGGCAACGACGGAGCCTTTGGGCTTGACGTGGCGCAACGCCGGAGAAGCAGAAACGGAGGAAGCCGTTTGAATGCGTAGGAGGGGCTGACAAAAGAGGAGAGACTAACTTGAGACAAAAAAAGGGCACGGTTAACCCTTTGTCTTGCTAGACGTTGCTGGATGCTCGACTTGCTGCAAAGAAGCGAAGCGCGAGATGTATTCACTGTATCCAGGGAAAGGCGGGCGAGATGTCTGAGATGGTCGAGATGCGAGCTTCGGAGGGGTTTGGCAACGATTGCTTTTTGTGAGCCCAAGGGCCGAAGTCGTTCGGCAATGCGATGTGCGAAGAAAAAAAATAAATAGTGCAGGGTACAGGCAGTAGCCGGCCGATGGGAGGGGCGGAAATGGCGGGCTGCTGTGTAACTAGCTGGGGTGCAGGCGGTGACGGGCGCTTGGGAATCCGCAATACGCGCAGTCAGAAAACAAGCAGCGATGACGATGGTGGAGAGGATGAAGCCTCTATGGAAGCAACACGGAGCAAATCACAGCGAGGCCTGCACTGCGCGTTTTATGATTAGCTTGTTGGGTTGCTGCCAGGTGGTGCAGCGCAGAGACTTGGGTGGAAGAGGTGGTGGTGAGGGGAAGAGACGGGCCAAGATCTGCCCACAGCGGGTGGATGAGAGGCTCTCTTGTCCTTCTCTTCTCTCGCTCTGGCTTGTGAGGGGTGTTGCAGCGAGTCCAGATGCGATGCCACCTGCGCGGGGAAGGTGAATGTGAGGGGGATGCAGAGGGAGGGATGCAGACGAAGGGATGGAGGGACAGGCGACCTCAGCCGCTTCGACTTACCAAACGCAGCCAGCAGTATGCTATTAGTGGTGGTGGTGACAGTCGTCGGTCGTGTGAATATCGTACGGGATATCGTATGTATCTCGCAGACTCGGCGGCACCGCAAATTACGCCGTATGGGTAGCGCGGCAACTCCTTGGACGAGATACAGAAAGAATGAGAATAGCCTTATGCCACCTTGTTCATAAAAAGCACCTATGCATGCAATATGTCTTCAATGTTCCGTCGCAACGGTAGGATGGCTTGGCGCCTGTCCGGTCTGGTAAGCAGGCTGCGAAACCCTGCGTGCCGCGTAGCACAATGACGAAAGGCGAGGTCGGCCCACAGTCTCGAAATAGACAGCCCGAATAAGGCGGCTAGAACGCTGCTGGAAAGTCTCGCTCGACTGGAGAGGCGAGCAAGAGAGTTTCGGTGCGCCGGGGAGGCTGGAGGGGCGCGCGGGCACTAGCGGCGATGGGTGAAGCAGGTCTTCGCTGGATAAAGTAATCAGGAATGTATTAGTGGTGGTCGCACTGCAACATATGCGCGTATATGCGAGCTGTGCAGATATGCTGTGCAGGACGGACGAGATATGCGTGGCGTCGTAGTATTGAGCGGCTGCCGTGGTGGTGAGCGTCCAAGGCGAGACGGCGAGTAATGGGATGCAGAGATCAAGATCAACCGGCGCTGTTTGCGGTGGGACGCGGCGCTCAAATATTGAATCCTGGCCTTTGCGTCTTTCTCTGTGCCCAGCAGTAGGCACTACTGTTCTGGTGGGGAGGGAGGGGAAGATAGCGAGATCTTTCGCTTTTGCCTTGTGCGAGCTGTTAGCAATGCCCCTGCTAGTGCAGATGGACCAGACGCCAAGACGCACGACTTCTCGGATCTGTCTCTAGTAATCGCCCTCTACGAGGCGAGCTGAAAGCCCGACGGCCGTGTCGATGGGGACCTCTGGCTAGGCGTGCAGCAGTAGCTGGAGTATTGTGCGGCTCGAAGGAACACGGTAGCGGTAGCGGCAATAGCGCGGCGTGATTAGTTGGCGGTTATTGGCAGGTCAAAAGGTTGTTCAAAGTATTGGGTGGATGGATGGACAGAGGAGCAGGTTCTCGTCCAGCGTGGCGCCTGGTGGTGGTGGCCGCGATGCGCTGATAGGCCGCTCAGCTGTGCGTCGAGTGCTTGGGAGCCTCCCTTGCACCTGGGCCGGATGCGATTTTTATTCTTCTGCCGGTCCTTTCTGCTCTGTTTAAACTCTGTCGCCTGCAGCCTTGCTCATTCGCAACCAGGCCGTTGGCGAATAGGGATGCGGCGTAGGACTGGATTATGCCCGATGGAGAAGCCTAGCTGACGACGATCAAAAGGCCAAACAAAGCAATAACTCGTGTTAGTTTCGGTAGCTAACCCTCCCTTCGGTTCGCTCTCGATTCGATGGACTGGCCGGTGGTGTTCCAGACGTGGTCTAGTAGCTGATATCCGGGTTTGCGCTGATTCTTGGTTGAAGACTCGTTCGGGCATACACATATGCAAGTGCTTATACATATATGTACGTGATAAGATGAGCTAAAGCTTAGTAGGAGCTACTTGCTGTTGTCGTTGGTCGAGGCAAATGAGTCGGGCCGCGGGGGGCTGTCGTATGTATTAGTATGTGGTGACGCTTTAGGCTGCAGCTTCATACAAACTCCAAGCTTTGTTTCTCTCCCTGTTATGGGCGGCTTTTCACAGAGGCAGACGCAGAGAGTGAAGCAAGGCAAAGCGAATGGAGAATAGAGCAAAATGTAGCGCGGACAGATGCACAATGATACAGAATATTGATCATTCCAAATCTTCATTCGAAAACTCGGCAGCAAGGTACCCGAGCCTCTGGTTTTATACTCGCTGCCGGTAGCTAAAAATACCGAGACTCTAGTACAAGAAAAGCATCGATGCTTGCCTCGTCTTCTGACTTGCCTAGGGCGCGCGAGGTGGTGGCCTGTACCCGTTCTCTTTTTACCAACCACACCCCCCGTTGCTACGTACAAAGAGGGAGGGGGAGAAACGCATAGGAACCAGGTCGAGCGTGACTCGAGATATCAACCGCGTCCCTCGCTATAGACCTGGGGGCTTTCTCCATCGCCCACCGTTATGGGCCATCGCAATGTCTCGCCTGGTCATGCGTTGCTAACCCTTCCGTGAACCAGATACCGCCTTGGCCACGCGGTCATGTAAGGCACCGGTTGCAGAGGTCAGCCACGATGTCGATGACGATTACGATTCCGGGTTTCTGCTTTCTTCTTCTGCATTCCCCAGGCTTCGCTTCAACCGTGGCGGTGCTTCGTGTTGGCTGAGTTGAGTACCAAATACAGTACCTTCAACTAGGCAGATCAACCCAGGTTCAGGCACACTCGCCAGAGATAACAGAACTAACATGTCTGGTGTGGTGTACACGGAATACGGAGCACGGAATTCGGAGCGGCAGCGCTGCAGCCAACTCAAGCCTCATCCAGCCAACTATTTGCCTTGTCATAGTAGGCTGCCGTTTTAAGGAAGCGGCCAGCACAGAAACAACAAGAAAATACTAAGGCAAATGCCTTTTGCTTTCGCGGAATGCGAGAACATCTCCCCCACGCTGCCATGCCCCATCCATCACTGTTGCACCAAGACATGCTCGCTTGTGCTCAATGACGTTGCGTCCTTATCGCTATCGTCTCTTATCCATGCCGAGGTGAGCGGCATTCGCTAGCGGCACTCTCACCTTAGGGAGATTTTAGAGCTCAAGCTCGCTGAACCCCAGCGGTGTTACCACCCCGTAATTGCGCCCTGGCCCCAGTGCTGCCAATCATGTGCCCCCTCCAACGACGTATCGACTTCCATCCCACACCCCCAGTATCTGGCCCAAACCTCCACCCGTCAAACATCTCGCTCCCGCTGCCAGATTTCACATCCGGACCTGCTCTGGCCATCTTCGACGTCCTCGACCGCTTCGACCTCTGCTCTAGCTCTCCCCCACCATCCATTGCCGCCCGTGCTCGTCCAGCGGTACGCGCGGTCGCGATCTATCCCGACGCGGCCGCTGCCTCGTGCCCGTTTGTCGCCTCACGACGGCTCCAATCTGGTAGGCTTCTCTGGCCCCATCCACCCTCCATCTCGCTTGCGCCAGCGTCTCGTCAAGCTATCTTTTCCAAGCCACATTCTGCGCTTCTATACATAATTGATCATGCCCCCTGACTGACCATGTCTTCAGTGGAGCTAGCAGTTTCTAAGCTCCTAGGGCTGTCATCTATCTATTGTTGATCGGGAGACAAGAAACCCCCCTCTCTTCTCTGCGAGGGTTTATTTCGAGGCTTTGCCGTGTCGATCGGGCGTTTACCTTGCGCGCTGCTGCTGCTGCTGTCAAACTTTGGGGATACGATCTTCGGCCTATTATGGCTTCTGCCAGTTTTCGAGATTCCATTAACTCCCTGGGCTGGAGCCGTCGTCAAGATGCGCCCATCACAACGTCACAGCAGTCATCTGGCCTCCTATCCTCTCTCCAGAGTCTGAACCCTTTTCAAGATCGTGGATATACGGTTCTTCCCACATCGGAAGGTCCTGGAGCGCCTCTGCCGGCGCCCAGTCGGCGTGAAGAAGAGGAGGGCTGGTTCGTTTGTGAGTCAATCTGGACATTGTCCCATCACCCACATTGCGGGCGACCCCCCCTGCAGGCGAAACATGTGCATTGCAGCTCTAGCTCGCACTTAAGATGCTGCATGTGATGCAGATGTTGCGCCTCGTGGCTGGATGTAGCTAACATGGAGTGTAGTGAGTCGATGGGACCGCATGCTGGTATTTGCCTTTTGCAATCTCGCTGCCGCTGCCTGTTTCGTCATCTGCTTCACCCTCTTCCCTGTCCTTTCTCTGAGACCACGCAAATTTGTGATTCTGTAAGTCTTGGATGACGTCGTTGCATCCCCTCGACATTGTCGCTCGCCCAGCTTTTGCTCCTTCTTTGACCCCTCTGCTCCCCAACAATCCAACCTTGACACCTGCCACACCTATTCACACATGCATGCATACAATATATGCACGGCCGGAGTTCTCGGCAGACGGTATTTGCATGAATTACCTGCATGCGTCTCTACCTGCCGGAGCCAATACCCCTTGTACGAGTAGTTGCGCAGCGCTAACCCCCCACTTAGATGGACAGTTGGATCGGCACTCTTCCTGGCATCTTTTGCTGCCATTATGGGACCTATGAATTACATCTATCATCTTTTCTCCGCGCCTAGACTACCTTTTACCGCTGCCTACTTTGGATCCATAGCAATGACTCTCGTGTTTGCTATCAAGGTATGTTGAGACCCCAACAGGCAGGAAGAGTGGAAGAGAGAGGGCTAGGCTGCGGTATAACTGAGGGGTGTGCTAACATAACAAAGGTCCATAGCACCATCCTCACCCTTTTCGCGTCCTTGATTCAACTTGCTGCCTTGATTTGGTATTTGGTCAGCTATTTCCCGATGGGTTCCACGGGTTTGCGCCTCGCTACTTCGTTCGGAGCAAGACAAGCAACTGCATGGCTTTCAGGGTGAGTGCCGGTCGAGACGTATTAGCAAGCGGGGTTCCATCATCCGCCGAAATAAAAGTCCTCCCCATGATGCTCCTTTGATAGGATTTTGTTACTTTGTTTTATAATGCTTATGGATATATGTACCATGTGAGAAGCCTAGCCAGAGCCTCAAACCATTTCAAGAATAGCCAGTTGCTGGGTAGTAGCACATTCTAGCGATATGGGTAAATCTGATAAGAAACATGCTATAATCTGGAAATTTACCGATACCAGTTATCCATCTTCATGCTTAAGAATGCCTTCCCTTGGGAGGTACTAATGCATGAATCTCCCCGGTTATTGACTAAAAAGCACGGCACATCTCATCCACGTGCCGAGAGCTCGCATACAGGCTAGCAAGGCGAGCCGCCGACAAGAGGTCACCTGCCATGTCAGAGGCCTTTGGAATATAGTAGTGGCCGGTTAGGAGGGATGGCTCTGATTGGCCGTCTCTAAATTCTCTATGCTTCTGTGCCACCAATATCCCTTTGATGGGCTGTCATGCTGGTTGTTCCCCAGGTACTAGTACAGGATAACAATGGAATGAGATGCGCATCATGCCGGTACCTACCTTAGCAGATTCGCACGTTCGAATAGGAGAGGCCGCATGTCCAAAATGAGCATAAATTTAGTGCTACTACTAGTAGAGTTTGCATCGTGCGAGAGCGGCGCATCGCTTAAACGCCGTCTCTGCCTGTCGTTGAGCGCAACTCCGAGTGCCGTACCTCCGATATACATCCTGCAGCCCGGAGGTTGGTATGCAAGAGGTACCTGTACTGGTACTCTAATGCTGGGTACAGTGGCTGTAGGTGTTTCGCTAAAAGTAGCGCTACATTAAGATGCCCAGACAAATCGCAAGCCACAGTCTCAGCCGAAAAAGCAAACAAATCCTTAGTACAGAGTACCTGTACGTAAGCCCGGAGAAGCCCTGTCCGTGGGGAAAAATGACAAGTAGGTACATGTACGGAATATGAAAACGGGAAACTGGGCTGAGATGAGCTGCTGCGGCTGCTCCTCAGGCTGCTTCTTTTTTTGACCTGGTATCGTTTTGTGACGCCCGCAAGGGTGGGTGAAAAAATGTGTGTGCGTGCAAGCAAGAATCTGGACTGAGACAAGGCGCCTCGGCAACGATGACTCTTACGATGCCTGCGGCCCATGTACGTATTACTCGCTGTCAGGCAGGTACTGTAGGTATTACCATTATTAGTACAGGTAGCATTTGCGTCTCACCAGGCAAGTTCCTGCTTGTGCACTCCTCCACATTAAAGTACCGCTACCTTGTCATGGGGTGCATGAGAGATTTTTGTTTAAGAAAATTAAAACAGCTGGCACAAATACCTAGGCAGGCAGGGGAGAGGAGACGACGAGCCAACCATGGCTGACAGTTCCGGCTCCTACTTTTATTCTCCTAGGAAAAAAAATAAAAATAAGTGCCCGCCGCCCGTATGATCGATTGCGGGATATCGCTTGTCGATAAGAACGATAAGGGATAAGGGAAATTCAAGGGTATCGAGAATACCATCCATGATAAAAGGGCAGAGTGTCGCGAATAACGCCGGGCGATCTCCCGGCACGGGCACAGCCTGTTGATCACGGAAACAAATAGGAGGCCGCAAAGAGAAAGTCGAAAGCCTCAGCTTTTCGGGCTGCCAATAGCATTGCCCACAATCAGAGCTGTGTGCGACCCCGACCTGCCGCATGCCCGACCAAACGCATTCCCGCGGCTGAAGCGGCCTCAATAGAGGAGAATCCAGATGGGCCCCCCCAGGAGCCGCTTATTATTGTGACTTGATTGATTGCTTGGCCTTGTTCGAGGGCCCTCGCTCGCTGCCGCTTTTTTTTTTTTAACACAACCGCAGGAGAAACTTCTATTACTTCTACGAGTACCTCTACTACCTCTACTACCTACTAGTACCTTTACTACCTCTACTACCTCTACTACCTCTACTGCCTTTACTGCCTTTACTGCCTTTACTGCTTCTGTTACTTTTATTACTTTTACTATTTCTATTACTGTTATTACTGCTACTTTTAAAATATTATATTTAATTAAATAATTTTATATTATGGGCTAATTGCTTTAAGTAACAACTAAGTAGCTGGATGATGAAACTGGGATGCGGAATAATAATCCCCCATAATTGTCTATAACTGCGGAAGAGTTGCCTCCTCCGTGCATGTACCGCTACAAATCACCGCCGCGCACACAACTTTAATGGGCTCCGCACTAACGACGCATGTCTCATGCCGGGCTGCAATTCGCTGCTGCGCTGATGTAGGTTCGTATCCGAGCAGCAAACAAGCCTCGGGTGCATAGCAACAAAAGACGAAGTAAAAATATATGGAAAAAAGCAAAACAAAAGAAAGTGCTTATTTACCACGTCGTGGCCGGGAGTGCCTGGCTAGGTCATCGGCTCTGCTCTTCTCCGCGAACAGAACGAGAACACTCGGCATCTCTCTCTCTCTCTTTCTCTCTCTCTCTCTTCTCTCTTTTAGCAATATTGAACACGCCCAAGCCACCGATTTGACCCGACTCTCGCTCGGCTGACTTTGCACAAGCCATATTCATATTCGCGCATTTTCCATCACTCCACTTGCAGCGAACGATTTTACATTATCCAGGTGTGGGCCGCAGAAAGCCCCAAAGGGCTGCCCTCAGTCAGACAAATAGAATTGCATCATATTCACGGAGCAAGGGCTATTCAATTTTTTTTTTTTTCCCTTTCCTAATTGAATTCCATTTTTTTTTTTTTTTCTAAACGGGCTCAAGGCTTCCATACTACCGCTAGCTCGGGACCGCCATCGCTGTGACAGCGCGTTTCCATAGGTCCGCTGGGGCCAACTGCACTCAGTAATCCAGCGCCAGGCCGCCCGCTGGAGACCGCTGTAACTCTTAGGCCGCCCAGCGCTCCGCTTTCAGGACCTGTCCTGGGCCCCAGAACCCGCCAAACCCGCCAAACCCGTCTAGGCGCCCTATCGTTGGAAAGAGAGGGGAACCAAAAAAAATTTATTATTCACACAACGAAAAAAAAATTATCAACTTGCCTTTTTCGTTCTGCCCTTTGTGCCCTCTTCATTCCTCTTCACCACCATCTTGACCAGTCAATTCTGAAGAATTGCCGCGCCGGTTGGCCTCTGTTTGACCGTCTCTCACAGGCTGCGCCGCGTCCTGTCCAGGAGCGCAGCTGGTTTTTTCTTTTCTTTTCATTCCCTGCATTGCCCGCGTGCCTCACTGCAGCAAGTTATTCCTCCTGCACCCCGGTCGCCCTCAATCCGGCAGCCTGTTTTGTCACCTCTTGCTCTCCCTTTGGCTCGGGCTGACTGACTTGTGCTCGGCCTGCTTCTTTGTCCTTCCACCCAGACGTGCGACGCTTGGAGGCTTGAGTACGCGACTGCCACCGCCTTGAGGCGCCTTTTGCCGACCGGCCGCCTCGTGTGTGTTTTGGACCGATTCTTATTTTCAGGCCCCTCCGCCACTACCGACGTGATCTTGATCCCTTTGCCTGGGCTTAAGAGACGACCGTCCCGCTTAACAGCTACGGATTTTATACGCGATTGCTTCTCGTTCTGAGAATCATCCACCCAGACAAAAGAAATTAGTTGCCTTTGGTCTTCTTCTAGGCTGTGTTGCTGGTGCATCATTTGCGTTTTCAGCCACGCCAACGAAAATTTTCTGGAGCCTCTTGTCTTCCAGAGAATACATCTGACCGCGGCGAAGTGCGACTTTGGGACCACGCCGAGCTTTCTCACTCTGTTGAAGTTGTGAAAGCCATCCGCCTCTCTCCCAAATCATTTCTTTTTCTTTTTCCACCCTCTCTCCTCTTTCGGTTCCATTCAAAATGGCGACCGCTTCAGCTTTCTCTTATGCGCAGGCCGCCAAGGGCCAAGGCACTGTGCCATCAAATACCCTCTCTGGACAGCCTGTTCAGGACTCTCAGCCATCTGCAGCCGCGCCCAAGGCTAACACAGACGTCGAAAGCGCGACCGAGTCCACTGCCGCCGTCCGAAGCGCCGATTCCCCTGCCAACGCAGGAAAGCAAGATATTGTCAGCAGCACTGGTTCTGAGGCCGGAGCTCGATCCGAGGATGTCCAAGAGACGCGCCGTGAACCTCTGCGAGACGATGAATCTGGAAGGTTAGATCGCCCATGGCGACGAGGCGACAAGGGCACGAGGTCCTCGAGCACGACTACACGATCGGTCGACGAGCAGGACTCCAGGAGACCACGGAAGTCTAAGAAGTCCAGGGCTGCCGAAAAGCAGGCCAGCGACCAATCAGCGGCAGAGAAGGAACAGGAGCCTGAAAAAGAGGCTCCCAAAGTTGAGCTGTTTGAAGCGCCAATTCCATCTGTCAATATATGGCGACAGCGGGCGGAAGCGCAGGCTAAGACTAAGCCATCAGAGCAAACAAGCAACGGCGTGTCCAAGTCCGACGTGTCCTCCAAGGCGACTGAGAACGGTGTTCCCGCCGCTAGCCAGCGTGAGAACGTACCAAATGGCGTCAAAGCCCCTCGAAAGCCAGTCGATGCCCCTCGACCTGAGAGGAATGCCAGCCGCGGCTCAAGGGCAGCAGACAAGGATGCCAGCAGAGGCGATGTTCCCCCTTCAGTCGCCGATACATCGGCTTGGCCCACTCCCGAGACGGCTATCAAGGAAGAGAAGAAGAAGCCTGCTGAGAAGACCGATCGTGTTGAGAAGGATGCCTCAGAAGATGGATCCCAGTCAAAGCCAAGACAGAAGTGGGTTACGATGGACTACGTGCCAAGCGTCAACTTCGAAACGCAGCTCCCTCAGATGCGTAACTCTAAACCTCGTGGTGGAGCCAGAAGCGCCAATGGTCCCAGGGCTACGGGATCATCACACGCCAGTGACAAGGCTACCACCCCCGTTGCCAACCAGGGCAAATTCAGCGAGAACAACGGCAACAACAGCAACAAGGATCGCCCTCGTGATGGCGCCAACGGCCCGAACCGAAATGCTTCTTTGCCTCAGGCTAGCAAGCGGGCATCTGCAGATATGTCCAACACGCGTGAGCAGAGGAAAGCTGTAAACCAAACCGGTACCGATAAGAAGGATGCCGCATCTAACTCTAATGTAAGTGATTCATGATTAATAGCTGCAAATAAGAAGGGGAGTGGAAAGAGAGAAGACGAAGGAAGGCTTTCATGCCGATCCCACCGCTATTTTTTTTTCTTGGAATGATGGACTAATACTCATGGTTTAAGGAGCAGGGTCATGCCGTTCGTGAACGAACAGAAAACCGCAATGATAGACCACGAGGCGCATACCGTGGACGTGGTGGACACCATCCCGCCAACGCCCAGCACCAGCATACCGCCTCCAACTTCTCTTCGTCTGGCACGATGGGTGGACGAGGTCAGGGCCCCTATAGCCCGCCCGCTAGACAAGGCGGTCATGGTCAGATGTATGTGCCTAACCAGAGGGGCGGTCGTGGTGGTCGAAACAACGCTGGAAACTACCACCGAATGTCTCTCCCCAATGGATCAACACGCATTCCTCAGGTTCAAAATCAGTTTGGCCCATACGAGTATCCGCTCGCGCCGATGGCGGCAATGCCTTTCCAGCAGCCCTACTGGGACAACATGCTTGTGCCAGTGCTGAAGAGCCAGGTCGAGTACTACTTCTCGATCGAGAACTTGTGCAAGGATGTCTATCTCCGTGCACGAATGGACTCGCAAGGCTTCGTGCCCTTGCACTTCATTGCCTCTTTCAAACGTGTGCGAGATCTCTCTGCCGATATCGCCATGGTTCGTGCGGTCTGTGAGCTTTCTACTGAGGTCGACCTCGTTGTGGGCGATGATGACGTCGAGCGTGTGCGACGAAGCGAGTCTTGGGAAAGCTTTGTTCTGCCAATGGATGTCCGAGAGGACTTTGCTAAAACCCACGGACCAGCTCAGTTCACATACAAGAACCGAACGGCACCAGTGCCGATGCCACCGCAGTTTAACGGAATGCCTGTCCCATATGGTATGGCTTCGCCGCCTGCCTATGCAGCCCACGTTGAGGCTCCGTTCCAGCAACTGCCCGACGAATCCATTGCTAGCCAAGGAGTCAACGGATATGTAAACGGCCACGTCAACGGCTTTGCTGCTTCTAGCCAGCTGTCGGCTGACGTGCCTGATTTTGCTCCTTCAGGTGTCATTCCACTCGGCGAGGCTGCGGTGAACGGACATGCGGAGACACCCGTTGACAGCGTGGTAACAAATGGGGTGCAGAACGAGTAAATGGTGCAGCAGAGTGTCGTACTCTACTGTGGCGGCGCTGCGATACCCGCTCCTACCAGTTAGCGAACCTCTCGTTTATGTTTTCGGGGTGAAAAGCCTTGAAGGCGCATCCTACATATTTGTTTCTTGTTACCGAGCCGAAGGGCTTGGACGGCTTGTCATGGCAGTTCCTTGACGGTTCGAGCGACAACGCATTTTAACAATTTCTTTTTTTCTTTCGTCACAGTTCTGCCTGGCTATTCTTGGCTACGGCTCGGCAAGGGAAACGGCAAAATAAAAAAGCGTTGCAACTGTGAATTATTTGGGGATTTTTGGCTTTGTGAGGGATTCGTTCTCTTTTCTTTTTACCTTTTGCATGTGTATATATGCGCAGATGAAGGCGGCAGATGGCAGAGATTGGGGCGTTTCGCGATCCATGAAAGGAAAGCACGACAAAAAAAGGGGTGGAAAGATACCCCTGGAGACTTGTTTTTTTTTTTTTTGGGCCTGGAAAGTACAACGCAGCAAAAGCGTTTTGCATTCTGGTTTGGGATTTCCTTTTATTTTGATAAAAGTGAAAAGAAGAAAGAAAAAAAACATTGGGAATAGGAGAAAAAAGCAACGAGGGCGAGAAAAAAATTTGAGGGTACGAAATAGAGCCACCGCTCGAGGGCGAGGGCAATGGAAACCTTGTGTTGAAGCGGGAAAGCTTATCCTATTGGTTGAGCAGCCATCGTGACTGATAACTCCGATATGGATTTCGGTGGAGGATCGATGGCTTTTACACACACCCGGGGCTCAAGGGAAAGTTTTATTTCACAGGATTTTGATTACAACAAACTAGTCTTGCACCTGTTGGGATCTCGGAGGGGCTTATGAAGTGGCCACTTCATGTTTTTGCATGTTTTTGCATCCCCAAGCATAGTTCGACATGCGACCAGCTACCATGCAATTGATGAGAAACGCACAAGGATTTCCATATCGATCTTTTATTATTATTATATCATCATCATCCCTATTATCATTTTTCGCTAGACAAACGATGGACGGATACAAAAAAAAATTAGGCAAAACCGAAAAAAAAAAAGGAAAAAGCAAGACGATTACGAGCAAAGAACATTAAAAAAATTCGCTCGAGGGCATTTGAGTGGGCTTATTAATTTGGTAAAATGGTTGCAAAATGAGATTTTTCAGTTTTTTTTTCTCTCGATTTCTTGAGTTCGTATTTCTCGGAGGGTTGTTTTTTTTTTTTTCTCAGGGCTGGATTTGTCCCTGGCATTTTGATGCGAGACAGCGTGGTACAATGTTGCTGCAGATCTGTTCAATATGTACGATAGGATTCAAGAATAATACAACCCAAAAAAAAGTTCAGTCATCGAGTCTTGAGGAAAGATGAGCTTTCCTTTCTCTTACGTCCTTTCTGACGTATAATTGTTTTGTGAAGAATATCCTGAGCATACTAGTTACATGATATCGGATCGTAAAATCTACGCAATATAGCCATAAGATCACAACGCCATAGCTAGCCCGACAATAGCGATGAGGCCAGCAGCGGCACTGGCGAAAGCTGTTGGCATGGAGGCTGGGTTTGCCATTGACGATACCGCGGATCTTTTTACGAAACGAGGTCCTATGAAGGGGATAGGAGAGAGATCGGTAGAGGTAGAAGCGGCTTGAGCGTCTGCGTCGTCTGTTATCGTAGTCGTGGTCGTTTCCCCCGCCGCCGTGGTCGTAGTCGTTGATGACGCCGTTGTTATTGCTGCTGTTGGCGATGGTGTAAGTCGTGGAGATGAGGTGGACGTTGCAAACGGCGAAGATAGTGTAGATGGCACCGCTGATTTTGTTGTTGTGGTAGTCTCGATAGGCGCCTCGTCTTGAAAAGGCACAGTTGTCTCCGGGGTGCTGGGATACAGTTAAAACAAGAAGAGATAGGTCCAAGTCCAACATTCGATGGCTTACAGTGTAGAGTCTGAAGTACTCCTTGTATCATCATCTATAACTCCACCAGGAGTTATGATAACAAGTGGTCTGGGCGTGCTCAAAGCGGGATCGTCAGAGAAGCCTGGAGGCTGGACTGGGTTGGTGCGAGTAAGATATCTGCATAGACAAGCGAAACCCCAGGTTAGTTAGACAGACTGAGAGCATGGATTTCCCCCGTATAAGGTGAGTTAGCAGAGGCACTAACGGCGAATTTTGTGCTGTGGCGAGAGAGATGGCGGCTAGCACAATGGTGATGGAGTGGCGAAGTGCCATCTCTGGAGGCTTGGCTTATCTGGCAGGGCAATGATTTGGCGAATGGACACTATCAAGCGTCTGCGTCTCTAATGTCTACGGCTGCGGCGACCAGTGAACTCAGGAACAGAAAACAAGATTAAGAATAAAAAAAAAGCCACGAGATGATGGCCTGATTGTTCGAAATTCGTAGATAATAACAACAGCTCGTAGTTGGAATGTAGATGGTTGCCCTGCCCGAGCCTCGTCACATACGTCGCTGCATACTCACGGCCTGGCTGCTTAGTCGCGCGACAAGTATCATGCATCGCTTGTTTATTTCTTTCTTCTGGACTCAGCTATATACTTTTACTATTACTAGGTGCTTGCTGGTATACAGAAGGCGACATTGCATATCTGGGATAAAAGCTGTTGGTCGAACGTTTGTTCAGCTTGAGGCTGTGACGGTCGACACGGGACTAGGCTGGAATGGGGACAAAGACGCGCCCTCCCTGTTCATATCTGCGAAGAGATAGAGTGTATATAGAATATCCGTAGCCGTGTTTCGCAGTTGGAGGTATGATTAAACAGTGGCCACACAATTCTCTGGCATATAGACGAGGAAATGTGACACGAGAGTAACCTCTCTTCTCTCTAAAGAGAATTACGAGGTACGTACCTGGAGAGCCAGCGCAGTGCTGAGGGATCTGCTTTGGCTTTGCGTTTCGGTGAGATGACATCATATCCCACCAAGGGCAGCAGCCCCTCCACCAAAAACAAAAAAAGTGGCTTGCCCGACGCAGCCATTTTCAGCCAATAAATTCCATCACGAGCCACATCCAAGGCTAATAAATGATTGTCAAGTCACGGGTGGCTGGCACTTCTTGTGGCTAGAGAAGGGGAAGACGGAGGAGACGAGAAGGCGGGCGAGCGAGGCCGTGGGAGCGAAAGCGGGGTCGAACGCATCAAGCAAAATGGAAGGAAAACAAAGAATAGCTTTTGGAAGACACGCAAAAAAAGCGGCGCTGGGGGCTTAACGCCTCCATGTGGCGCTGGGGCTTGCTCTGGGCGGACGGGTGCCATGGGCTCTCCCGAGAGGTTGTTGAGACGGCATGGGATGGCTTTTGTGTATAGGGACAGCAGTTGGTTTCCAATATCAGATGACGGCCCTGGCCAAGGCCTCGTTACTTTCTGTTGGGCCGACGGCTGGGATGGCAGGCAGATCGCTTTCGTGCTAGAAATGCGGCGACAAGTACTCTCTTTCTTCTTAGCAAGCGTCCAAGACAGAAACGAGGCGGTTCAGCTGTCGGTGCCCAGCTGGAGCTTCGGTCTGGAGCTGGATGCCCAACGTAGAACAGCCTGGAATAGACGCTCGGTGCGAGCAGTCACAGCGCGAAATGGGTGTGGCCGGCGCCCCCGAGTCTGCTGTTTATGAGAGCTCTACTAGAATGAATATCCTCTGTCTCGTAGATGAGAAGACGATGAGATGGCTCAGTTTGCTTCGCTAATCCTCTGGCAGAGCTGTCTGCACAGAGGCAACATCCAATACCGAACCATGAGGCGCAGCTGCTGTGCCACAGTAGATGCCATCATGTCAACGCAGTCCTTACTCTGACTGCTGGGCCATCAATTCTGCCGTTCAGGCTGCCTCGCCGCGCTATCGCCTCGCCCACTCCAGCACAGCAGGGCAAGCGCAAGGCAAGGCAGGTCATTCCGATGTCAGGCAAGGGCAAGACGCAGGACAGGGGTGCGTCCTGCTCGCTCCTTCCCCCCCGGTCCTGTGTGTCGCCATTACGTCTTGCCCCGCCGCTTCATGCAGACTCTGTGGCCAAGGTCCCTCCTTCCAGGCCCCAATTCGACAAATATCGTTTGGTCCTGCTGCTTGCGCATCCTTTTTTCCGACTCTTCTCAAAAACTGCCTTAACCGTCATACTCTGCTGTATATCTGCTTACGAAAAACCCCAAATCAGCAGCACCAAAATCAGTATCAGCGCTCAGCAGTTCTACCTGATCGATTCTCACGCAGTCACGCAATACTCGGCAGTTGTTTTTTTCCACCACGGTTTTGTGCGGCATATTATACCAGCTACCCCGCCAGCAGCGCACTTACACGTAAAGAACCATCTTCTGCAGAGGAGACAGCGCAGTCTCAGCTCTTATCCAAATGGCTCACCACAGCCCGCAAGACTATGATTATTCCCGTCGCTACTTGCGTGAGGAAATAGTCGATGATCGCGACCCTCGCTACTTCGACGACCGCAACTATGGCGAGCCTGTCCGGAACCGTGATCTCGTCCCTCGGGCGGATCCTCGCGACAGCAGCCTTTCTGTAGAGGAAGTTCGCCGCGACTTCCCTCCACCAACCGGACGAGACTACGCCCATTCTCACGACGTACGCCGTGCTCGTTCTGCAGAGCCTGGCTACTATCAGGAGGATTATGAATATCGCCGCACCTATGGAACACGTCTGGATACCCGGGACGAACGTTACTCGAGACATGGCGGTAGCCACTATGGCGACGATGATCGTGACAGGAAGCCCAAACACAGCAAGTCTATGTCGAAACAAGAGAAGATCATTGCTGCCGTTGCCGGAGCCGCCCTCCTCGTAGGTGGCAAGGAACTCTATGATCGCCACGAAGCGAAGAAGGAGGGGGGTACTCCAGTGCAGCGCAACGCCTTGTCATCGGCCGCTCTCGCCGGTCTTGGTGCATTTGCTGCCTACCAAGGTGCTGAATTCTACAGCAAGCAACAGGCAAAGAAAGATCAAAAGGCAAATTATATTCTCCAACGTGGTCGTGATGGTCGCCTGGATGAATACTATTCGTCGGACGACGAGGCCGACACTAGAGAGAGAAAAGGTCACAAGAACTTTCTTGAGAGTGCCTTGGCCGCTACTGGCCTTGGAGCCGCTGTCAAAAGCCTCACTGGCCTAGGCGATGACAAGCACTCTGATACCCGAAGCCGTGGCGGTAGCCCAGGTTCACGAAGCGTCCGAAGCGTTCGCTCCGGCTCGGGCTCCAGAAGCGGCGGAGGTGCCAGCAAGAAGCAAAAGGTCGCTATTGCATCTCTGCTTGCTGGAGCTACCGAGGCCTTCCGTGTCGCTAAAGAGCCTGGTGGTTGGAGAGGAGAAAAGGCTAAGAGAATTCTCACTGCCGCCGCCGGTGCCGCTACTGTGGATGCTGCTCACGGAGCAGACCACGGAAAGCTTGGCCTTGCTGAATCAGTCATTGGTGGTCTGATTGGTAACCGCTTGATCAACGGCTCTAGGAATGATATCGAAGAAGATCGCCGCACCGGCAGGAGCCGCTCTCGATCTCGTGCACGATCAAAGGATGGTCGTGGAGGCGTCGGCCTCGCAGCGCTTGCAACGGCTGGGTTGGGTGCTCTTGGCGCAAAGAAGGCCCTTGATCGATCGAGGTCTCGTGGGCGTGACCGCGACTATGATTCAAGAAGCCCATCGAGAGACCGCAGCCGAAGCCGAAGCCGCAGTGTCGTAGACAGAGCACGGGATGGCCTTGCCAAGCTAGGCTTTGGTAGTGGTGCTATGGTGGCCGCTGATGATCGTCGCCGACGAAACGACTACGACGACGACGACGACTACGATGATCGAGAGTCGCGTCACTCTGGCCGACGAGATGATGATCATGTATACGATGATCCTCGATACCGTCGCCGTGGCCATGACTCTGAGCGCAGGCACCGCGGGGCATCTCGTGACCCATCTCGAGACCGTTCTCGATCTCGAGACCATTCGCGCCGGAGAGGCGGCTACGGGTCTGAATCTGACCTAGGAGACTCTTCTGAGGATGAGAAGAGGGCCAAGAAAATGAGAGGTAAGCAGGTTCTAACTACCGGCCTTGCAGCTGTTGCCACAGTTCACGCAGTACATGGAGTCTACAAAAGTTACGAAAAGAGGAAAGCGCGGCAAGAGGCCGTCAAGGAAGGCCTACTCAGCGCACAAGAGGCCAAGAAGCTCAAAGCCAAAGCCATCATGCAAGATGCAGCTTCAGTAGGTATTGCTGCTATTGGTATCAAGGGTGCTCTCTCAGAGCTCAAAGAAGCCAGGGAGATGACCCACGAGTGCAGAGAGTGGAGGAGTGAGAAAGATCGTCGCCACGCGAAACGGCTAGAGAAACGCAAGCAACTTGGAGACAGGCGACGATCATCAAGCTGGTCGGCATCGTCGCCGCGAAACGACAACGGATACTATGCAGACGGCGAAGATCAAACGTACATGATCGATCGCAGGTACACTGCGGTTTCACAGCTATCCCAACCGCCTCTCAGACGGGATAGCAATTGAGATGCAACCCCCAAAAGCAGCTATGCTTAGAGACTTTCTCAGCTGGCTTTCCCGCCTCTGATGCTGCAAGTCCGTCCTTGACTCTCAAGACTAGCACTTGCTGCGGCGATAAGAATCACTATCTTGTCAACACAGTGCATCTACCGTCGGTCGCTCTCTCACACACTCGTTAAGCCGTTTGCCTGGTGTGATAGATTATCTTGATTTCCTATGTTGGCGTTAACATTAGCTGGATATTTGCTTTCTAATCAAAACACGTGGCAACTACAAAGTGGGATATGATATCAGACTTCATGTGCTGCGTGGCACAAACTACATAGATTGAGCTTCAAGCTTAGCCTACTTGTCTTCTCTAATATCTTCTATTTATATCCAGAATGACTAATAATGATTGATTTGCTATAGATCACCGACGCTACTGATGACTTGTTCTTCGCGGAGAATAAGGAATCAATCCGAGAGGAGGGTATCACTGCAGCTGCGGAGATGCGATACGCTCAAGCAAGGCCATCATTCGATCAATCGATGCGAGTAACCAGCAATTATTCGGATGCATTAGCCGAGTTTGGTATTCTGCATGGATAGACAGCGCATGTCCATGTAATTCGGAATGAAGCGGATGCGGATTGGATTGGGCTTATGTGCGATGGCCATGCTAGGTAACGTAAAAAATTCCGGATTTTTGGATCAAGTGGGAAGGGATGTGCAGCGGCTACGGCAAAGACGGCCCAGGACGGGCACTGGCGAGGAAGGGTAGATCTCGATGACTCGGACGCTTGGGTTGGAAAACAGGTTGGAGGACGGAATTCTTGGATGGCTTACATTGATTTCCTTGGTTGTGGGGGCCCAATAAGGCCTCACGCAGATTTACGAATCATGACTGCTGACGCTAATGAGTGTTTATACGTTTCTATATATTGAAAAGATAAAAGACTAAATGAAAAAAAATTGTCTTGTGGGTTAAAATTGCTTCGAATAAATCATCATTCATACCTAAGCCGACTAGATGTCTTTTTCCTGTGATATAGACTAGTATGACTGGAAATAAGAATCTCTGTCGCGCGCCATATCCAGGACTCCAACGTTCGAACATCTAGGATGTATGACATCATCACTTGTGCAACAGGCACCCAGCCGCATCAAGATCTCGGGCGCCCTTTTCCTTTCCCCTCCCTTGTTGCTTCTAGCTTGAAACGCCGCAAATGCGGCCCGAACCCCGTCTTTTGCTCCACCGTCATGTGCCTTGGTTTGGGTATTGATAGAAGGGGTGGATGTTAGTGACGTCGCTGTGCATCTTCTTTTCTGGATGAGTGAGCCGAATAGTGCCGGTATATTGGTACCTAATATCTACTACTACGTACAATCCAACGGCCGCATGCGATATACGTGCTTTTTTATGCAAAGATGATTCGTTTGAACCATTGATGATGGGAGTGATGTATACATCTCCTGTTTTGTTATTTAAAGCTTTACATTTATGTAATCATATTGGGCGGAGAGAAATGAGAAGAACAAGCCTTGGAGTTGTAGTATTGTTGCAGTATTAAGATGAATAGGGGGAAGCAGAGAGAAAAATAGGTAAATGGCAATACAAATATTTACCGGGCCAGCTCTTATGACGCCCCTGATAAATCCCCTCCAGTCTGCTTCCATTTCTGCGCCAAAGCCATGATATTGGACAGATTCTTGGCCTGTTGGTCGTCCGCCGGGAAGACGTAGTCAAAGTACTCCTCGTAGACGTCCTCGTTATCGCCGCTGTCGTCCTGGACTCTTCTCCGGCGCTTAATTCTGCGGGGCATCTGTTGCTGCACGGCGTCGATATCCTCCTCGGTGCCGTGCGTGCGCTCAAACGACAGCCAGGCGTTGAGTAAGCTGACGCGTTCTTCCTTGAGGTCTTTGTCGCGCATGCTCTTGTGAGCGCGCTCAAAGACCTTGCGGGCGCGGGCTTTGGCCTCTTCGCTGATGGGCTGCTCTTCTTGATCCTCTCCCTCGGCCTCGTCATCCTCGGGAATGTTGATTTCGAAGTGGGCATAGCTGATCCAGACCTTGACGTGACCGGTCTTCTCCAGGAGCCGCTCGTACAGCTCGCGTGTTCTCTCGTACTCTCCTTCTTCTTCTTCAAAGTCTATGTAAGCTTTCCACAGTAGTTCTGGCATGTCCAACTGGGGTTGGCTGACGGCCAGCTCGAAGATGGCTCTCGCGCGATCGAGATCGTCCAAGCCGCGCTCCAACTCGGCAAATTTGATCCATGTCTGGCAGTTTGTCGGGTTATACTGAACGTGCTTCTCGTACAGAGTTCGGCAACGCACAAATTCGAACAGCTTCCGCTCGAGGTCAACGTATCCATTGAAGATCTTGTCCTTGGGGCACATGCCAATAGCGCGTCCTAGCAGTTTTCGTGCTGCTCCAAGTTCGCCTTGTCGAATCTCGAACTGCGCTGCAAGCAGCCATATCTTGGCAAAAGTAAACTTCTTATGGGGTATCATGTTTAGGCACGTAGTGTAGATCTGCCGAGCTCGTTCGATATCCTGTCCCTCGAGCTCCTCCCAAACAGCGTAGAATATCCAGAGATAGATATATCGGCGCCAGTGTCGCTTCTCTTGTGTCGGGGGAACTTGGGCAATTGCTCGCTCGTAGACATCTCGAATACGATCCGCATCTCTGGATGCTTCTTCTAATCCGGCATAATCGAACCAGGCGTCATAATTTTTGGGGTTCTCGCGTACTTGCTCTTCGTAATACACCCGTCTCTTGGACAGCACGACATCTTCCACGCCGTCTTGATCGCCGAACTGCTTTTCAAAAGTGGTATAGGCCTTGTGCAGCAGTCTCGATTTCGATCGAGGCAAGCGGTCGAGGGCATATTTGTAGATGGCTCTCGCCCGCTCGTATTCCTTCAGCTTGGATTCAAACCGAGCATAGGCAATGAACAATTTCTCGTCCACGAATTCGTCGCCCAGGGTTTCAACTGCCGTCCCAAACACCTCCCTAACCAGATCGCTTGTCCCATACTCTTCTTCGAATTTAGCCCACTTGATCCAGTTTCGGGGCTCGGGGTGGACCATGGTAAAGGACCGGAAGATATCGCGGGCTCGGTCATATTCTCCATAGCGCTTCTCCAGCTTGATGTATGAACTCCATGCCGCCTCACTAGGCTGCCATTGCATCCATCTGTCAAAAACCTGTCGAGTTCCGGGAATATTACCCAGCATCTCCTCCATGTATACGTATTTGTACCAGATTTTATCGACTCGGGGCAGCCGCGTGACTGCGCGGTCAAGGAGATTTCGAGCATGGTTGATGTTTCTCGATTTCATCTCGGCCTCAACGTATCGCATCCATACCTGGACATCGTTGGGATGAACATCAAGGCATCGCTCGAAGACGGATCGAGCACGAGCAAACTCCTTCTGTTCCAGTTCCCATTGCGCGTACTGAAGCCAATTGCTCAGCTTGACGCGATTCCGCCTTACATAATCCTCAAACTCCTTCCGTTTCCTGCCCTGGTACTCGTGAAGCTCTTCAAGATCAGCAAATCGCTGCGTCGGGGCTTGGATCTGGACTTCTTGTCGGTCGACGGCTTCACGAAGAAGCTGCTCAGCGCTGATCTGGACAGGCGCCGCGGCCTTGTTTTTGACCCTCGGCGGGCCACGCGAGGACTCCATGTTGTGAAATGATTCGTGTGGCGGCAATCGACGGAAATTCTGCAAAGAAGCTTCAGTCTGTGATTTCAGCTTCAGTGGCTGGAGCAGGTCTCGTAGACCAATGTTTGCTCAGACAGCCTCAAGATGGCGAGATCTCGAATTGAAAGAGCTGCAAGTCGAGACAGCCTGCTGCTAGCACTAGTCCAAGTGCTCTGGACTTATCGATAAGAGAATCTGTCAAGCATTTATGGTGCACGGACCACTAAGGCCAAGGCTAGTCTACTACACCACCATTCGTTTCTCAGCCTCGCAGCTTCATCAAAACACATCAAAAAAACAAAGGCAGCCTAGCGAAGCTATTTGTAATCCAGCATTTTGCGCTTCACCTGGCCCAGACAATATCTTTTGCGTTATCGAAATACACGAAACATACGAGAACAATAGGCTTGTCAGCCTGACCTGCCGTCACCATGTCGACAGTCGCCGATGACCTGCTCAACGATTTTGGAAGCTCAGGAGACGAGGCGGAGGAGCTGGAGAATGAGGGCCTCGTGCTCACCGAAAAGACGACAAATGGCGATCGCGACGCTATGGATGTCGACGACGACGAAAATGAAGAAGCGTCCGACGACGAGGGAGCCGCTGCGATGAATGATATGGAGGATACAGAGGCCACCAAAGCAAAGGTCGAGAAGATGCAGCTTGGTGCCGTGAAAGATGTTCGCAGTGTCGCCAGTTTGATGCAGACGCTGGAGCCTATCCTTGAGGTTAGTAGATTCCCTGCTCTATACCCTATCCCCAGTACTACCGTCCCTTTTATATCTTTTGGATGGCTCGTTTACATCGTTTCGAGATGAGCAATTAGACCTGACGTGTTGGCTCGAATACTACAGAAAATCACCTATTACAAGTCACAGCCTACCTCGCAGCAAACCAACGTCGGCAATATCGAAGACCATCCCGAGTATCACCTGTTGACACAATCAAATAGCCTCTCGACCATGATAGACGGCGAGGTCGCGCTGGTTCACAAATTCATCCGCGACCATTATTCGACTAGGTTCCCCGAACTGGAACGGCTCGTTACGACCCCATTAGAATATGCCAAGGTTGTAGCTATCATTGGGAATGGCCCCATGGATGCGGAGAACATTAAAGCGCTTCAGACCTCGACAGAGAACCCTCTTGGCGTTGGGCTCAAAGCCGTCCTCGACGGTCCCTCGCTGATGATTGTCACGGTGGAAGCTACAACATCGAAAGGTCATGAAATGGTGCCTGAGGAGCTTCAGCGAGTGCGCCAAGCCTGCGAGATGATGATTGCCCTGCACAAGGCAAAACAGACGCTTACAGAATACGTGCAATCGCGCATGAATATCTTTGCACCCAATCTGACGATCCTTATTGGATCACTTACGGCGGCGCAACTCCTCAACGCTGCCGGAGGTCTAACAGGCCTGTCCAAGACGCCTGCATGCAATATCCCTTCTTGGGGCTCCAAGAAACGACAAGCCGGTCTTGCAACGAATATTGGAATTCGCCAGCAAGGATATCTCTACAATTCAGACATCATCCGGGGCATTCCCAACGACCTAAAGAAGCAAGCGATGAGAATCGTGGCGGCTAAACTAGTCTTGGCAGCACGAGTCGACCGCATTCATTCAAGTGCTGATGGTTCAACAGGAGAGCAGTTGAAGTCTGCCTGCTTAGAAAGATTGGAGAAACTCACAGAGCCACCGCCTAACAAAGGACAGCGAGCACTGCCTGTACCAGATGACAAGCCCGCCCGAAAGCGAGGTGGTCGCCGGGCCAGGAAAGCCAAGGAAGCCCTCGCCATGACTGAACTACGCAAAGCCCAAAACCGCATGGCGTTTGGCAAAGAGGAGAAAGAAGTTGGCTACGGCATGGGCGAAGGCACTGTGGGCATGGGCATGATCGGTCAATCCAACGACGGGCGCATCCGAGGCATGCAAGTCGACCAACGAACACGAGCCAAAATCGGCGTCAAAAGCAAAGGCTGGGGCGGAGCCAGTACACTGGGCGGCGGCACGGCATCGTCAATCGGAGGCTTCGGCATGGCTCCTGGTATGGATCTTCGAGGCAAAGGACTGCGGTCTTCAGGGGTGGGAACGACTGTTGGCTCTGCGACTGGTACCCAATCTTCACTGGCCTTTACTCCCGTTCAGGGATTGGAGCTTGTTGACCCCAAGGTCCGAGCCGACCTCAATAAGAAACGCAAGGCCGAAGAAGACCGATGGTTCAAGGGCGGCAGCTTCACGCAAGTTGGCAACGGCGGAGGAGGCGGGTTCAAAGTGCCAGAATTGCCGGCCTCTAAGCGGGTCGATACCGGCGCGACGAAGATGGGGCCGCCTCCGGTCCCGAACCGAAAATGAAAATGATATGGGAGAGAGAGTGAGCGCGAGAGAAGTGGAGTGGAATTGGCTGTTTATATCTTCTCATCTCGGAGGCAGATAAAGAGAGAAGATTGAGATGGCTGGTTCTATATACCTAAGCCTATTTCCCACCCTGCTTTGCTCTGATTTGATCATCTTATGGAGATTGATTACTTTTACTATTATATTTAAGTGTGGTCTTTAGGGAGGGGGTTTTTGTCATCACTACGGCGTTTTTATCAGCCTACTACTAATGCATAGGCTTGCTCAAAGAAATGTATATATACAGATAGATGCCTGCATTACAAATTTGACTTGTGTATTTGCTGCCATTTCAGCGACTCTTTTTTTTTTTTTCCTCTCTCTCTCAAACATGAGGAACTTTGCAAATGGCAGAATTGAATGCGGTTTAAAACAAACTCATCTGGTTTTCCCTCTGATTTTGAGCATTTCCCTATCAAGTAACACCATGGGGGACATCATTTCCCATTCAATCCTCCAGTCTTTTCTGCAAAAATCGACCATCATGTCGTACTACGAAGATCTCGTGTCCATCCCGCCAATCCCATGTGGCTGGCACGGGGCCGATGCCATGCTACGGCTAGCTGCCAGGCACGAGATGGGCTACTGTGTGTGAAATGTGACAGATGGGGGCAAGAGGGATTGACGGGGCGTGGCTGATCATGAGGTGGCAGGTGCAGGTTACATGATCTTCCATTGAGCCCCAAGGCCGCTACTGTAGAATGCCATTTACATCTAAGCCAGGCTGTAAAGAGGAATGGCTCATGTCTGGGTGGCGTATTTGTTGGTGTAGTAGCCGAAGGGAGAGACCCGAAGAGAGAGTGTCACGACGGTCAGCAGTGGTTTCAGCCCATGGTATATCAAATGCCGCTGTTTCATCGCAAGCAGTCACGACTATTATACGTAGCATCTCCGATCTAATGGCGGCTGCCTCCATGAATTTGCTTCCTGATACCAATGGACATGTATGGCAACCTTTACTAGGATTTGTTGCTGCTCAGTCTTCTTACATGAGCATGCGCACCAAACAAATGGAATGTGAACCCCCATTGCGTATGTTCCACAGAATCGAATATAGCGGCCAATTGCTTTTTTCTCACCTAGATACGAAAAAGGTAAGGATGGTGAGTCGTTCTCCAATCATAACGCAGTAGCGAAACCCGAGATCTCGATGAGATTTTGACTCAGCCAATTATGGGGGGAGGAAGGGCCAAGGAAGCGGCCGAGACGAAAAACTTGCAACAGAGGCGAGTTAAAGAAATCGTTACATGCAGCTACATACTATTGCCCCCTTGCTTTTGCTGCGTCACAGCTCACTCAGAATTATAAGGCTCCAGCTAACCACGCTGACGGGTCCGGGAAGGTGTATGTCAACGCTGGGACCCAACGTCGTGAGAATCGTCATAAGCGTGCTGCTGTTGGGCAGGACACGTACCGGCAGGCTTTGACCCCCCTTGTAGACAGCACGCAAGCACTAGGACTGGAAGAGAATGGGGGGCAAGAGAAAGGGAGAAAGGATGCCGATGAAAGCAAAAACGAGGGATCTCGATGACAATGACTCTCCCGATCTCTCCAAGGAGTGTATGTCTAGCCCAAACAGACGATGGATCCAGTGGTGTTAGTCCCTCGAATGGAGAGGGCATGTATGTAAATATCGTGGCAACTCTCGATTCATGCAATTCCTATGATGAGGAATCAGAGAGAGATGCGCCTCAGCAAACAAACCAAACATTACGCATAGGTTCTGCGACAAGTTTGATACGGCACAAGGAAACGTAGCAGAAGATCAAGTCCCTTCATCATATTCTACCTGGAGGGTCTTTTTTTTTTTTTTTCTGGGAATACACAATGTCTCGGGCGCCATGCAAGTGTCCATACATCAAAGGGGTAACGATGAACAACTCTTCATGGTCCCACGCCGTTAATGAGACACCTACACATATTTGCCATCTCCTATCAAATCCAACGGGGAGAGATAGAGAGAAAAGAACGAGAAAGCGCAGCTGACCTGGATCGAATTTTACAGACTAGCATTGAGAAAAGGGGGGTGTATAGAGAGGGTTTTTTTTCCCTTATCTCATAAGAGAGATGGGGCTGTCGATCACCAACAGGGTAGGCAAAGTCGACAAGCTATGGACCAGTCTGCCTGGCCAGCTCGCCTATGATAACCAATAAATGCTATCCGACAGGAGATGTCTTTCTCGACCGCACTCTGAGGCCATGGCTAGGGAATGCCACAAGTACTTGGCTTACCCAGACGGTAAATGCGCATGTCAGGTTGCCGCCTTTTGAAGCTATCGGCTTATGACCCTAACTTTGTCCGCTTGAGACCACACGCCGCATCTGCAAAAAGCTTCGAGCGCTTACACCAGTCGTATGCGGCCGAAAGAATGGGAACGGAAAGCTCCGCCGTGTCCTCGTGCTCGTTCTTACTTTGAACGGCATGTTCTCGTAACACAGACTCGTATGTACAGGTAGTACCTGTATTAGCTTCGGCTCGTTCGTGCTGCACTCCAGCCCGGTCAAGCTTTTTTCCTTCTCATGGCCATGTGGGGTCAGGCGGAGTCCCAGGGCTTGGTCTGGCGGGGAGGCCAAGGAGCGGGCTCACTCGCCCGTTTTATCGATCCCTCCGCAAATGTCGAGATCCTCGTAGCCTGCGTTGCGTGGAGAGTAACGGGGGGCTTTTGGTGATCGACAGAGGCTGCGGTAGTCAAGGCGTCACCGAGGGCCCAGCAGACCACGGGTCCTGGCATTGCTCATCATTCTATCTATAGAGCCTGTGTGATGCTCTGTACCGACTTGTACAGTAGGGAGCAGCAAAGTATGTAGATAGGCTGAGCGAGTGCCTGACGATGACCAACTCCGTGGGTGGCCGGAGCTAGTGCTGCTACTCAACGCGCGGGGATGCTTTGCGCTGGTAATATCTAGGCCAATGGACCATCCGTGTTGCTTTATGTTTATCTATCAGAAAGTTAAAAGGTTTGTGCTCTCGGGCGAGAAGACGCCAGTAAGCAGAACAAGGAAAGGCTAAAGCCAGGGCCAGAGATTGAAAGGGGATAGGGACACCAGAGCTATTCTCCTCCTTGGAGGGGACGAAACTTTGAGGCGCAACGAGCGTATAAACGAGCGGTGGGCCAATAAAGAGCACCAGCCATTCTAGAAAGGGATTTGCAGCAAATGCTGATTCCTCAGAAGGCAATGGACCTGCATCTTCTTCCGCTAAAACAAACCCCGTGCTGCTGCTGTTGCTGCGATCCATGAGGGGATCGTGCAGCCACAGGCTAGCCTTGGCTGGTCCTAAAGCTGTTGTCCCTCATTTGCGTGTTCCTCGTCTGCGCTTCTCCTCTCCACGTCCTAAACGGGGAGATGGAAATCATCTGCATAGGACGCGGATTTCCTTTGATAACCTGACTGTTCGCACCTTCTTCACGCGTTGTTTTCACGGCGCGATTTTTTGGCCGCGCAAAGCAAAAATATCCTTGCGTGTGGCCGCAAACGAGCGTATACTTTGCAAGGCCATTATTAGTGTTTCTCCAATTGCGGAAACTCGGGAAGTGTCTTTGGCGCTTCTTCCCTGCTCTAGGTACCAAAGTTTGGCCGCTTAGCTCCATCGCTTCTTCCGCCACTATCCCGGCCAGTGTGCTATGCCACTGCTATGTACACTCATTACTACTAGGTACTAGTACGTGCCGGTGGTAATAAAGTACTCGTATGCAAGCTTCAAGCTTTTTAAGTTTGACTGGGAGGCCTGTCGAACGCAGACAAAAGCCGCTAATGGCCCTTTGTCTGTGTAATCAGCAACGTGAACGGCTATTTCATGCCGCGATGTGCAGGCTGTCACCAGTCCAGTCTCAGGTTCCCATATCAACACCATCTTTGGGCTGGGTAAGCTGGATGTTGTAGAATATTGATGTTATGGTGACGTTTGGCTTTTTGTTGTTGGACCTGGGATAAGACACACAAAATTGGCCAACCCTTCCAAAGCCACACCCCGCCACTCCCGCATGCAGACTAAGCAGCAGCGCCGCTGTAAGGCGGAGATGTATGCATACAGTATGCGTGTGCAGGTTGCGATAATCACAAAGATAGCCGCGAGCCTCGTAAAGGCTAGCCCAAGCAGTTGCCGCATTGTGCTTCCTGTGCAGCTCAGTGCAAGCCTACGCAAAGGCAAGATCCTCCTGGGTCGTTATCTTTTCTTTTGCCGAGCAAGATGCACATGCTAGTGCCTGTATGGAGTGCTCCGTAGTCTGCTCCGAAGTGAAGTAGTGGTAGCCACTCTGTGACTTCTTGGTGTAAGCCACACACACAAACCTTCCATGACGCAGGCGACGGAGACATCCTTCCGCATCTGTAAAAGAGGCGCCACTAGAAATTCATAGGCTGAGGAAGCAATAGGACCCTGATCGCTGCAATGGAAAAAGAGACAGTAACCCTTTTCATCACCTCCTGACCCCAGGTTTTTTTTTTTTTTTAAGTTGAACCCAGCGTGAGAGCAGCGAAGAGCAAGTCTCAGAACATGATAAGGGTAGAGAGATGCCATGCCCTATATGTCTGGGGTGTACCAAGACGAGGAACTCGGGGGAGGGGCAGAGAAAACAGCATCCACGAAAAGCCCATGGCTCGAGTAAGAATTGCATCTTTGCTACCCTTCCCACGGATCTAGGGCTCTAGCGCGCACCGCAGCCGAACGGATGCGTGCAAGGACGAGCGAGAAGAGGGGGATCATGTACATCATGTACTGAACAAACTGCTGTTGCGTGGCAGCTCGTACCGCGGCCGCCACCGTCAAGTACCCCGGGCTGCCAGCTGGTGTTTCTTATCACTCTGCGCTCTGCGCTCAGGGTTCTCCATGCATTCGACGGCTTGTGTCTCGCCTGATTGGCTGCGCTGCAAAAAGAGAGTTGTGGCTAGTGGTGCTAAAGTGCCTTGGATTATACCCGTCCATGCAAAGTGGTGGTACTGTAGTAACTGTATTAGCAGCGGTTCCATATTCACTGCTAGTAGAGCAGGAGCAGCCGGACACTGCGGAGTTGTCAGCCCCATCAGATGGCATCAGTATCCACGGATCCCTTGGAGCAGACTCGCTTCAAGTCGCATTCTGCTGGAGTCGTGCTAAAGACAGCTGTGCTAGGAACGTCTCCGGGCGCCCCAGGAGATCCGCAGCTATGCAGTGCCCTGTGCTGGAAGTTTTCTCGATCTTCCCGATAATTGGCTCCTGGGCCGCCAGTGTCACTGGGTCGTGGGCCGCTTGGGTCCTGCTCCTCCATTGCATGCGAACGACCCTGGATGAGGCGCTAGCGTTTCCCTTGCCCTTGCGCTGGTCTCCGTTGTCCTGGCCCTCTGGTCACCCAATGGAGGCCAAACACCAGCCCGGCAAGCTTGGGTTGGACCCCGTAGGGCCCTTGAAGACCCTCCGAGACCCCTGCCCTTGGGCTCCTCCTAGGCCCTCTTTTCTTGCAATCTTGACCTCAGCCGGCTGTCACTGCATTCATGCGAAAATGTATGGGTGGGCGCTGGTTCTCCAGAGCGACTTTTTAGGGCTTTCCGAATCACGATGACGACACGATGAAGTCAAAGTGGCCGAGCGAAGCTTCAGATGCGGATTTTTGCCAGCAGCACCGGATTTGCAATTATGGATGGTCCCAGGGTTGATGCGACATCTGATACTATTCTGATTCGCGGTTTACAGTCGGGTCGCATGGTCGCAAATCCTCCCATTTTCTGATTATGCTTCAGATATTTGGGGCGCTCTGATACAACTTATACTCGTACATGTCTGGCTCACCCCCTCGCGCCCTTCCCAGTAAGGCTTTGGGCCTTGCAGCTGAAGACCAGGTAGTGTCGTAACTTTAGCCTTGGCTGCTGGCCCGGCGGGTTGCTTGGTATAGTAACTTTGAACATACGAGTAGTACCAGTAAGCGCGTAGATGAGGTCCGGGGTACATGCACCGTCCTTGGCCGATGCGCGCGCACGAAGTACCGCCACTCGTAAATCATACGAGTATGTACAGTTGCGTGTTGGCGAACAAAGAACGCGTTTTACCTCTTATCTGGGGGCAAGCAGTAGCGAGACGAGTTGGCACGACTCACTGTTTGTCTTCCTAGCATGTGCAGTAATATCTGCCGATAGTCAGTGTTCTCCAAAGGCCCCATAGGAAGTGTGACGATTACCCTTCGGCTTTCTTTTTCACACTTTTTTTTTTATGCTTTTTTTTTTTTTCCAAAAAAAAAAAAATTTGCACCGAGATGAGAGCGCACCCCTCCTTGTTTTGCGATTGATGGATCCCAGGGGCCGAAAATGTCGAGTTTGACGTGACTTTCTGCTTACCAGACGTGACGTCAACCACTCAAAATGCTCCTTGTAGGGAATACCGCAGGAGCCCATGATCCACCAGGTAGTGTCATGAGAGTTCTGCGATCGAGATTTCGCCATGAGGGTCTTCTGTAAGCAGACATGATTGACAGTCCCGGAGCTGCTAAGCAATGCTAGGTAGTCTCATCCCTTGCAACGTGTGTTTTCGCGGCCATTCCAAGAATAAAAAAAGAAGAGGGAGGAAAGAAACGAAGGGGGTCCCGATTGGAAGCAACCAGGCCCACCTCGAAATCAACTTCGACACCTCAAGAACCAGTGGTGTGAGAGCGCACAAAAGTATTGCGGACGAGGCGCGCACAAGTGCATGCAGGCATGCTTGGCGCTCAACAAAATCCATCCACCATGCGATCTTTTGGGAGCAGTGATGCCTAAGGTGGGATTAAAGAAAGACGAGAAAACTTTTTTTAGATGCAGAAAAGGGCAAAGAGAGGGAAAAGCGAGAACAAAAAGCGAGAGACCATTCATCAGACCCCATTTCCATGCGACCTGCTGCCGTGGAGCGTTTTTCACAGCCGCCTGCAGTGTGAAAGTGCGCTTCCAAGCTTCGCAGGAGTACCCGGCGCCGTGCCTAAATCTGCTGACCGTGGATGTACCGGCTTGACACTTGACTTGCGGCACGCCACACCACGCAGCACGCTAGAGCAGCAGGATCTTCACCGGCTGCACCTCGACAGCCAAGCGAGACGAAGGCGGCTGGTGGCGCATGCACGTGTGGACGAGCCCGGCACCGCGCTGGCTGTGTCCGCTGAGGGTTCACGGAAGCATTGCGGTGCAGCGGTTGCATTTACAACAGCAGTTGCAGCCGCAGCGTAGCACCTATGCTTGATGCTGGTGCCGATGCGATGCGAATGCCAATGAACAGGTACCTACCTAGGAGGTGCTGAGGCTGACGCTGGTGCCGAAGCCCGGGCCTCAACTGCCGCCGCTCAGCTCAGCACCCAGCGGCCGCTCAGCAGCAGCCAAGACACCCGCAACCCGGAGCGGCAGCACGTCGGATGGAGGGCGTGTCAGCCACAGCTACCGCCGGCGCCGCCCAGAGGTACAAGCGCGCACTCGCCACGGTACATGTCTGCTGCTCCCCTCACTCTCCACAGGTACGTGCTTGTCCCCTCTTTCCTCTCTCCAACGCAATCCCCACACCCCCCTCCAGCTGTGGCCCCTCTGTCCCTGCCTGGACCCTGGTTCCCTGCCCCAAATCCCAGCAGCTCTGGCTGCTGTGGCCCTACTAGAGAGCCCCTAGAGGCTCTAGGGGACCCCCCTGTCGCCGCAGCTCCAGCGCCCGAAGCACCGTCCATGCAGACTGCAGGGCAGAGCTCGCGTTGGGAAGGTTTTTTTTTTCTTGCGTCAGTCACTTCTCATGGCTCTTGGGCACCCGGAGTACAAGTAAAGTGGGCAGTGGATTTTTTTTTATTTCGATCCCTCCTCGATCGATGGATGGATGCGTTTCTGGCGGCGACTCTCCCGGCTTTCGTCAAAAACTCGATCGTTCGCTCCTGTGCCCTTCTGCTCTCCCCACCTGCATTGCCAACCTTTCACCCTCTTCTCATCTCGTCTCATCTACTTGTACTCTGGACCTCGCCTCTCTCCCTGCCTTGCTCTTCCTTCACCCTCACCATCACCCTCCACAGAAGAGAAGTCTTGATAATCTTCTTATCCTTGTTTCCGCATCGTCTCTCGTTTGCAGAAAGCAGAGCCCTATCGCTGTCAGCGGCAATCGTGCATGCAAGGCGGCGCCACCTGAGATTGGCTTGATTTCGATCCTGTTGAGATTTATACCACACTGCGCCCCGCCAGCGCGACACAGAGCAGCCACTTCACCAGCCTGCCACCTATACATGCAATAGAGCCCTTCTCCAGTACATCCACTCGGCACAGCAAGAGAGTCGAAATAACAACGAAAGAAAAAAAAAAAAGCCACAGGCAGCAGATGACCAAACAAAATAACAGAAATCTCAAGAAGCAACAAGAATCACCATTAGCTCCTCATTCGCATGCTTGCACGGCTCTACAGTCCCTCTTTCCTCATTGCGACTCTTGCAGCACCAGCCACGACTACCGCAGCATTTCATCTAGCGAAGAGACAACAGCATAAACGACAGCCTGGTTTATCCTCCCTCAAGCTCATATCTTCTTTCTTAGGAATCGGCTTTGGCTTCTAAGAACAGAAAAACGCAACTTACAAAAACATCACAGCTCTCTGACCCAAAGAGCTCGGCTTCGCTGCTCACAGCATAAACGCATCCAAGGCCCTCGTTATTCCTCTCCTACAAAGCTGGTCTCTCTCTACCACCAATATTCATCACAATGCACGCTCGCGACGCCGCAGGCCGCAAGGTCTCTCTCCTCAACGACGACAGCAGCTGGGCCGAGAAGCCCACTTATTACCACCAGACGAGCTTCCCGTACTCCAGCCGGCCCTCTGTGCGCCCTCAGCCGCCTTCTCGCAGCGACTCTTCCTCTCCAAACACTCCCGAGCTCCTGCGCTCGGATTCCTACGACTCTCAGCTTAGCGAGGCCATTTCACCCTTGACGCCTTCAGTGGATTTCAGCTATATGCGAGCTCCGGTCTACGCCTTCGGACACGAATACACCGCTGAGGGCCCTCCCGCTAAGCGCCCTGCCTATGGAGACTGCAGTCCCTCAGCCTCTTGCGAAGAAGACAGCTCCGCTGCGTCTTCAGTCTCCGAGCGCCCCGTCAAGCGCTATCCTTGCCGGTATCGCGAGAGCCATGGATGCGAAAAGACCTTCACCACCTCTGGCCATGCCTCGCGCCACTCCAAAATCCACACGGCGGAAAAGGCGGTCCAGTGCACATTCCCAGGGTGCCACAAGAAATTCACCAGAGCCGACAACATGAAGCAGCACCTGGAAACTCACTACAAGGACAAGACGCGGAGCTCTGGCAGCCAGCGCTCCAGCAAGGCCTCGTTGGCTTCTGATGTGCGACGCAGCTCGACTTCGTCCAGCCGCAGCCGCTCTTCCACCACAGGCCCCGATTCTTTTGTCTTTTGGGACTCCAGCGAACTTCACCAGAAGCAGAACCCCTTGCCGGCGTCCCCGCTCCCGCAGCCGACCGGCAGTGTGGGCGCATGGGATATGCGCGGTTTTGAACTCCCATTACTCAACCGTCCTTCCGCAGTCGGTGGCACGCCCAGCGGTCTCGACGCTCTGGCCATGGCCATAGCCTGTCAAGAAGGCGGCATGGTATGATGAGGAAGGACGTGGTTTTTACAGAGCACCTACTACCTCTCTTCTCCCTCTGCCTATTATTACCCCTCCACCGTTTTCACAAATTCCTCGGCAAATCCACCTGCGCACCGCCGCAGTGCACAGCACAGCTAGGTGTTGCGGTTACAGCATGAATGGATACCAACAATTTCAAAACTCAAAAAATGAGAAGGAAAAAAAAAATTTTTTTAACCGAAAAAGACAGGAGAGGAGAGTAATTTTTAATGTCCCACCAATTCATTACAACATTAAACCAGAATAGCGACAACGAAGACTTGAGTTCCAACTTGTCAATTTGCATTACGAATCTTTCGGTCGGGGAATATACAAAGCACACTCGGTATATATACGACCAGAGGCAAGAAAATACACACTGGTGGCTGCCTCTGCTGGATGTTACATGGCGTTTGGGTGCGATTCGCTCTTGGGCATTTCCATTTCTATCATGATTTGTTTCTTTTTCAATTCCTTTTCTTAATACCTTGTCCCTTTCGCCAGCGTAAAGTAAGTCTCCTAAAGAAAGACTATTTTGCGTGCCCTGGCAGCGCGGGAGGTATATATATATCATGAAAGGTCGCAAGATACACGAATGGCGCCTTGGTTGATTTGCTTTCAATTTCCTCCTTTTTTTATGTTCCCTCTCATTATCACGAGAGCTTTTTTTTTTTTTTTTTTTTAATAATTTCTCCTAAATCCTGTTGTTTTATTTCTCTTGGTCAGGGCTCTTGTTTTTATGCGCGCTCTGATATCCCACGCTTTCATGCACACAATCCCCACCATCTTCTCCGACGAAGAACGGCTTCTTGGCGAGGCCGGCATGAGTAACATTTGTTGTGGCCTTTATGACCGATGAGTCCTTAGGAAGGAGTGACGAGGGAGGCTTCATCTTATCTATCATATGGCGTTTTGGCGGCTCCAATGGACAAGAATATTGGTGTGCTTTGCACTTTTTAGATGTGACGCATGCATGGGAGGATCAAAAAAAGGAGATGGTGTGTGTTAATGGCTGTATATACAATTGGTAGCTCGCTTTTTTGGGCCTGGAACGGGATTGGGATTCAATTGATACCACTTTGTTGATTTCTATTAATTTTACGATTGTCTTGTACATGTTTCTTAAAAGTACTGAAATGGGGAAATGTCTCTCTCCTTGCAGCTGTGTTTGNAAAAAAAAAAAAAAAAAAACATGCAAATTTTACTTGAGCACTGCTGATCTTTTCCTTCCTGATGCTGTGATAACAAGCTGTCTAGAACCCCCAACTATAGGCATATGCCAAAGGGAATGTTTTCTCATAAAAACACTTGATCACAGGGTAGGCCAACAAGCAGTGCTGTGATGCCGAGGGCTGCAGCAGCTATTTATTGTATGTACCCTGACAGGAGGAATGCAGTTTTTGCCAAACCAAGTCCCTGGTGAAAGAAAAAAAAAAAAAAAAAAAAAGTGAACATGTATGATATCATAGTGTTAGATTTTCTGCGTCTTAAGCTCATGGTTCGGCATGTTTGATATTGTTAGAAAGGAGTTTTTTTTTTTTTTTTTCTCGGCTTCTATTCGTTGTTTAATTTACGAAATCGGACTTGATTAGCATTTTTGATGGCGTTTACAAAATTGCACTGCATATAAGACTAGAGCATATACAAGAAATTCAATTGTAAATAAACTGAATGAGAACATAAGCTTGAGTCAACATATACATATGTCTATACTGAGCTATACTACAGTGCCTTGAACATGTCTGTGCGAATAATACACGTTACACGAGACACTATAGATGGCAATGTTGCTTGGACGCTTTTCATCTTCATGTGAATATTTTAAACGTTACATGAGACAACTGTCGTAGCAGAATTGCTTTACTGCTCTTGAGCCTCTCGGAATGGTACGCGTTACATGAGACACCAGAGGATCAATGTCACCACTAAACTTTGCCGCTCCTTCTTCATTCCTTTGCTGGCATACGTTTTTATTGAAGCTCAAGGTCTTTTTTTTTTTTTTTTAAGAACAGGACTGTGTACCGTAAATATCACATAGTTACCAAATAGAAATAGAATGCCATCATGTCTGAAATCTTCAGGCGAATGACATCAGAGGGTTGCTGAAAAGGGTTTCCCGCCTTCGAAAACACTTAACCAGCAAGCGGGATAGACAAACTCTGGCTTCTCATCATTAACACATGTATATACGTATATGTGTATATGTATATGTGTATATGTGTATATGTGTATATGTGTATATGTGTATATGTGTATATGTGTATATGTGTATATGTATATATGTATATGTATAAATATTAGACGTCTACCATCTAAAGAACCTTGTAGAATCTCCATATCCCTCTTACCTCCAAAGTGCTTCCATATCCGTGCATGCCCTAGCCATCTCAAACTGTTCATCCGTTTGGCAGACGAGGACGCGGTGTTTCGAATCTTTGCTGCCTATGTCCCGCACAGTTGCATTGCCACCATCCTCGGCATTATTGAGTGTCTCGTCGAGGGCAAAACCCAGGCAGCCAGCTTGGCCAACAACGGCATCCCGAAGCCGGGAACTCCTTTCGCCAATCCCACCTGCAAACACGAGTGCATCTACCTGGCCTCCAAGCGAGACATAATAGCTCCCAACGAATCCACAGACGCGGTCCACAAATAAATCGAAGGCGAGGCGATGCTGGGGTTCATCCGAGGCGGCAATGGTGCCGAAATTGGTAGTGCCCGTAAGGGATTTCCAGCCGCTCTGCTTGTTGAGGATCTCCTCGGCCGTGGATATGTGGAGCTTCTCCGTCGAGGCTGGAGATAGCTTCCCTACATCGCTGGCGTAATGAAAGACTAGGCTACACCCATTCTGTTAGCCTTCTCTGAATTGGGAAACCAAAGCGTGAGAGATTAGGTAAACGAGTGCTACACTACCAGCATGGTCTGAAGGGGGGGTGTGATTTGGGAGGAATATGCAGTTGCCCGGCTTCCTTCCTCAAACCAATATCCTTGTCGAATAGAACAAAGGCGCAGAGCATAAGACCATTTTGTGAAACAGGCAACAGGACGGATAGAGAACGGGATCATCTACGAGATTGGCTCACCTAGGATCTACGCTTCCACTGCGGGTCGCACCAGGGAGCCCGGCCAACGGGGTCAATCCCATGCTCGTGTCCCAACTCGAGCCGTTCTTGATGGCGCATGCGCTGGCTCCGCTTCCGAGATGAAGGGCGATGATGTTGAGCTGATTGAGGTCTTTGCCGAGGAAATCAGCTACAGACCTTGAAATGAAGGCGTAGCTGATGCCGTGGAAGCCGTACTTGCGCAGCCGGTTCTTCTTGGCTATCGTCGGGTTGATGGGGTATGTAGAAATGTGAGGTGGAATTGTAGAGTGGAATTGTGAATCAAAGCAAGCAACGTTGATCGCATCGGGGAGCTGCTTCATGCACGAATCGACAATTTCTAGCGCAGCACCATTGTGCAAGGGAGCGAGGTCGCTGAGGGCCTCTAGATGGTGGTATGTGTCTGGAGTAATGACTTGGGCCTCGCCATAGTCACCTCCGTGGACAATGCGGTGACAGGCAATGGAAACATCTGACTTGGAGCCGATCTCTTTCAATTCAGCATCCTCTACCAGTGTCTTGAGCAATAAGGCAAAAGCATCGTCTTGGCTGTTGACGGTAGTGTCCACGTTTTTGTCTTTTATTATGGTCTCACCTCCTCGCGAATATTTCAACTGGGCTGGAGGAGCTGTAAGACCATTCACTTGAGATTCAGCAATCTGGCGCGGCGCTTTCCCCTTGTCCGCCAGGTAGACTGAGATCTTGACGGAACTGGAGCCGGCGTTGATGGCCAGGATGACGCCCATGGCGGTCGAAAAATCTTATGAGAAAAGAAGCGATTGTTGAGCTGAGGAAGCGATAGCACGGCTTGAATTTTATTTGCCTCACTTCTCCTTGGATAGGTATGCAAACTTAGAGTGCTAGTGTGCCGATGATTCTGGAGTTTTACCTTCCTTTTAGCTTTTTGTAATATAATTACCTCCACTGTCTCTTTTTCCTTTCCTTGTGATTTGCAAGGGGGAAAAAAGAAATAGGGAGAGAATGTCTGCCGATTGCTGTCTGAACGGGTGAGGTTGCACATGACGACACGGGAGATCTTGATGGCCTGATGATCGCGGGGGTTGATGGTGTGGTGGGGGCCAATAGCAAACCGCCCTCTTACCACGCTATGCAGCTCGGCTTTTGGTGACGTCTTTGACCTTTAAGCAGCCGCACATGTGGCTTATTCGGCCGACAGAATATGCATCTGGAAGGCGGTTGAGTGACAAAGAGTGGGGAGAAAAGGGAAATGATAGAGATGTCTCATCCCTAGAAGCACTCAAGGCCGTTTACAGAGACAATGCAGGCCACAAGAACCTGATATTTCTTGTACCACATATGCCAGCTCAAAAAAAAAAAAAAAAAAAAAAAGGGAAAAAGAGTAACGTATGGAAGCTGTTATGCTCAGCTAGGAAGGATATCTGGCGAAGCAAGCTCGAAGTGATTGGGAGGAAACGGAATGCCGTTGAATTCACGGTCGGAGCTGTGAGCATGTGTCCAAGTTTCGATGAAACGCTTATAGTCTGCATTGCTCAGCATGTTAGAATTTTTCTTGTGCCTCCCTCAAAATCTTGCTCTGGCCGAAGGCTTACTTACCTCGTTTGTGCGTGAACTGGATGGACAGATGTCGAATGTCCAACGGAGTGGCTGTATATGAGGGACCCAGCTCGGGACTCGCTTGGCTGGCCTGGCCGGCAGACCGGACCCTTTGTCTTATGCGAAAGGTTCGACGCGAGGGAGCCTCCTCGGGTACGCTTCCTCGGCGACCATGAACGCTGAGACGCAATGTTTTTGCGCGGTCATCGCGATTCCGCAGCTCGCCGTCAAAATTATGTATGTCGTATTCGCGGTATTGATGATCCGTCTTGTTTGCGAACACACTCAAGGAATGGAAGGTGGTGTAGCGGTCTCTCCAAAGCTTGAGCCTCTGGATAGCACCGATCCCCTTAACTTTTCCAAAACTGTCGGTGCGGCTCTGAAGGTTGGACCAAACAACGTCGACGTCATAAAATCCGACTAGATCCTTCTTGCGAAGGTCGCCTTGAAATTGGATAGAAGCATCGACGCTTGTAAACTCGTATTTGACGGCAATGAAGCCATCATGAATGCAGACGCCGTCGCCGGAGGTGTATCTGACGCGGTGATGTTCGTTGAATGACAGGAATCGTTCTACGTCTGACGGATCATTAAATTGGCGGTGTCGTGAGTGAAGAGTATGAGGGTGGATATCTGAAGGTATGTCCGTAGGTACTATAGAGTATCGCGGTAAGCCGAGAGCTTAGTTGAGGAGAATAGACAAATACGAAATGATTGATGGCAAAGGAGAAGAGTGAGAAGGGACGGGGGAGAGCGGAGGAGGAAATGGAAGAGTGGTAGGTAGCATTGTGGTGTAATTATTACTAATGGTTAGATATAGCTATAGAAATAGTAGTGCTGCTAGTAGGTATATAGCAGATGTTGGTGATGGCAAGGAAGTGAGCTTGGCACTTACAAAAATGTTCGAGCAGCTCGCTCTGGTAGCTGCACTGCCAGCGGATACGTCGCTGCTCAGACCCCACCACTTCCCAGGGTCCCAGATACACAGTCCGTTCTTCGGGAGTGTCTTGGAAGAGAATTCTATCGCAGAGGAATAAAGGCACAGATTGTCAGAAGCTGGAAATGCAACGGCATAGACTTGGCGGGAGGCTGATCGTACATTGTGGCAGAATAGCCGGGGGGCCCTAAGTCGAGAGGCCGTAGCGAGGCCGGCTGCGCGCCAGAGTCGCCCGTGGAGGTGGCTGATATCGTGGAGATTTCTGACGTCTGCGTCCAGGTCGAGTCGACGGGGCTCACGTAGGAGCGGCTGTAGGTGGGCGGGCGGCCGAGAGACGAGGATGTGAAGGAGGAGCCGGACGAGGACGAGGCGGCCATGCTGGGACGAGGCAGCTTGAAGGGCTACAGTCACCGGAGACAGCAATCCGCGGGCTTGGGCGAGGCTGCAGGAGAAGCTATCATGGCACTGGCCACGCAGGATGGAGAAGAGGCTGGCAGCCCGGCAGGGCTTACCAAGGCTGTCACGGGCTGGTTTTGGGTGTGAGCGAGCAGCCGGTTGTCGCCATGCCCTGGCGGTGAGGACCGGAGCTGGAGATGCTGGAATTGGGAGGATGGTGGAAGAGCTTGGAGATTGAAGAATCAAGAGGAAGTAACAAATCCTGGGTGCTGTTGCGTACTTGGAGCGTGCTAATGCTACCTAGTATGGAGTCACTGCCTGGGTAATGATGCCTGCGAAGTGCTAATCTATAAGCATCTAATACTGCTAACCGCTATGGAGCACGCAGCACTGCAGCTATTGGGAGTGGATAAGACAAGGTTCAAGCTACTTAAAAAAAAAAAAAAAAAAAAAAAAAAAGAGAAAGAGAGAGAGAGAGAGATAGAGAGAGAGAGAGGAGAAAGAGAGGGATAGTCAGAGAGAGATATCCTTGTGCAACTGCCAGAAATTTTACCGTTTCGTACAGTAGATTATTAGCCCGAGCAATTAATAGTAGCTAGCAGTACGCACGCGTCCTCGCGTTAAGCGGAATACGGCTCAAAAAACGAGGGCTCAAAAAAAAAGTTGCATTGCTATATTTCTCTATCTCGCGGGGCTGGTCCAACGCCAGCTAAGCACGACCAGCACGGGTTCTGTCTAAGACAGCATCTGCCATTAGGAGCACAGTTTGCGTGCTGGAGGAAAGCTGCTGCTCACTAGCAGCATCCTAGCCAGATCCACAGCCGCCAATGCAGAGAAGCCGTTTGGTCGAGCAGCGGGGATGCTGAATACTGCAGCAAACTCAATGCGCGTAGCGCTGCGGTGGTGACCGTGCATGCCTTTTGCAGCGCAGCAGAAGTCCAGTATCACTGCTCCATTGTGTACATGTCAATACCTATGTCTTCTTGGTTCTGTGCGCCGGGAGCTGCAAGGCCGCGACTGGTGGAGGTCGGTACTTTGCCGTCCGGACCCCGAGTTGGCCGCAATGTTACAACTACAACAAAGCAGTGATGGCTGTTCTCCATATTTGATACTATCGCCTTGGCAGCGACTTCGACAAACAGCAACGCTTCAACACATCATCGCATCCCTGGGCAGAATGATATTGAGTCGTCTCAAGGTGTCTGTGCTCAACACGTCAAGCAAGTGACCTCATGGGCAAGCATATCCCAGACTTCTGACTGATCAGGCGTCTGTCTAGACGATTTGGCGCCGGCAAAGCGACAGTACATGCTTGTACTATTACCTCGCCCCCCCCAAAGAAGATGCTGCTGCTAGATTTGGTTTCTCTTGCTCCTCTCGGAAGAGGCTCAAGGACCCGCTCTGCTGGCGGCGAATATAGCGAGCACGGGGGTGCATTCGACGCTGTGATTGGCACGCGAGCTTCAGGTCCGTCTTGCGGTTGGGGGGCCGGGCTCGCGGAAAGCCTTTGCTGTTGTCCACAGTACGGAGAGCTTGCTTATCAGCCTACGCTTTCGTGGCATTAGTTTAATGCCACCAGAGACATACGGCGGCGGGAAGGGAGAGAAAAGTAGAGACGAGCCTCGCCTTTGCCCAATCAGTTTGGGCGCAAGGATACCTCCAGCAGCAGAGTTGCTGCGCATGGCCCCAGGGGATAGAGGCGTTCAGCTCCGTCCAACGTCTTCAATACAAAACCGTTCGATGCGACAACGCGATGTGACCAGAGCCTGTGTCCATCCGCTTCCCGACCCCCCATGCCGCACAACTCCCCACGCCAGGCTAAGGCCTAGAAGAGGCCATCGACGACAACTTTGTCCGCCAAGACTGCCGCCCGGGCGTTCTCCGTCCTAGTGCAGCAGGGAGCGGCCTTGAATGGGTAGTCGTCTGCCGTCACGCCGCCACGGCTGGCATCGCACTCGAGACGATGCTTTGATGGCGGCTGGCGGGTTCGCACCGCTAAGCCGGTACGCTTGGCCTAGGCTCGAAAGCCACATTTGGCCACTCCCCACTTGTCTTCAGGAACCGTCTCCAGCGCCGCTCACCACGTGCTCTCCCTGACTGCGTCTGATGGCACAGCACCGGAATGATGGCGATGACGGCGTTTGTACAAGACAGGATCGAATCCATGGAGCGGCAGGCAAGCCGCCCCCCCCGCTCCTTGCGCGATGATGACATGCTACTGTTGCTTTTCTTTTTGCTTCGCGTGGCATGCACTTGCGTGTATCGAAGATAATAAACCGGGGGCAAGCAGCTTGCTAGCACGTGTAGTCGGTTTACATGCGAGGCGAGTGAGCACGAGTATGAGAAGAAGGCGTATTTGAAATCCAATCGAACCGCACCGTGCCGTATCACATCATCCACCCGCTCTTTTTGGCTGTTGGGAGCAAGGAAAAGAAAGGTTCCAGAGCGGGAACAGCCAAGACACTTAGCCGGAGGACCCTTATTTTCTGGAGGAGGGCGGGATAATCGTAGCTTGCCTTCTTTTTGTCCTAAAATTGTCAGTCTGGCCAGTTGCTCTTTGGCCGGCAAGGATTGCGATTCTAATACTCCGTAGTGGCCTGACTGCGTAAATCTCTGCTTTGGTGCTCATAAAACATAAAACGTCAGTGTATTAGGTATTAGGAGGTAGTAACTTGTAAATCGGCAGCCTGCTAAGTAGGCACCTACTGGAGGTAGGTAGCATTGGATACCAAGGTAGTGGTCGCGGCAGGTATTCGTATCAGATAATGGTAGCACTATAAGGCACGCTTGCTCGAGGCCCCTGGGCCGACGCTGCTGTGCTCCAGAACTAGCTCATTTCTTCAGCCTCAGATGCATCCTGATCTTGGCATTGCTCCTCTGCCTTGATCACGCTGCTGAAGAAGGCGCATCTTTAACAGCGGCGTTTCATGATGGCTTCTCGGCCCTCACTCACCACGTCGTAGAAAGCCTCGCCTCGCCTCGCCTCGCCTTTCCTTTTCACCACCTCGCCGCCTCACCAGCGTCTCTGCGTCCTCCTTTTTCTCTCTTCTCTCTCTTCTCCCTCTTTGCTCTCTTTGCTCTTATCGGTTCGCCGAGCTAGGATGCTCATGCCAATCGAGGCCTCGTAGTGCTGGCATCGCGCCAATTTTTCTTCTGTCGCAATATTGCATCAGCAGCAACAACGCTTTGTCCCATATTCCCCTCCTCGCTTCTTGTCTTAACCGAGCCACGGGGCTACCAAGAGAGACACCCGCCAAAACACCGTCTCTGAACAACATCCACAGCCTGTAACCCGTGGCCAATGCCCTGGGATCTGGCGCACGGCTCTGGGCGGCGGAATCGAGGCTTTCTCGGCTTCGACAGCTCTGCCTTGTCGGCCCAGGACAAAGAGGTGCGTGCGTGCGCTTCATCGCCTTTCTCTGCGTCTGATGTCCCCGTCCCAGCTTCACACAATCCCACTTCCAACCACTGCGGCTCTCCACACTGGCAACGCAGCAGACGCGTGCCATGCTAGCTTTTCTCTTCCCCATCCTCGCTGCGACCGCATCTTGCATTTGCGAATCGCCAAAGACGGGGACTGCCCCACCACTGCGCGCGCAAACCGGATGTCTTCCCACTGCCACGAGCCCGCGCCCTTTAGTTCTAACACATCTTGCCTTTAATATAGGATCGCCATCAGTTGCGCTACGAGCTGGACCTAAACTCTTGGAACTTCCGTATTTGGGGCGTTGCCGCCTCGGGCTTCCTTACCGATTCGTACGTTTGTGTCTTCTCTACTTATACGCCTACTCCTCCTCCTCCTCCTGCTATCTATGCTACCGACCGCAGCTTACACGCCTCTCCTGACTAATCATTCTCCTGCAGATACAATCTATTCTCTACCAACGTCATCCTCGCTTCAGTTGCCTTTGTATACTGGCCGCATGGAGGGGAATGGACTAGTCTCCTCATCAACTTCTTCACTCTTTTCGGATCTATCGTTGGGCAAGTCCTCTTTGGTTACCTTGCCGATCGTTTTGGTCGCACTCGCCTCTATGGCATCGAACTGGTGCTTGTCATTGTATCAACCATTGGAGTAGCTACCAGCAGCCATGGCTATGGAGACATATCGTTTCTCGGTCTTTTCATCTGGTGGCGGTTCGTCATGGGCATCGGTAAGCTTCGTCCCCCGCCATGTCCCCCCTTCCCCCTTCCCCCCTTTCCCCCTATTATGAACATCTACGACTAACCAGCCATCTTGCTAGGTATTGGAGCCGAATATCCATTAAGTGCCGTGATTACTTCCGAGTGGTCCAGCACTCAATCTAGATCACGCATGCTCGCCAGTGTCTTCCTCATGCAGCCCGTTGGGCAAGCACTAGCCCAGATAATCGGCTTATTGGTGCTCTTGGGGTTCAACCACACCCACAAGCTCAAAGAGATGCAATGCGGACTCAATACTGCAAATGAAGAGGCATGCCGAAAAGCAGTTGACGGTATATGGCGTATTGTCATCGGTTCAGGCGCAGTGCCGGCTCTGCTGGCCATCATCTTCCGATTCTTCTTGTTTGACTGCGGGCTGTACAGTCTTGAGGTCAAGAACAAGCCTGCTGTTGCCATTATGAATACGCAGCGTGTCTATGGTGCCCCTTCGGGCAACACTTCCAATAATATGCAAATGAATCCTCCCAACGGCATGCATCCAGAGAACTCTTCTGGACCGATGCCGATCCAGTTTTCAAGGGAAGATTTGTATAACTACTTTATACGAGATGGAAACTGGTATTATCTGCTGGGAACATCGGCAGCATGGTTCTTTTTGGACGTTAGTTTCTACGGTCTCTCGCTCGATAACAGAGGAACACTGGCCGATATGTGGGCTACACATAAAGCAACGCCCATCAACAGCCAACTCTCATGTTGGAACTCGTCGCTGCCCAACGGCAACTCAACAGTACCACATTGGGCGCAAGTGGGACTCCCAGCATGGCAGACAGACCCAACTCAACCGTGTAATACAATCTACGACGTGCTAATACAGCAGACAAAGCAATATATCCTTACAGTTTCCTTGGCGTCTATTGCTGGGAGCGCTTGCTTTATCTTTTTCGCAAACCGCATCCCGCGCAAGAAATGGCTCACCGTTTCTTTCTTTGTTTTAGCCATCCTCTTTATCATCACCGGAGGTGTTTATTACGGAGTCCACCAGGAGGCGGCTGCACCTGCAACAGTAGTGTTTGTGGCCATTTGCCATTTCATGTTCAATATGGGTAAGAAAGCTGCCAATAGAAATAGAGAATCCAAATTTCTCTTAGTTCACCCATTACTAACATCAATCTGTCTCTTCTAGGCGCAAACACACTGACATTCATCATACCAGCTGAGATATTCCCCACGTGCTACCGATCAACTTGCCACGGCATCTCTGCAGCGGCAGGCAAATTCGGGAGTATTGTCTCTCTGCTAATTGTATACGGCATCAACCAGTCGTATAAGAGTGAAAGTCGACAGGGGCTCATATTTCTCCTCTTTGGCTCGGTTGCCGCATTTGGAGCTGTATTTTCTTGGGCCTACCTCCCTGATCCACAGAAATACGTCGATGACGGTGACGGGAAGAGATACCTCGAGACTAAAGATCTCGAGGAGCTGGGCGAGGGCCGCGTCAGGGCTCGGTTGAGCGGAGATGTTGTGACATTTGGGGAGAAGTGGGCAGATATTAGGAGAAGAAGAAGAGATCCTGGTACGTCCCAACTTCGGAGCCCTACTTCCGAATAGTGTTTATATGACTGTAATTTTATTACCTATTCTGGATTGGCAATTTTTCCTTGTCTTTTATTATTCTGGAGAGGGAATTCGGCCTGCATTATGAGATGGACTTTTTGGGATCAAACGTGTTCTACATATACTACTATATATGGGCGGATGGCGTGGGGTTATCTTTTTTTTATTTTTTTTCTTTCCTGCGATACCACTTTGGATTTTTGAACAGAGACGAACATATATGGTACATAATTAAAATATTCTTTTTCAAGCAACCTCGTACATGGCTTTAATCCACCTGGTTAAATAATTCCAGCACCAACGCCAACGCCGTGCTTCGTAAATGAAATGTATAGTCTTATGCTATAAGTTTTTCCTCCTCCCTCAGTTGCATTAATCCCCCTCACCCGACGTCTGAATCAGCAAATCCGCGGTATCAAGGTAAAAATCATCCATGTACATCGTAGCCTGGACATGTGGATTCCTTTCCAGGGCTTCTAACCAGCGACGCCAGCGCGTATCCGGGGCAGGATCGACCAAGACGGCGTTTGGATGGCGGTGGCGCAGGATACGGCTGAGGCGGAGGGCGAAAGGGGCAAAGTGGACGTCGACGAGAGACAAAGAGGGTCCGAGGAAGTAAGGGCCTTGTTCGTCGGCGGCGAGGACGAGGGCGGTGAGATGGGATTGGAGGAGGGTGAGAGGGGAGGTAGGAGGTGATGTTGACGGTGGTGAGGAGGAAGTGATGACAGTTTGAGGGGATGAAGAGGAGGAGGAGGAGGATTTGAGGAGAGAGAAGAAGGTGGGGATGAGAAGGGTGTTGATCTTGTAGAGTTTGGTTAGTAAGATTATAATTGACTTGCCTGATATATGGAGGTGGTGGTTTTGACTTACATGGTCGATCCAGAGACGGCAATTAGCTCTCAGTCGCGGATCAGAAGGGAACAGCGGAATATCGGGGTATATGTCTTCCAACTATTATAAGAGAGAAAGAGATGTATGTTAACACACACATCTTGATGCAAAAAATTCAGGATTCCATTTTCCCTTACATATTCTAGAATAACGGCACTCTCAGAACAAGCCCAATCTCCCTGCCGAATAGCAGGAACACGGCCGCGCGGGTTAGCCTCGAGGAGCGGCGTAGGAGCAGGACGTTTGAAGGGATCCGTCTCGATGTACTGATACGGCTGGCCTTTAGCCTCGAGGGCAATCCAGACACGATGCGAAAAGGGGCTACGTGTGACAAGTACTAGGTATTAGCTGGACAAGTTTGCGAGAGGAGGTATGGAAACCGTAAAAAAAGATTTTGATACATACCAAAAGCTCGCAGCGTATAGCTTTAGATCCGCCTCCTTGCTATGCATCCGGACTGTCGCTTGTGCAGCGCCGGCACCCTTCTTCTGAGGTGGTGTCTTCTATAAATGTGAACCAAATCAATCAGCAAACTCATTCGATTCCACAAAGGAGCCATTTTGTCTCTTTTTTCACTCACATGAGGTTTCTTAGCCTTCTTATCCCTCAACGCCACAAAGCGCTGCACGCTGCTCTTCTTAATCTCGTCGCTTCTCTCCAGCGTATGGCGATGTGGACCTGCCACCCCATCCCCTTTCCCATTGCCTCCATTGCCGTTGACCCGCTGGATGGTCCAAAAGCGCTGCCCTGTACTGACAACGGCGTTGGCAGCCGTGCCCGCGGCAATGGCAGCGGCCACGTCCCTGTCCAGTGCGGTCTCGGCCCCAGAGTCGGGGAAGTACTCGGTGATCTTGATCTTGACGTCGCACAGGTCGCGTTCCCGCGCGCTGCGCTTGCGCTTCTTCTTGGCCGGGTCGTCGGACTTGGGGGTCCCCGGTGGCCGGCCTTTCATGCGGCAGTCCCAGTAGTGTGATATGAAGGGCTTTCTCTTGTACCGCTGGGTCGAGCGGTGGGAGTAGACGTTGTCAATGTGTGGGAAGTACGTCTCGAACTGCTTGTGCGTGAGGATGATGATGTCGTCAACGTGGAAGAGCTTTTCTCGCCACTCTTGGAGATCGGGAGGGTCGACGACTAGCTTGGCCTGTCCGAGTTTATACGGAACTGCTGTGGCCGCAGCTGTTGGTGGTGCATTCTGGTAGCGTCCAAAATGCCCTGGGCGTTGCAATCCAGGGGTACTGCTTTCTGAGATGCTGGCGATGCTGGCTGAGTTGGGGCCGGGTTTCAGGATGCCAAACTGGCCTGATGGAACTTGTCTCTGTTGCTGGGAGTGGTGATAGTAGCTGTGATGATTGGCTGATGACGGTGGAAGTTGATATTGATGCTGGTTCTGGTTCTGGCTCTGCTGCTGCTGTGTGACAACGTTTTCATGCCTGGCATCTCGATAGCCACCACTCTGCCTTCTCTCCTGTTCCAACACAGCCATATGCCTGCCGTTGTCGTTGCCATTGCCACTGTTTTGGTTGCTGCCATTGGTGTCATTTTCGCCTCTCCCATCACCGCCGCTACCATCTCCACCGTTAACACCAGCATTCGCAGCAGCATGGTGGTGATAAGCCGCTTCCCCAAGCCCTGAATACCCTCCCATCTCCACCACTGTGTAATCCATCCCCACGCCTAGAAAGTGTCCTCCTCCGGGTCCAGACGAAGCCGCAAATGGACCTCCCGACACCGCCATGATGAGGTGAAGGGCGTGTGGGAGGAAGAAAGAGCGGAAAACGGTGTAAAGGGAGTCGGACTCCCACCAATCAATAGCAAAAAAAGCTTTTTATAAGAGCAAATTGGAGGAGTGGCTTTTTATTCTGTCAACTTGCCCATGATACGGGCTTCAAGTCTCTTCCACTTACAGCAGTTGTTGGTATGGCCGCTGCTTTAAGGCCCTTTTGCTGCCCTTTGCGATGTGGAGGAGGGGTTTTGGCGGGGAGGCGGGCAGAAAAGGGCGGCGACGCGTGCACGGGCCACTTTCTTCGCTACCTGCCTAGGTACCTAGGTAGTAGTAGGTACTATACAAGCTCATTCAACCAGCCTTGTCAATTATCATCAGACAAAAAGCCTTTTATTTCGTCCTATCTCATCTCGTCTCATCTCATCAAGTCAATCTACTTTATTTATTTAGGTACTTACGCATCATGCTGACTAGACCCAAAAAGCTGTTCCGTTGACATAATGCCACGCACATCAAATCACTAAGAAGAACACTGCAAGATCGTGTATATAGCATCATACCCAAGACGAAATCATTGCATTCACACGTAGTTAATCAAAACATATATAAAGTCGAGATCCAGGATAAAAGATGGAAACAAGACCAAGACTTCAAATAACAGCGGGGAAAAAAAAAGAGCCATGTTGCAAGGAGATATTCGTCATTGCTGGGTATTAAACTAAAAAAGAGTTTTGTTTGGTGCCGTCCTTCATCCTGCCGCCACCAAAATCCCTTTCCAAACTCGCAAGATTTCGTGCATGTACTCTTACAAGTTGGTACAAATGGAGCGAAAAGAAGTACAAAGCATTAGCCAAAATAAAAACAAAATGCGGCGAAAGGGTAAGGTTGAAAGAAAAGAGAAAGGGGGAGAGTACATAAGGATAGGAGTAGATTTAAAGAAGATGGATAAAGGGGGGGTAAATAATAAATCGGACATCCTGATTCGCCCAGTGCCATAAAATAAAACGCCGTAATATCGTCCAATCATCCAAAAATCCGTCAAAATCACAGACAGCGTTTAAACCGTAAAGCGAGAGTATGACCATGTAGACCTGCCGAAATAGATGTTTTTTTTCTCCCCCATGAGGAAGATATCCCAGAATAAATGAAATGAGAAAGAAATGAGAGAAAATGAGAGAAAAAAGGAAAAAGAAAAGAAAATAATGCCCCTATTCTCTCCCTAAACCAATCATACCACAAGGCTATATTTTGTTTTCTTGAAACTTGACGTTTTTGTGTACGTGTAAGTATGCGTATGCGCGCATATGCATGTGTATATATTATATGTCAGCTTAGTGGGGGTTGCCAGAGTCCCATGATGATAGATCCATGGCGTCCATGGGCCCCATGTTCATCAGCGCCCTGAGGACGCCCTCTCCTCCTACTGGTTGCATCCCGGCGGCTGGCCCAGTCAGCCCTGCCCATCCATTTGACATGCCATAAGGTGTTTGCGGCATTCCCATGCCGGAAGCCATGGTAAAGCTGTTAGGATCACCATAGAATCCTTGGGCGCCGTTGTTATCCATGCCCCCGTGGTTCATCATCGTCTGCTGTGGTGAAATAGGGCTTGCTCGGAATGAATCATGCCCCGACGCGCTGTTGGACATTTGGCCGGGCCCAAGGTGAGGAGGTCGTGCTTCAGATGTGCCGCCGCTCGAGTTAGGAGTACGTCCAGCTGATTGAACACCCGGTGAGCCGGATGTATCTTGGTCTAACCCATCGCCGAAGCCGGACAGCCCACCGCTTCCAGGAACATTCTTTTCATACATGCTGCCGGAGTTGGGGGTCAAGACGTGCATTTGCTGGTCACTAGAGAGCCACGCTCCATTTCCAAAGTTGTTAGAGTTCGATGTCGACATGCTCTGACTGTCAGTAGTCGGTTCCGTGATATCGGGAGCGGTGGCAAGGTTGCCGTTATCTCCAGTCGTCTTCATGAAGTGGCATTCGTTTCGGTAGGCTAGTATGCCCTTGACACCCTCTGGATCGTCGCAAACAGCTCCAGCTCGTACGGGAAGCCCCTTGGGTGCTTCAGTAGGCTACAATTGGTGTTAGTAAGATGACCACCTCCACTGGAAAAGCTGAAGCTCTTCCCTTCCTTCTTGAAGGAACGAGAAGGAGAGTGGGTGCAGATGAGGAAGGGAAAACTTACACTGTCGTTGGGACGAGGGAATGCGCCCCTCAAAGTGGGAATCTTTACTGCTAGCGCTTCGAAGTCCACATCTAGTTGAACCAGAAAAGACTCGGTCAGGGGGTTCCGTCGCTTCAACGCGTTCATAGCAGAGATGAGAAAACGCAGCGAATCAATGGTCTGCGCGTCATCAGGCTTGCTCTTAAGATACTGCACAAATACTCTGGCAGAGACGTAGAGGCAGAAGGCAATGAATGGGTTCATCTACAGTCCCTTTGGTATTAGTATCATAAACATTTTGATGTGCAAGTATGCGAAGAAGGATAAACTAACCGCAGACAAATCCATGTGTGATATTGTCCTCATGATGCTGGCAATCTCGTTGGCCGCAGTTATGCATCGGATCTTACTCTCAGCACTGACGGATGCCGGAAGCTTGTTTGATTCCGCCTTGAAGATGGCCGCCTGGTGTAGACAAATGGTTGAAGTGTGGATGCTCATGTTTGTGAAGATGACATTGGCATTGTTCAGCCCGGCAGGGAGCTTGAGGTGAGACGGCAAGCAAAGAGAAGTGTTGAGGATGATGTGGTCCATCTGGCGGTGGCGTTTCCAAAAGGGGCCGTTGATGTCATGGTCCTGGTCGTCGTCGTCTGGGCGGTGCAAGTGAATCAAGTTCCGGCCGAAGAGACTGGCCATGAGGACAATGCCGCCAAAGGATGATAGCTTGCCGGCTCCGGATGGGTTCGTGGACTCTTCCAAAGTCAACGTCTGCTCTGGGCGGCTCATGTCGAAGGCTTCGTCTGATGATGGCATGTTGGTCTTGATGTCCCTTTCGTCGATGGTCATGGGCCAGCCAGTGCCAATGCTCGCATAGCGGTCCTCACAAAAGGCCATCCAAAACGTTCGTCTTCGCTCCTCGGTTTCAGTCCAGTCCTTGGGTGGTGGTAGGCACTGTTTTACATCCAAGCCACTGCCATCTATTCGGTGCAATCCAATCCTATATATCTTGTTAGCTTACGACGGCTTCCTGATTTGGTATACAGGAGCAGGTAAAAAAGGCCTACATTTGTGCGAGGCGGACAGCAGAGCCCGTGTTGATCCAGGCTCTAGGAAAGTACATCATCTTTATCTCATAGCTCGACAGCAGGATGTGTGTCTGGCAATGAGCAATAGAAATCATGTGCTCTCCAAAGCCTTTCATGTAATCGGCCTCGACGTACTTGCGTGCTCTCTGGTAAAACAGATCCTTCAGGTCTGAGTACTTTTCCGAGATGGAGCACGACAATGTCCACATGGCGTATCGTAAACAGACTGGTGGTCGCTGACTTGGTGCCCTGCAAAATTGTGAGCCATTTCTATTCTCGTGGTTTTTGTCTTAGATCCTCGCCCCATCAAAGTTTGTGAAGAGGACCCAGAGGTGTCTGTCTCAGACAATTGATGAAGGGGAAGGATATTTCTTTTTGGAGACTTAAGACATACAAGTTCATTGCGGCAAGGTATCGGTATCTGTGTATCATGGGCATCGATGGATGGACCTTTTCAAAATAGATTTGGTGCAACTCATCAATAGTTTCCTGCGGCGGCAGCGGTTCTTCCAGGCCCAGGCCAATCATCTCCCAGGTGAAATTTCCAGGCATGTTGTTGACGGGCATGCCCATGTTGGCATTGAAGTTGAAGTCGTCCATAGGTCCTTGCTGAGGCGACTCGCCATTGTTGAAGTGCCAGCGTTCTTCACCACCGAGCCCCATGTTGGGGGTGGGCATGGGCATCGCAGGGTTTCCATTTGTCTGGGTATTGGCGTTGGGGATTTGGATGGGCATGCCTTTCGTCGGGCTCTTGGCTGCTGGCTCCTGGGTCTTTAACAACGTCTCGACTTGCTCTGCACACGCCAGTTAGCCCCTTGCACCACGAGTGTCGCTACCTTCGTCACCATGCCGCCACCGCCAATAATCATGGTCATTTTCATCACCATCTGGGCCATCATCACGACGATCCCCCATCTCGCCGTGCATCTCTAGATGTATGGAATTTCAAATCGCACAGGATGTCGACAAAGAAACAGAAACAGAAACCGAATCAAAAAGGGTGCTGGCGGGGATTCTCACTCAATCGTTCCTCCAGCGCCTTGACATAGCCACGCTTGGGGCCGCTCTTCCTCCGCTGCTCGTCATAGGCGCAGTTGTGTCCGAGTCGCGAGCAGGTGCTGCAGCTGGGCCGGATACCATCGCACTTGAGCTTGCGTTTCCGGCAGATCATGCAGGCGAGGCGCTTGGGCTTGGGAACGCTGGCGTTGTCCGGGTGCGCATCGCGAGGCGCGGCGTTGTCGTCGTGGGGGCTGTTCTGGTTGCCGCCGTTGCTCGACGAGCCGTTGTCCGAGGATTCGGGCATGGCGAAGGTCTGGCGATGATGGACGGCGCAGGAGGCGCTGCGGATGGTGTGTCGTTGCTGGTAGCCCTTGAGAATTTTTCTCGAATCCACCCGTACCGGTTCCCAAGTTTCCAAAAGGCCCTTGCGCTATTACCGTCCACTCGAGAAGGATGGATGATTTAGTCGGTCGACAGGGGAGGGCGAGCGCGAGGACCGAGGGAAGAGACGAAGGAAGGGGAAAAAGATAAGGGAAAAAAAGGAAAGTAGAGGTTCAAGGAACGATGAACAAACAGCTCAACTATGCGAGCAAGATGTAGCGGATAAAATGCAGAGACAGCCGTTGGCGAGACTGCCAAGTGTTGTGGATGCGGAGAGCAAGCCGGATTGTGAAGCGGCCGTCGTTGGGGTGAATACAAGTCCAGGTCAGGATGGCCGCTATTCCGCATCGTCGGGGGGGCCCAAATCCCGTAGCTCGTGCAGGCAGCGTGCAATTACTAGGTAGCAGCTAATCGCCAGCGGCGCGTTCGGCTAGGTACCGTAGAGGGGACGCCATCGACTCGGGGTTCCGGCCAGGTACCCTGTACCGCGAGTCTACGTCAGGGGCCGTATTATTAATGGCCTGCTGCTGCTATAATTAGGCACATGCTGGGCTCATTGTGTGCAGGCCCACGTGGGGCACGCCAAGTTGACAACGGTGAGGCTCTGTGCCCCCCAAGTACCAGGTACCAAGTCCGAACTCCGGTTCTGGCACCCATCTTCCTCGGAACAGTCCCCTGCCGCAAGCCACAGGACAGTAGCAGCAGTAGTATACCATGTACACACGTATCTACAAGCGCCGCAGTGCTATTGGCACCTACAGCGTTGGCACCAGTGCCCAAAAAGCACTCGCAGCGCAGAGATGGAGGGTTAAATTAGCAGGGCCCAGAGGATCAGCGCAGCAGAAGCCGTCAGCATGGCACCCCTCCACCCCAAAACTTAATGGCCAAAGCTAAAGATGCGGCCCCTCTTCATGCCTCGCCCATCCATTCATTCGACAGCCAAAGCAACCCCATGGACCAAGTGCCAGAGTGTGCTACGACTAAGCCCAGCCCATCTGGGTGGCGCGCCTGCTTGGTCTAGGGCCCCGATGGTAGCGCGAGCAGACTGCGACGCATGCTGAGAAGGCGCTGGAGCGGCGAACTGTGCTGGGATCAGAAGACAACGACAGATTGGTTTTCTGGCTCGACGGGGCGCCCATTTGCCAGACTTTTGGGAAAGCTTGCGAAAGAGACGGACTGGCTAGTCGCAGGTTTGGCGAGGGTCCGGCCCCCCTTGCTCTCCTCTCAATCTCCATCTCTGCCTCGAATCCCCTGGTCTGTCACGTTATTCGGCCCCTCACCTCCAATAACGTGATGGATCGATGGGGATGCCGGTCTGCAGAGATCAAGGCACAGCCCAGCAGAGAGAAAAGGGAAGACGGAGGATTCCGTACTCGTTCTAGCGATTGTGCATACTTGCGGCCTGGTGCCGGTCAGCATCAGCATCCAGTCCCCTTCTAGCTCCAGCTTCTGTTCCAGCTCCAGTTCCTATCGCGCTCGTGGTTAGTGGGGAATGCCGGCCATGCTGCGAAGGCGCAGTAGCGGCAATGACGACGCCGCCGAGTCCCCAGAGTTGTTTATCAGATCAGCCTGTTTTTCTCCAATTGCTTCTCGCTGCCAAATCTGACCGGCTGAGTCGGGTATCAGGATCCAAAGTTGCTGCTCTCCCTCCTCAGACGGCGTCTAAGTGCCGTGTCGAAGAGTCGAGTGGCGATGCTGTTTTGGTGGCGGGTTGGTTATTCCCCAGGCCGGAGGCTCTCACTCCGCCGACGGACAAAACCTTTGAGCGATTGCCATGGCTCAAAACTTGACAAGGCGTTCTTTGTGTCTGCCAAGTCACTACTACGTAGTTGTATGATTAAATGTAGGCTATCTTGTGCTGTTCCTTCGTGCGTCTATGACGGAGCCAGTTCGCGGCCGCTTCGGTGGGGGGGTGACGGGGTTAATAAGAAACGAGACAAATTTTAAAAGAAAAGAAAAAAAAAAAAAATAAATGAAAAATGAAAAATGAACAAAATAAAAGAAATGCGAAAAAAAAAAAAAAAAAAGAATTAGAGAATCGCCAGGAGTACAGGTACCACCCCTTGGTTTCGGAGATACATTGCATCGAGAGTCAGCTTCAGTGCCGGAACAGGTACTCCCGCCATATAATCTCATGTAGCTAGCAGCCGAATGGAACGGCTCCAGGCGATTTGCGTACGCTCCGAACTGCTCCTGCATGACGCGAGTCCTCGCAAGGCGAAAGCCCGAGGCAGGCTAAGGCAGGCTGGATCGACGGAGTAGCCTGTTCCGCATGTTTGGCGTTGGCATCGTTGGAATCATTTGCACCACTGGCGGCGCCGTTGAATCATCGTTACTGCGCGTCTGCCACAGCCGTCGTCGAACGTTGGGCACAGAATGGAGGCGTCCAATTGCCTGATCCGGCACCACTCGCCACGGTCCAATACTGCATGCAACTCTCTGATAAGATCCCACGGCAGGACTTTGCGATCAGCCGAGTGCTTAGCGCGCCGGCATTGGAGGCAAATGCAGCAAGCAAAGCACAGCTCATTATTCCAAATTCCGGCTGCCGTTTCGAAAGGGCACATCTCCCCACCGGCAGGCGGCATGCACCGCGCACCCTGCTGAGCAGCTGGCCCTGGGCCTGATCCCGACCTGCTCCGGCACCGAGGAAATAGGCCCTATTTGGCAATAGATGTAGGGGAGCTTGGGGTTCCGAACAATGGCCCAGCGCCAAGGGACCAGGACCAGGGCAAGTCTTCTCTGTTGTGCCCCCTGCCCTGTGCCAGGTCTCGGCTACGTGGCTGCTGAGGTTGCTTTGCAGGTTCTGCAAGGAGAAAACGACTATTAGGTGAGGAACATGCACGGAGCTGGGGGCAAGCCTGCATCGTCGGGCCTTTATTGCGTGCTATTGCAGCCATTGCAGCGTTCTTTTTGGCTTCTTGCGCACTTCTTTAGTTTCTCACCCTGCTTTGGGTTTCCTCTACAGTAGTAGCGTTTGGGGTTTCGGTAACGCACGTGGAGTCAATGCCGTCTCCCCAGAAGTGATGGACAAGACAAACAGGAGTCACCTACCTAATCCGGCTCTTCCAGCCCGAAGGTGAGAAGATTTGCGGCCTTGCCTTTGGGATTGGGATGTGCCAAGACTCGCCACAGGAGAGAGACCCGTCACAGAAGAGCCCTAGTCACCGCATGCCTAAAGAGGTAATAACTTACACCTGGGCTGGAGAGCAGCTCGTTGGCTTCGCCCTCATTGCAGATGATAAAATCTATTCCAAATACTTATACTGGGCAAAATGAAGAAACGACACTGAGGAAGCCACCAAGAGACTAAAAGCAAACGATGGATAAAGCCATTGGACACAGGCATATCAACAGTCTCGGTTCACCGTTCTAGCGCGCCACATGCACAGGCGTATTCGGATACTGCTAGCACCTCCGAAAGGTGTGCTTGATTGCATAAACTTGTCTGGGTCTACGGAGTTATCCGCCCGACATCATGGCCCAAACGGGGCATAGCAGCATCAGCGGCCACCTCTTGCTTTGGTGGTGGAGGTCGGTGAAGAGCACGATCAGCTGGGGTCGATGTTTATACGTTAGTTTGTCTTTCTGCTCAGGTTTTGTTTCAGACGACTGATGGCCTTGTTTCCCCATCTCTCCCTCTCCACGTACAAGTAGCACAGGTATATATATATATATACCTACCTATATATATAAACTAGTATATATATATACATACATAGGTACTAATATATATAGAGAGAGATACCATAATGTACCAATTAGACGTTGTAGTCTGCATGATATTCGTAGGCAGAGAGCCCAACACGCCAAGTACCACAAACAGAAACAAAACGCGCCTGGATGATGGCAAGAGGGTTCGAAACGAAAAATACCACCCCACTCAGCCTTAACCCAAGTGCTCGACCCCAGAGGCCGATTGTGGTTAATAACCAGCTATCTCACATATAGCTGCCGGTTTGGCCGCCGGCCTGGCCCATCAGAACCTTGAAAAGCTTCTATAAATAAATCTTTTTCTCGACAAACCCGGTGCCTGTTGACATTCCCCCGGGACACCTGACTAGGACTGCTCCGCATATGCTATCTATCGCCTGTTACTTCCATACCCCCATACATGTCGTACGATCTCCCCCCCAACCCTTTGCCGAGTACTATCAGATTAGTATGAAGTACATACATGATACCTAGGTAGGTAGGTATATAACGTCAGCGTCCGATTCGAGATACCCTGAGAGTAGGTGCTGGGTCTATTTGCTGCAGAGAGCCGGAAACTGCCAAAAATTCGGGGCTCCAGTATTTGATCGGAGTGCGCCATCTGAACTTCAATGTTCTCTCTAATACTCCGTACCTACTACTATATGTAAGACCTAGCATCTCGCCCACGTTTCTTCCGGAGGAGAAGAACCGAAAGTCTCCAATTATCTTCCTTAGACCAGCCAGGCCAGCCCTAGTCTGGCATCTGGTTATATACAAACATCCCTGATGGGCAGTCCTATGACTATCTACTTGCAGTATTCTCATGCCAAGCGTTAGTATTACTACTCATTTTACAGACAAGCCTGAAAGGGGGGATCCTATTGGGCTTACTATTTCCTGTTTTTTTATTTATTTTTTCTTTTCTGATGAGCAAGTTTTCCCAACAAAGCTGCCATGCCTGTAGCCATATAGATTTCCTTTCGAAAATTGCGGAGTTTTTGCCCTGCGGGCGGAAATACCCATCATTGTTCCCAGTACGGAGTGCATAGCCTGAGTCTGCGTGCTCAAAAGTTGGCAATAAAAATGGAGCCAGTTGCTTACAAAGAGCTTGCATAGCAATGGCTTGGAGGATGATTACTAGACTACTAGGCACCCTCCAAACGAAATGTGGGGGCGGAGACTAATAAGACGCTCTATAGCACGTTGGTATACATAAAAAGAAACAGTCTTGAGTGTAAATAGAATATCAATCCGTAATAGGTAGATAATAAAAATGATCAAATTAAGTTGTTATATAATTAGCTAATAAATATCAATTTTACTGGGCTATGTCTTTGATGAGCTCTATAATACGGCAACAACATAGAACAGCCATTTTGGCCGACAGCCAAATCTATCCATGTCTATCTCTGTTTGTCAAAACAGGAAAACACTACATATCGCGTATGGAAGCACAATCTCTGATGTCCAAGGAAAAATACCCCTAACTTGCTTTCAAAACATGTTGCTGCAGTCTACTTGTTGCCTGGCAGGCGCGGATGGTAAGTCATCCTCCTTCTCTATGTCCTGTAACGTCTCAACAGCTCATCTCTATTCGTGTTTCGTTTGACAATCCATCGAGATTATTATCTCCAGCTCTGCTTTGCCTAGCCGGAGCTCTTCATCCCGTGAGTTATATACATGTTCTAAATTCATTCAATATCAGGAGATTTTTGTTTAAATATATATATATTGCACAAGGCCGCCACACCGTCGAGATGCTTTATCCAGATCTAAATAACTGCACACTATATCCAAGCGATGTACACTATTTCTGCCAAAGACTCCAAGCTAATTTGCATGTAAATCAAGTGGTTCTAGCCCAATCTTGTATATCCCCGAATTTTGGAGAAAAAGCCACAATGAGAGGGATTATAAAAATAAAAAATAAAAAATAAAAAAAGAAGAAGAAGGCAAGGCAAATATGAGGCTATTGTTCTCCCACCCCTTTCTCTCCAACTCACTACTGCTAGTATCATGGCTGCTTACTTTCTGTCGAGATCTACCCCCACAATTCGCAAGACTCCAAGATCGCTATACGCCAAACAGTAGCGGGTCGGTGCCCAAGCCACCACCGGGCATGAGCCGGCCGTCTTGAAAGTATGGACGTGTTCCCCCGTCTCGACATGCGTCACTTCAAGTCCGTTGCCTATTAGGAAAGATGGGATTAGCAGAGCGTCCAGAACTTTACCAGCCAATACAACGGCGTTGAATCGAGCCGCCAATGCCTATTCAAAGCAAAAGTAGCCGCCACTATAACTGTACTATCCTTTGACTAACTTACCTTCATCACTGCCGCCAACGACATAACTTCCATCAAACGTGAAACCTACGTAACCATGTAAGCATTAAACCCTGAGTAGTCTCATCAAATATAGTCGCGATTATTAGCCAGCCGTTCCATGGACTTACTTATGCTCCTTACGGGGCCTGTCATCCTTGTAATCGTCCTTTGACATAGCCAGTCCGTAGTGTCCCATAATGAAATAATGGAGTTGGATCCTCCTGTGGCAAGATACCTGCCCATCGGCTGCAACTCGGCGGCCAGGCATGACGCGGTATGACCCTTGAGCGTAAACTCCGTAGCGTTGTCGCCATCTCCCAGGTGCAGCACCGGTTCGAACTCAGGGTAAGAGAGAATCCGAATCTGTCCTTCCGATGTAGTGACGAATATCTTCTTGCCACTCCAGCAGAAGGCGATTTGATTTGTCTGTACCATTTGTTGATGTGAGGCCAAGGGAGTTTTTTGCGTCGGCGATAAGACAAAGATATTATCCGACTTTGTATGAATGCGTGAGCCATTCCTGAACGAGCATGATCTACGCCAATGGGAATAAAGAAAAGGAGAGAGACATACCCTGTTTCCTACAAGCAACGTCTGCCCATCCGGGGCCCAGACAAGCGTCATGGCATCACCAAGATCAGTGACTTCATTGAAACAAGCCTTAGTCCGGACATCCCAAAACCTCACCACGCCATCGCTGCTCAAACTGCACAACTCTGCGTCCTTTGTGGGATTGAACGCGACTTTTTCGATCCCTGCTGCGTGACCCTTGAGCTCTGTTGAAAACTTGACATTAGGCTTCTCTGGATTCCCTTCAACGCGCGTCAGTCCCGTCACCCTCGCATTCGTTCACTGCAGGCATGCCAACTCACAGACTCGTAAAGTCCTATCTGCCGAGCCAGTAGCAACTAGAGTTCCAGGAGGGTTCCATGCAATCGATCTTAAACTAGATGCCATATTAGACCTTGTAACTTCTGGCAGCAGAATACCACCTACTTCAAAGGCCCAGCCGCCCTTGATGAATTTGGGTCCGTGTATGGCTGACTCCTCAAGCTATTAAAGTACTCTGGGAATCTATCTTTGGATAGGTTCACTCGCGGTCTCAAAATTGGTGCCATGACTGCGTGACTCAACTGAGCCTTGTTTTGGCTCTCTCGCCGAAGCAGGTAGGGAGGCTGGGGAGAAGGCGCGCGTGACCGTCGGATTGACTCAGTGAGGATGTGACAATGTGAAGCCTATAAGACCAATTTACGCGTGTAGAGGTCAATTGGATGAAAGCTACAACGTTGGCGGTGTTATGGCGGTTTTGGTTTGAAGTTCTTTTGAAGATGCGGTTGATGAAGTGACAGTGAAATATGTAACGGCGTAGTTGAAGCTACTAGGCTTGATAGCGGCGAAAGCAGCCACAAGCGACACGAAACAGGACATGTGGCTGATGCTCGCATTCACTGTGGCGCAGCAAAACGAAGCGTGAAAAGAGACAATAGTCTATTAATACTTATTATCATACTGACTCCGTCACAGTGGTCTTTCCAATGAAGAGATTCATCAACAAATACGAAGCTTACTTTTTTCTCATAATTCAAACATGGTAGCTGTTATTTCCGCCGCTAATTTTCAGCACATCTTGTCATGACAGAAAGTTACCAGCTATCTAATTACCATTACTAGTCTTGCGTAAGAGCAAACAAACATGGACGCGGCTGCAATCAAGTAACAAAGCGAACAGGCACATAAGCTAGGATGCAAAATAGAAGAACGAAAAACGACGCCGAAAGTAAAAAGTTCTAGGTCTCATACAATTCAATTCTCATTCCTGTTTGAAATCCCCTTCCATAAACCAATCATGATATTTGTACACTTTTTCTATCATGCCCTGTCCGACTGGCAAAGGTCGAAATAGACCGAGGGCGAATTTTCTGATTCTCTCCAATGGCTACAGCTCGTGAGAGCCCATTCCAATTAGATCGAAGCGCAGCTTCAACCGAGATCTTCAGTTGCCGCGACCTATCTGTTCTCCAAATGCCTGGTTACTCTTTACCGGGACCACCACAGCAAACCGACTCCAAGACTGCAAAACCAATACCGTGCCATTTCCATCGCCCATGACTCCAAGGCGCCTGTATCAAAAACGAAAGAAAAAAGGAAGAAGAAAAATAACTCGCGAAGCGGAATTCCATGCTGAAATATTGAAAAACCAGACAATTGCAGACATAACCTGCCAGATATCAAACAATGAGAATGGTGATGCAATGTAGCCGAGACAATACGTCCTCTGGACCTAATGCTTCCAAGTCGCAGCTAACAATGCAGAATCTAGCACCGCTTGGTGCAGCACACAAGTAGAGCGACAAATTATAGTGTGATCATGTTCACTATTGCTGAACAATTAGGTCATGGCGTAGTCCAACGTGATAGTCGTATCCCAATTCCGGAAGAGATTCGCAATAATCAAAACGTCCAGTGAAAAAAAAAAAAAAAAAGATATGCGAATGACAGCCAACGTCGTCATGATCATGAAATTTGGTCTAAAGACAGGTGGAGATCTTCAATACCAAATAGAGGTGCGTTCTTCTTGGCCCACTGGCGGGATAGAATAGAAGCTGCAGCGGGGCATTGTTAGCAATGAGATATGAATGTCAATGGAACAGCTATTAATAAATACCTTTGAGGAACTTTTTGCTAGCATACTTCTTGAAGAATGCTTCATGGATGGGGGGTCGTGCTAGATAATCAACCATGAGGTTGACAACAGGCTCAACCTCCTCTTCTGTGTAGCCTGCATAATAGGCGATAGTTGGATCCTATTGTGATGGAGATTAGTGACGTGAAGCATAACATAAAGTCAAAGTCACCGTATAACTTACCCACTCGCCACGATCAAGCATAAGCCGCGCGAGATACATAGAAGCGGCGGCGACATGACTGGGGCGGAATGACATGAACCGGTGGTCCAGCAAGCTGATCTCCGTAAGATACTTGCCAATGGTACGTGATTGGATGTCGTAGTTATCTGCCTTTGAAACTCGGCGGAGGAAGTTCATGGGGTTAGGATAGCTGAGATCGTAATTCAATGTGCCAAGGATAAATCGCTCTGCACTCAAAATTTCAGCCTCGCTGAAGCCATCATCGGCAATCTTCTTGAAGTTTTCCACATGAGGAGACAGGACCTCTTCGTACTTGGAGGCTATAAACATGGCTGTGATGCCAACGAGTTGGAGACGGTCGAGCTGGACAACCTTTTCGGAGAGGAATCGATCGATAATGTTGACGGCCAGGAATAGGGTTTCGGGGAGTAAATGAAATCGAGTGTGGACCTCAATCAGCCAGTCGACGAGAATTCCTCGCGTCTTCCATTCGAGGTCGTCTTGGTGAGACATATAATCGGCATTAGGAACCGATCGGACTTCAAGTTCTCTCAAATAGTCGAAGATTTCATTGGCATATTCGGCAACCATCAAAGGGTCGTCCAAATCCTCCTCGTCAAGGCTCTTAATGTTGGCAAGAAGTTCGGCTTTTTCTGCTGCTTTGGCTTCGGCTTGAGCAGCAGCCTGTGCAGCAGCCTTGATGGCAGCAGCGTCAGGAGCCGGAGCCGGAGCCTTAGCCTTGGGCTCGGCGACCTCAGCGCGAGAGCGCCTCTCAACATCCACGTGTGCTTTCTTGCGAGCAGGTTCCGCCTCCTGACGTACAACTTCCTTGGGTGCAGCTGGGCCAACCTTTCTCTTGGGTCCAATAGCACCGGGTCCTGATTTCTTTACTTCTGGCTTCTTGACCTCCTTGTTGGCCAAAGCTGTTCGGCTTGTCGTTGCAGGGCGAGTGCTCTTCTGGACACCTGTGGGCTGAGCAGCCTTGGACACCAATCCAACCTTGCTTCCTGTAGTCTTCTTTCCCTCAACCTCCGCCTTGCTGACATTGCTGACATCGCCCAGAGCAGCGCGTTTTCTAATTCCGTTACCAGCAATGGCACTGACAGTCGTTTTCTTTGTCTGAAGGGCAGTCTTGGTAGGTGCTACTGAGTCGTCCACGTGGAGAGCCGCTGCTTTGGCCCTAGTCATACGCGTTGTGGTGCTGTTCTCGTCATTCTCGTTAGAGATGATGCGAGTACGAGGTCGTCCCTATATATCGCGTTAGCACGCCTAGACGTAAGATCAAAGCTTTGCATCGAATGTATGCCACTCACAGGAGGCATATTCGAAATTATGAAATGAGATGAACAGTTAGTGGTCGTATAAACAGCTTCAAGGCCTAGCTCTGTTTTCTCGGACATGTTAGCTGCATTGGACGCGTTGAGAAAAGAAGGAGTCAAATGAAAGATCGATTCGAAGAAAAAAAGGAGTTTGAGAATAATGCCCTTGAGACATTCATCTTAAGACAAGGAGCTCGGAATGTTACTGACCTCTCCAAGGCGAGGCTAATCAAAGAACCGACACGTCTAGCGTGGCAGGAATGCTACTGCGAGAGATGGAGTCAATGGCTGGCGTAAAATTGTGTAAAATGCTCAGGCCGGGTGCCAAGTAGAGCTGCGGCGGCCAAGTGTAAAAGAAAGGCGGCAGAAAGGGTATCAAGAGTACGATTGGGGATGCAAAATGTGTATGTCGAAAGAGGATGGTGGTGAGGGCGATGAGCTGTGTTTTGAGGAGAAACCCGCCAGGGAGCGCGGAGTGGGCCGTCGCGGCTGGTACGTACCTCGACGAGTTGGCGTGGCTCGCGATTAAATTGGTTGCCCGGCACGAAAAAATACTGGCAAGCTAAGAAGAAAAGAGCCTATGATATAATGCCGTGTGTGTGAGCGTGAGTGCTAGCCAGGGCTGGCGTTTCTCGAATTGATGAGTGGGCACAAGGAAAAAAAGGTAGCGACGTTGTGCGAGCTGTTCGGGACAGCGGTGAAGGACGCTGGATGGGATGGGCCTGGTCTGAGATATACCGTACAGTAAATGGTGCTGGTCGACAGCCCTGCAATCTTGCGACGAGGGCCGGATCGCGGCTCAAAGAGTGGACTGGATGGATATGGAGGGAGGACTGATCGATACTGAGCTGTGTAGAGAGTGAAGAGAAAAAAAACAAAGGCTAAGAGAGAGCTTCCGCAAAGGCTACCAAGCTTGGGTGCTGATGCTGTATTGTACTGCAGGCAGAAGCGGGCGGGCGACGAGTGGATGCGAGACGTGAGCGAAACCGACGACTCACAACGCGACGTTTGGCGGCTGCTCGCGGGGCCGGGGGTGGGCGGCCTTGAAAAATCCAATGTCAACAGTAGCAACCGCGGGGCAACGGGGCGCTGATTGGCCCAACGCGCCGCGGGCAGGACGAGGTCGCGCGGGAGCACAAGCCATTGGCCGGTGGCTGGTGGCTGAAAAAAATGAAAGGGCTTTGGTTTGTGGCTGGTCGCGCCCCGGCCTGTGCGGCGAGCAGGCACTAGAGCTCTGCAGCTACCAGCACTTTTAGCGAGAGGCACAAGAGCACCTACCGAGCACAAAGAGGCTAGAGCGGGATAGCCCAGCTTAGCTAATCATCTTCCTCGTTCCTCCGGCATAACGTTTTTCATGGCTCCGTTGAAATTTCAACGAGGGACCAGCCAGAGAGGCACGACAGTCGTCCGATTTGCGACGACCAAGCCCATCTGCCCGACCACGACAGGCACGGCGCTTGGAGATTTCTGAGCCGTTGGGGACCGTCATCTCCAGCTCCTGGGGCACTGCAATTACGATTTTACGAGGCTGCTCTGGGCCAATTGCTGGGCTGTGAGCCGTTGTGCGCATAGAACGTTTCTCTTACTCCCCGCCAAATGCGAATCGAACAAGATAGGAAATTATTCCCCTCAATATCTAGAATTTCTTCTCTGCAAACTTAGACAGAGTTTCGAAAATGCTCAAACCAAGACTATCCATTGCTCCGGCTCTTAGCAGCCGCCAGCTCCTTTCGGCGTTCAGCAATCTGTCACTGAGGGGTTATGCAACAAAGGCCAAAGCTGGTTCTACTGCTGGCGGGCGTGCCACTGAGACGCCGGCTAGCAGCGAAAGGCAGTCAAGCGGATCTGTTATGCTGCGCACTTATAAGCCCAGGACGCCGGGTGTACGACATCTGCGAAGACCGATAAACGATCACCTCTGGAAGGGACGACCGTTCCTCCCTCTGACGATTCCGAAAAAGGGCCAGGGCAAGGGAGGACGAAACGTTTATGGTAGAATTACCGTAAGACACCGAGGAGGAGGTGCTAAGAGAAGAATACGGACTGTCGACTTCATACGATGGCGCCCTGGGCCACACTTGGTAGAGCGGATCGAATACGACCCTGGACGCAGTGCTCACATTGCCCTGGTCACGGAGCAAGCTACCGGACGCAAGTCGTACATCATTGCTGCAGATGGACTAAGAGCCGGTGACATTGTCCACAGTTATCGTGCTGGTATCCCTCAGGATCTGCTCGACAGCATGGGTGGTGTTATTGATCCAGGTATCCTTGCAGCCAAAACTGCTTTCCGAGGAAACTGCTTGCCGATGCATATGATTCCCGTTGGCACAACTGTGTTCTGTGTCGGATCAGCGGCAAAGAGAGGTGCTGTGTTCTGCAGGAGTGCAGGCACATCTGCCACAGTAGTGAACAAGAATGAAGAGACAAAAGACGACGGTACCAAGATCATGACGGGCAAGTATGTCGAGGTCCGGCTCCAGAGTGGCGAAGTCCGTCGCGTGAGCAAAGATGCATGCGCCACCATTGGAGTTTCCAGCAATGTTCACCACCATTACCGCCAGCTGGGTAAGGCTGGTCGAAGCCGGTGGTTGAACATCCGACCAACCGTTCGTGGTGTGGCGATGAACAAAGGTAATTGGTCCCTCTTTTCCCGTCTACCGAAATTACATGATTAATCGATGTCGATAGTTGATCACCCTCACGGTGGTGGTCGAGGAAAGTCAAAGGGTAATCGTCACCCCGTGACGCCTTGGGGCCGACCGGTAAGTTGAGAAATCTATTCTCCTAGATAATGGACAAGTGGCTAATAATATATTCCCGTTTAGACCAAGAGCGGTTACAAGACTCGCCGCACGCACAATGTCAACAAGTGGGTTGTGACACCACGGCCTCGCAACCACGGCAAGCGGAGAGACAAGAGGTCGTCGAAGGAGTAATTGTAGATAAACCAATGGGAACGGAGGAGCTCTTAGAAGTAAAGGGGAGAAAAAAAGAAAAGACACGATGCTATGTATACGCGCCGGCGGTAAGGCTTATACTGTAGCTTGGCGCGACTGTATATTATGTGCTATTATCGATATGCCTTGTTGAGGCCAAATCTTCATGAACTTACACGCATCTTTGTTAATTTGGGAGTGATGCCCGCGGGTATTGTCGTGGCTGATATGCTGCTTGTGAGCTTTAAACGTATTGGCTTCTACTTGGCTGAATAGCCTGAATAGGCTCGGTGCCACATTGGTTAGGGATCGTCTTAGCATCCACGGCTCTGAGACGGCTAAGGGTCTTTCTCGTTTGATGATTCGCCAGCGAAAGCCACCAATGTCTCAGTCCGCGTAATGCTACATACTACGCAGTAGTATTTGACATTCAATAGCTAGCTACGAAGAAGATTCTCTCTCTTTTTGCCCTTTTCCGAATCACCGTATAAAACCGAGGCTAATCCACATTCTATACAGCGTGTAGGTATATGCCCCCTAGTAAGGAGAAGCATGGCTCGCGTAACCAACCCATAGCGCCTAAAGAAAGAAGAGAGATGAGGCGGGTACTAATAGTGTCCAGTTAAGCTACTGTAGCACTATATTGTAGGACTAGGTATTTGGTAAGAGATTTGATTCGCCAATTCGCCGCTCTCTCTTTGTCCTTGGTGCTCATACATAGACTTGTATCAATCGAGGATACACACTTGTGTGCATGCCTGTGGGGAGGAGAAATCAGTACCTACGAGTTAAGGGGAACAGAAATCTGACCTATCGAGGATATTTTAATGGAACTGTTATACCTACTACTGTAAATTCCTATTTTAAACAGACTTACTAATGCTTGTCGATTAACGTTGATTTAACCTCGTGCTGCCCTACGGAGATCGTAGACGGGAACAGTGTCGGCGGGAAAGAGCCAAGAAGCCAAGAGCGAAGAGCCGGCGTCTGCTACGTCAAAAAGAGAAAGAGACCAGGGGTGTCGCTTGCCAAGCATTTTCTAATGCCCCTTCCTTGACCCTTCCTTGGCCCTTCCTTGGCCATTGGGAAGCTGCGCACACGACCCACTTCCGTTTCCAGATTCAACGGCTGGCTAGCAATCATTTGGCGGCGATGCGCGCGCCTTGCACTGCCATCTTCTCTCATCTTACTCGTGCTATTCCAAGCAAAAGACCTCGTAACTCCGAAACAGTACTCCATTTCCCCTACTAGTTGCATGGATCGTTTTGTCACCAACTCGGCATTGCAGGTAGGTAGAGTTGCTACATGAGTGGTGCTATTCTTGAGATGCTGGCAGGGATGATGATACTTATCTCGGCAATCCAGAAACATCAACGGTTTTCTCATCGCCAGGCACATGCGAATCGAAACATCAAAAGCCAAGGGCCAAGCCGCCCACACGGTCAGTGCCTATTTGATTCACCATTTCCCCGTCTTTCTCATTAATCTCCCCCGTCTCGGTCCCTCGCCAGCGAGTGATTGATATGCACAGGCATCACCCCCTGTGGCATTACATGAGACAATGCAAAGAAACCCTTCATCACAACCACCGCTAGTCACGTCTCGCGCCCTCCAAAATGGGCTGTGCTCTAATACTGCCACGCGTCCCCTGGAGAATGGCACTGTGCCGTGGAATCTACCCAATTATCCTCACCTGAGCCGAAAAGTCGCCCGGTTTAGCGGCGCCACAGCCACTGAGCGGAGAGAGATCTGAGCTATCCACAGGACCCTGGCTCGAACTTTAACCCTGCCCATCTCCATCTCCAGTTTAAAGCTCTCCCCTTAGACACAAATTCATTTATACCGCCCGTTAGCCTCCCCTCTCCCTCTGATGCTTCCCTAATAGCCCATTTCTTTGTTTCTCCTCTGTGGCAGATGCGCTCATATCAACAGATAAGCAGACCTGGGCCCAATTCCAAAATGGGGCCGCCCTCAATCCGACTCATTACGTCGTACATCTTCGACTGGATTGTTCTTATTATCGTTACTGCTGTTGGCTACGTCTTGGGCCGAATTACACCCAACAAACGGCCCTTTTCCTTGGTTGATCCAGACATCTCGTGAGTTTCACGTTGAAGCTTTGCCAAGAGCTTGATCTAGATTGTTCTTTCTTGTCCAGACGATTAACGAGGTGATGCCCACTATAGCTTTCCTTTTACGGTACACGAGACTGTGCCGGACTGGCTGCTCTTTGTCTTGAGCAGTGGAGTCCCCGCTGTCATTATCATCATTGTCTCCATCATATTTGTGCCAGGTGCAACGGTGCCTAAAAATACCCCTGCTTCGTTAGTTTGGAAGCGTAAACTATGGGAGCTTCACATTGGTATACTGGGACTTCTCATGTCAGTTGGCTGTGGTTTCTTCTTTATTAGTGGCATCAAGAATATGTGCGGCAAGCCTCGACCTGATCTACTTGCACGATGCGTACCCGACTTGGAAAACGCATCGAAATACCTCATTGGCGGCTTCAAGGGAGAATTCGCATTGGGCAACAGTATCGGTCAGCTCTTTTCGGCCGATATCTGCACGCAGACCGACAAGGCGAAGCTTGACGATGGCTTTCGAAGCTATCCCAGTGGCCATTCTGCGGCCTCAGCCGGCGGACTTCTCTACCTCTCGCTGTTCCTTGCCAGCAAGTTTGCCGTAACTATGCCGTTTGTAGCTACGGGCACATCCACGTCAAGCCATGACGTGCATGCTGCTTTTCCGTCTCGTTTAGCATCTGCGGTTGAGCAGTATGACGATGATGCGACCACACCCATGGCTAGCAAAAGTGCGAGTCAAAGTATCAGGTATAATTCCAGTATACAAGCGTTGCGCCGTCAGGCAGCAGCTCCTCCTGTTTATCTCCTCGTTATCACCGTGGCACCTTTTTGCCTAGCTATCTTCATCGCTGCTTCTCGCTGGTTTAATTTCCGACACCATGGCTTTGACATTTTGTTCGGCTTTTCCATCGGCACCTTTACAGCTATCTTCAGTTTCAGATATTATCACCTGCCCATCACCATTGGTGCTGGTTGGGCTTGGGGCCCTCGGAGTCCAGACCGGGCTTTCTGGGCTGGCGTCGGCCGTTTGGGCTACGTTAGCGAAAAAGACGTCGAGCATGGAGTGATGGAGAATACCAATTATGCACGATCTACCGATGTTGAAGCTTCACTTGCAACGCCAGCGGGGATGAGTTATCGATCTCCTGCCCAGACGGCTGAGCCATATCAGGATGTAGAGTTGAACAACTTGAATGGGGGGACGAGTCAGGGGGTCGGACATGGCATTGATTCGAGAGTTTAAATGATACCCATCTCTCCCATTGTGGAGAAAGCAGACAGATATAAAGGGAGAGTGTAATTCGAGGGCAGAAGGGGAAGTCGTCTTGTTTTCTGCCTTATCTGGATGATGATACTATTAGACAAGTTTTATTTATTTAGTGGTCAACGTTAATTGATGTACGTTTTTTTTTTTTTTAACAGCTCTCATTACATCTGCATTTGAGCATCTCCAACTTCAAGATACTAAAGATTTAGCTTCAAGGACCTAGGAAGGAGGTTTGCGTAATGTCAGTCAATCAAGTATCAAACATGGCATCAAATTCAGTTTTATACAGCTTTCGTCAGATTAATACGATAACAAAGAATACATTCGTTAAAGCCCCATGCGAGTTACACTAACTAAAGAGAACAAATGATGCATATTAAAGAATAAAGAGGAGAGAAAGAAGAGAGAGAAAAAAAGGGGGGGAAGGTCATGCATGCAGAACAAACTCAAATCCAGAGCTTGTTTGGTTCCCGCCTCCGCCGCCGCCAAACGCCTTTCCGTACAACATCAAAGAGGGAGAGGGAGAGGGAGATGGATGGAAGGAGGATGTTTGTTTGTGTAGTTTTGGGGTCCAACGCTGAAGAGTGAGCGAGCTTAGCCGTGAGATGAAAGAGCCGCGGGAGGGGGGGTTAGGGGTGGAAATGAAGCATGTTTGTGTGACGAGAAACATGAGCATCATGATTCTGTTTGTTTTTAATCTCGTTTTTCCAACCCTTTCATTGCCATTCGTGAAATAAAAGAACCATATTTCCTTATTCCTTTCCCAGAAGTATTTGTTAATGCCTTTTCTTTTTTTCTTTTTTTTTTTTTTTTTTTTTGAGCGTGTGTCTCTTTCATCCCCCCCCTCTTTTTTGTTTTGGTTCGTTTTGTCCTTCTCCTCCTAATCACATTGGTCCCTCAATCAGTCTCATGTTTGTGTTGGTATTAGCTCCGTCCACTCCCTCAAACTCAACATCGTCTTCCTCCTCTTCCTCCTCGTCATCCATCTGCTCCTCTCTGAAGCCGGACTCAATCTCCAGCTTGCGCAGCCTCCTCCGCATATCGTCTCTCTTGAGGTCCTGCCACCGCACCAGCGCCGCGGCGGCGTGCACCTTGAACCCGTAGACGCGGGGGATGTACCGCTCGATGCTTTTGGAGGGGATGAGGGCGGGGTAGACCTGGAAGATGATGTTGTGGAAGGAGGTGCCGAAGTAGGCTCCGTCGATAGAGGCGTGGCGCGAGGATTTGGGGTTGTAGAGGTCCTCGCAGCGGGCGCAGTAGAGCTTGACAGGCTTAAGGTTAGGGATATCGGAGAGGCCCATGGGGAGCAAGGGGTGAGAGTGGCAGTTGACGCGAGGGCATTTGCCAAATTCTGCCTTCTTGTACTTGTCGAGCTGTCAAAGGAGCGCATAGTTAGCATCCTGTCGACATAAAAAGAGACGGTTCAGGATCCCCCCCCCCCAAAAAAAAATTGATTAGGGGGAGAGATGGGGGGACAGATCAAGGCGATGATAGAGAGGGAAACAGTACCATTTTCGTCAGACCGCGTGTGGTTACAATGTATCGCGCGTGCACCAGGCCGTACAGGTGTCGGGCTGAGCTCTCAATCGTCTCGCGCATGTCATCGTCGCAGTCGAGGTCGAAGACATCCGTCACCAGGTCCAGCGCATATTGGTAGTACTGGACTTCTGTGTTGAGGCCCGTCAGGTTGAAGCGATCCGTTAGATAGTCCTCGTCGATCTCGCAGAAATACTCATTGCCTCTGGATGAAATGAACTGCGCACATGGTAGCGCGTCAGCTTTGGTCTGATCCGATGTATTCTTTTGTTGTTGTTTCCGTGCCATAATGGCACCACGCGCTCTATCCTATCCCTCCGTTCCCAGCCGTGGACCAGCAAACACCGCCGGCACCGAAGCCGGCAGAGCTATATTGGGCCCCATGGCAACAGATTGGAGGGACAGGGAGCGATAGAGAGCAAATAAACAGGTGCAGGCAGCAGAAGCGACTTACCCAGTCTCTCCAGTAGCTGGTGTAGTCACTATCGGACTCGCTCGCGTACTCATCCATCGTATGTAGCAGGGAAACGCGGAACAAAGAAGCAGCACGAGGTAGAAAAAAAAACGAGGCTGCAGCAATGGGCAGCAAGCGCTACGACTGGACTCGAGGCGGTAGAATGGCCGACCGGTCGTGGACAAGGGAGGCGGCGGTCGCGGTATCAGCCGATGGCAACGGCCGTGAGACAACGATCGGGAGGCGGGGGATTCGAGAGGGCAACGGTGGCGCCGCGTTCAGTTTTTGCCCAAGCCCAGGTTTGACGTATCTCGACTTTGGCAGCGGCGGTGGTGAGCGGCAGTCTGCCAGCGATGGTGGGGTACGGGGGATTGGTTGTTTGGGCGATAACGTGACTGGGGCGGCTAGTGTCGAGCGCTGCTGGCAGCTGTGGCTAACAATCAGCTGTGGTGCTGGTCGGTGGCTTGAACGTCGAAACAGGCATCAGACATGGAAATGGGAGGCAAAGCAGTGCTTGGTAGTTTCGGTGAGCATCTTACGGGACCAGATGTATTCCAAAATACACCATTCGTCAGATCTCACTTGGTGCTAATGCATGGAGCTGCCGGTCTGCTAGCCTTGTCATATGCCATGCTCCGCACATGGCATCTCCTCCAGAGGTCGTGACACGACGCACGCTTGGTGCAGAAACAAGGAACACTCTAGCTGGCATGGTGTAGGGTGTAGATTCTACGTAGCATAGTGGGCACGTTGCTGTTATTAATTAGAAGGAGAAGGAGAGTGGAACGAGCAAAATGGTGAATACATCAGCCGTATATACACTGGTAAGCACGAGGTATCCTCTTACACACCCCATCAGGTTGCTGGCTTTACCTTTTGCTATCCAAATCAAGGCCTACACCTCATCCGTTTCGCCAACTCGGGCCCATAAAGAAACGATAACTATCTAGGATAAAAAAAAACACATCCTCATCGTAATGACCATATAGCCATCGTGTGACAGCGCCAACGTTGCCTGTGCCGTCTTGCTCTATAGTCAGATTCACAGTCGTCTATTTCCCCCCTCTTTCATCCATCTAAAGGACTGATTGTCGAGCCCATACTGCCGGCATCACTAGGAGACCGCATACCAGATGTTGTTTCGCCATCGTCTCCGCTACTGTTCTTGCTGCTCCCATTAATAAACCCCAGTCCAGTTGCGGGAAGCTCAAGTCTGCTTGAGATGCCATCTCGAGAGGTCCGAGCCACGCCAACGTTTGCCATCTTCATGGCTTCTTTGAGCGTCTCTCCAGTCTCGTCCATAGCAGCCAGGAATCTCGCAAGCTCTTTGCATAATTCCCAGTCGCCCTCTCTGACTGCCCTTGTCAGAACTCGGACTGACTGCTCCAGGGAAGCCTCCAGCTCATCCAGTGTGTGTAGGATGATGAGATATCCGCCCGCAGTCTTGAGCGATCCTCTCTGCAAAGATTCCTCAAACAGCTCTTGTGCTGGAGGGAGATATGCGAAAAGTGTCTTCCACTGTCGGACTTCTGTCTTCCTCGTGCACTGTAGAACGATGTCAAGGTATTCCTTAGAAGATGACAGTAGAGACAAAACACGCGGCAATACAGCATCTTCCGGCTTCGGTGACGTATCAGCTTCTTCATCCAACACACGATGAAGCAGCACTTCCAGTCCGTGGGAAAAGTACTCTAATCCTTCATACTGCTGAGAGAGATTTGCCGCTTCGACCGTCATGTTGTTGCAAAGATAGAACCGTAGTACGTCTGGTAGGACGAGATGCGTCTATGAAATCCAGTCAAGTCAGCATTTAAGAGCGTGCCATACCAAATGAAAGCCGGCCAGAGTGATTTCCGCCCACTTACCCTGATTGCGAAGTGAAAGAAAGAAAAGTTCACATCGCGCCGTTGCACTAGGTCTGATTCCACGCCAAGGACAATGCCCTTCTCTAACAGGATGGACAGTGGATAAAAGTCGACATCTATGGATACCGGTGGTGGTAGTTCTCTCCCGTTATCACCCGTCGCTGCCGTCAGGACGCCATGAATATCGGCCCATGCTTTGATCTCCATTCCGTCAAACAGCCACAGAGAATCGCGGAGAGCAAGCGGACCATAGCGCAGCTGAGTCTCTTCAGGGGAATGGGTGATGTTGATGGGAGGCTGATCTCGCATGCTCACATGGTATTCTACATTCTGCGCAACGATACGCATATCGTACTTGAGCTGGCCATCTTCATTCATCGAAGGGCTCAGCAATACCAGCTTGCCGTCGACTAAAAAGAGAACAGACGCAACGGCCACGTCCTGGGAAGGGTCTCCGTCGCTGATCTGGCTGTCTGGCAAGATCCAGCTGAGTCCTCGAACTCTGGCAGGAGACCGCACAATTCCGTGAAATGCAATCTGGCCGACTTGAACCAAACGAACCGACCCGCCGGCTGGCACAAAAATGTAGTGGTACAAGAGATTCTCGTAGGTATATACGAGAAGGGAATCTTCCCCAGATGCCGCAATCAGCACCACGGGCGCGGGCAGCCGCTCGGTGTGCAACACATGGGAGTTGTCCAGCGCCGCCTCGCGCGAATAGAGCCGCAGCTCAAACGTCCGGTTGTCTTCTATCGCCGCAACTAGGATATGTTGATACCAACACATACCTCCCCGGACTGAGAATGAGTTTTCCATCGCCTCATCAGTAAAGGTCTTCCATCGTCCGCTGTTGACGCTGTAGTGCGCCAGTCCCCGGCGACCGGCGACAGCAACATAGCGTCCGTCCGGAGAAATGACGGTCTGGCGAATCGGCCACTGGTTGAGTAGATATGTTGATGGTATTCTTGAAGTATGCCATAAGAAGGGCTCGGCGGAGATGCTCGTCAGGTCGGGAAGATCATAACCCCGGTATATCATAACGCTGGTCGGCGTTTGGAGCACCGTACGAAAGACATTGGCTTCGTTGTAACAACCGGTAATTGCGTTTTTTGCCATCTCAAGTGACCATATAGCTTCATGCCGACGCCCCAGTAGAAAAATTTCGGAGCCTCCGCCAGCCCAAACTGCGCCTCTGATCCCCGTAAGCCATTGTTCACCATTCATTGTTGCGACGCTGGGCTCAGCTCCAAAGCTGTGGCTTCCTAGCTTGCCAAACATGCTCCAAGTGCACCAGCCTTTTTCGAAGCCCGCGAAGAGGCAGTACCCATCGGGTGAGTATGTCAGGGTTGTAAAGACGCCAGCCGTCGCCGTGGAGAAGGGCATACGATGGGCGTGAGAATGCACAATGTTGCCTGCGTAGTCTCGGACAGAGTAAACGTGGATTGTGCCGTCCGCGCAGCCAACAGCGATGAGTGAGAACCGAGCGTTAATCACGGCGCGCACGGCACGTCCTCTCGAATCCTGTGGAGTATAGAAGCAATGCCCCTTGAAGAGGCGCTTTGCGTCAGCACCTTCTGCTTCATCTTCGTTTGTGCTTTTACGTTGCAGGCGCTGAACCGCGTACGCTCTCCCATCGCTTGTAATCCAGGTGGCCAGATTCATCGGCCGATCATGGGTCATTTCCACGATGGATGCCTTTTTCTCTACCCAGCCCATGCGACTCAAGATCTCTGTCCGAGTTTGATTCCCACTGCTGTCGGGTGTCCAGCGGATGCATTGTACTGCGGCAGGCTTTCTTGTTGCAACAACTAGCTCATCGTCAAGGGCTAGAGCACTCTCTATCCCGGCATCAACTTTGATAACCATGCGGAAGCGAACGCTGACATCGCGAACCCCTCCGCCCTCTCCCGGCCCCCACAGAATCTGGTCGGGTCGCAGGTGAGACTGCGGGCCAATGAGGCTCTGCTTTCTCTTTTGTACGTTGTGATAGTTTGGAAAATGTGGTTTATAGACTCTTGATTCGCCATCAGAGGCTATCGAATAAGTAATGAGATATCCTTTAGATGTGTGCACCACTAAGATGGCAGAATCGGGGCGCAGTAGAAGGTCGACGTTGATGCCATAGGATTCCAAGGACGAGTCGGATCGAACTACTACAGCGAGGACCACTGCAGGCTGTGGGGGATTAGCCAAGAGAGCAATGGAATCCGGCCATGCGACCAACATACCTTGGTCTGCCAGAGCGTGATTGACGTCGCCGTGATGACGGCAAACATCTGGCCGGTGCGGGCAATGCGCAGCGCAAGCACGGGGTCCTTTACGGGCACCCTCCTGTCTTCGGCGGCATGGTCTTTCGCAGCGCCGCCGTCTGGGAAGAACTCATAGCGTTCGACTGGCTTGACAGCCGGCGTGGCCGGTGTCATGGGTGTTGGTGGAGGCTGCGCATCGTCGGATTCTTCTGGCGTGGGTGATTTGAGCGGCTGCGCACTGGAGTCGGGCTGCGGCGATGCCACTGAGGATCCTGAATGGCTCTGCAGGCCATCGTATGAAACATATATGTTCGAATCCGAAGCTCTGCTGCTGCTGGTGGCATAGACGCGCGGAGTTCCGATGGGCCAATACATGGCGGAAGCCGAGTCTCCTCAGCGCTTCGATGTCGGGGGTTCACGGCGCAAATGTTCGGTCATTTCTGTTCGCTACGGTTCATGACAGAGCCATTGGGCTCGCTGGCGCCTGATTGTTGCAATGTGAGTGCGGGTATTTTGCTGTTTTGACAGGTTGTCGCTGCATGGCAAGTTGGCAGGGAGGCTTCATCACATGGGGAAGCTCTCTGGACGCATTACATAATCAATGGGAAACGATGCGCTGGTATTTGACCGCCTGGTATAGAGTAGAGCCACAAAGCTTATTGTAAAGACAAAATGGAAGAGAAGCCTTAGCAAAGCAAGCAATCCAAATTCAAATGCAAAGTAAGAAGAGGGAATCGATAATAATGGCCAGTTTAAATGCGGGAAAAATATATATATATCAGCTAGAGCTTAGGCATGTTGTAGGAGAATGTCGCTCTGTCATATCTCGACCCAGATCGACAGAAGCTGGTCAGAGCTAATAATACACCGATGAAAGCTACACACGGCACGATGAGCTCTAACGAAGATGGACCAATCGAAAAGGGCCGATGATCCAGGAATCGCCAAGGCAAGGCTCTCGTACATACGAGTGATGATGCCACCGGGGCTGTGGAGAGACGCAGTAATAGTAATAGCATACGCCTTCCTATACGTGTAAGTGATGTTGCTGCTGCTACTGCATCAGACACTGATACTATATCGCTGCTAATCTGCTTTGAGCTGCTGAGTGTTGGCATCTACAATAGAATGTTGCTACTGCCATGTACAAGTACTGTGAGTATCTGCCAAGACGCTTTCCTATCGTGGCATCTGATCCTAACTGCTACTAGATATCATGCTTCTCCGCAGATGGATTGCTTGCCGCTGTCGGATGTCCAAGACACTGATCCAACACCGAGCATCTCAGTATTACTGCCTACTTGGGCAGTATCCAATGCACGCTACAGGCATCCCGATCTGCCCCACCTCCCACTAAACCCCCAGAACGGCCGTCTAACAGCTTCATGTTGCTGCTAGGGCGCGCCATTGTGTACGTAATAAGCGGGCCACAGCACAGTCCCAGAGGTCCGGTGAGGCGCCAAAACGCTCGAGTTGGAGAAGCCCCCGCCAGTGCCGTTCCAGCTGGGGGATACTGGCGGCTACAGACGGCGGAACCCCGATCCCGGCGCCGGCTGCCATTCCCCAAACCATCGCGTAAAATGACAATTATTATGGAGGCGGTTGACAAATGCCGGCACGGAGGCCAGCTTTACTGCATTATCGCCAAACTAATGATTGGGGGAACTTAGAGGGGCACCAGCTCGTTATCAGCTCCGGGGGGCCACTTTGAGCCCAATCAAATACTCTTATACACCTCTACTCTCACCTCCCTTTCTTCACCACACACTGCCCGCCAGTGTTCTGTTCCACCAGGTTTATAATTACCTATTCTCACA